TCGATTACGGACTCGGACGATGCGCTCCTGGAACTGAAGAAACAGCACGATCTGGAGAAATCCTCGTGGTTCGAGGAGAAGCAAAGATTGAGCTCGGAAGTGAATCTCAAGGCGAAGAATCTGAAGGACCTGCAGGCCGAAGACGACGAGATCTTCAAAGAGCTGAGCATGAAGCGGGAGGCCATCAACCAGTGGGAGCGGCAAATGGCGGAAATCATACAATGGGTATCCGACGAAAAGGACGCTCGCGGCTACCTGCAGGCCCTCGCCACGAAAATGACAGAGGAGCTCGAGTATCTGAAGCATGTCGGCACGTTCAACAACAATGGGGTGGACAACAAGAACTGGCGGAACAGGCGCTCCCAGAAGCTGGACAAGATGGAGCTGCTCAACCTGCAGAGCGCTCTGCAGAGGGAGATCCAGGCCAAGGCCATCATATCCGAGGAGCTGAGCCAGACCCGATCCGACCTGATATCCATACAGAAGGAGGTGCGCGACTACAAAAAGCGCTACGATTCTATTCTGCACGACTTTCAGAAGAAGGAAACCGAGCTGCGCGACCTGCAAAAGGGAGGTCTGGAGTATTCCGAGTCGTTTTTGAATAAATCCACGCACCAGGGCCTGAGCAGCGCCTTCTTTAGGGATATATCCAAGAGCGAAATGATTGATCCCGCGGATAGTTTTGGCAACGATTCCAGCGATAGTTTCATAGGCACACCCAATTTCTTCCAGTCAGGGAACTCTGGCATGCTCTTCAACTACGAACCAAAGTATGCGGGAGGAAAGAGCAAAGATGGCTCTCTGGCAGCCATGAAGGACGCCTCGGTTAGCGATATATCGCGAGAGGACGCCGAACTGCTGATGAAGGAATCCCAAAAGAAGGCGGGGGCCAACAACCCCTCGAACACGGCCATCCATCAGTTTCTGGTGCGCACCTTCAGCAGCCCCACGAAATGCAATCACTGCACTTCTCTGATGGTCGGATTGACGCGTCAGGGCGTGGTGTGCGAAATCTGCGGCTTTGCCTGCCACACGATCTGCTGCCAAAAGGTGCCGACCACCTGCCCAGTTCCTATGGACCAGACCAAGCGGCCCCTGGGCATAGATCCCACGCGGGGCATAGGCACTGCCTACGAGGGCTATGTGAAGGTGCCCAAGTCGGGGGTGATCAAGCGCGGATGGATTCGTCAATTTGTGGTCGTGTGCGACTTTAAACTATTTCTATACGATATATCTCCCGACCGATGCGCCCTGCCGAGTGTGAGCGTCTCCCAGGTGTTGGATATGCGCGATCCTGAGTTCTCAGTTGGCGGCGTGCGCGAAAGCGATGTCATTCACGCGGCCAAGAAAGATGTGCCATGTATTTTCAAGGTAATTATAGCCCCTCTCTGCTATGTACATATATGTGTGTAGATGTAGTGACTATTTGTGTTCCATTTATTACAGATAAAAACCGCGCTTATTGAAAGCGGACTCTCGCTGAACACCCTGATGCTGGCCGACAACGAATCGGAGAAGTCGAAATGGGTCATTGCCCTGAGTGAACTACATCGAATATTGAAACGAAACAGTCTACCAAATACTGCTATTTTTAAGGTCTACGAGATTCTGGATAACACGCTCTCGCTCATTCGGAATGCATTGTGTTCTGTCATCATATACCCCAATCAAATCCTACTGGGCACTGAAGACGGACTCTTTTACATCAATTTGGATCAGTATGGTACGCACACTGCCTCCTGGATGGGAATTGCTTGACTTATGATTGTATTTTCTTGCAGAAATAGCTCGTATTGGGGAGAGCAAGAAGATCCTGCAGCTGTGGTACATCGAAGAGGAGCAGATTCTCGTTATACTTTGCGGGAAGCAGCGCAACCTGCGGCTGTTGCCCATCAGAGCGCTAGAGGCTAGCGATGTTGAGTGGATAAAGGTGGTCGAGTCGAAGAACTGTATATCGGCTTGCACTGGCATTATCCGCCGTTTCACCAACATTGTTTATTCGTTTATAATTGCCCTGAAACGACCCAATAACCACACACAAATCGTTGTCTACGAGATTAATAGGACGCGCACAAGGCACCAGAAGACTTGTGAATTCACAATTGGCTACTTGGCACAGCATCTGCAGATATTGTCCGATATGCGACTGGTTGTGGCGCACCAAAGTGGATTTACCGCCTATTTCCTGAGAGGAGAAGCTACCGCGATGTGTATGTATACCGCCCACGGTCTTTCCTTTGCATCTTTCTTATCAACACATATATATACTGTCATTCAGCTCTGGTTCATCCTGAAAACCAGCTATGTGCATTTTTAAATTATTCCGGAGTCGATGCTGTTCGAGTAATTGAAATACTCTGCCCCAGCGGCGGAAACTTCGGGGAGTACTTGTTGGTGTTCCAAACTCTGGCCATATATGTGGACCTGCAGGGCCGAAAGTCCCGCGACAGAGAAATAATGTACCCCGCTTTTCCCACATATATAAGTGAGTACTGCTGATGCAGGTACCGACTCGAAAGTGACTCAACCTGTGCTTTGTTTGTTTCCAGCCTTTTGTGATGGCCATTTGTTGGTGTTCTCCGACACACATTTGGATATCTTCAATACGCAAACCGCTGAATGGGTGCAGTCGATTGGCCTGAAGCAGTCACTGCCCCTAAATAATCAAGGAAATGTGGTGTTGGCGTCAGTCAATGACACTCCTTTGATTGTTTACCTGTCCAATATTCACACAAGTAAGCGGATATTTCCCACAGACGTGTAGGCATTGGAGTCTTTATTTGGTTTCATTTCTCATACAGAGGGACTTTTGCAATACCGTGAAGGAAATCGAAAGGGACTGGCGCACATCAAGCGAAGATTTTCCATTCGTGAGATTAACAAAACAGTAAAAAGGTAAGCTAGATATTTCATAAATTAAATAACTTTCAAGTAACGCAAGTAAATCATTTTACAGTGATCGAAGATCAAAGATGATATCGGCACCGACTAATTTCAACCACATTTCGCACATGGGGCCAGGCGATGGCATTCAAAATCAGCGACTCTTAGATCTACCAACCACGCTCGAAACAGCCGACCAGGCCTGCAGTCCCATCATACATTCGCTGAGCTCCATACCATCTAGAAAATCAAATTTTCTAGAACAAGGTGATTATTCTCAGGTTTATCAAAGTGTAATGCTTTATTAAATGCATCGCGTTTTTCAGTGGATGCAAACTCTGATGACTATGGCAACGATAATATAATCTCTAGAACACCCAGTCCAATGGCATCGTCTTTTATGGACGGCTTAAGCAATAACGATTAGTTTCAGTCAATCTCTACATCTACTTATCTAATTAACCAATTTTTTAAGGAAGCTGTTTGTAATAAACATATTTAATTTCTCGAATATCCCATTCTGTGGTTCCGGTTTTTGGAAGTACTAAGTACCCTACCATATTATGGCGTGGTACGCTTATCGCTGACAGATAGTCTGGTGAACAAAACGCATTCAAGAGTTAATTTTTGTAAATGATTGTAAATGAAAAAACAATAACATCACCCAATATTTTCGATTTGCAAAGGTAACAAATGGCCTTAAATCCTCCCATACTCTGAAAGGGCCTCAAGGATCGCCTTATCGGTTACTTTATGAGCAAAAAGGAAACTTCAGAATCTGAGAAGAAAATCAGCCTTTATTTTCCCAAGCAAAGACAACAAAAATGGAAATGTACTATGGGGCATTCGATGGAATGCTATTTATCAATAATTTAAGTGCAGAAAATATTATAATTCGCTTGGACGTTGATGTGCAATGACTGTGCACCATCAAGCGGCCTAAGCAAAGACGCAGTTCTCCTCCCGCCCAACCGATCGAGGCGCTCTGCCGCATGGCGCTACTACTACTGTCATTTCTTTACATTTCGAGGCATTAAGTTGTAACGAGCTGGCACAACCCCATGACTGAAAGTTATTGAGACCGGATTGCAAGCGAGAATAAAATTAAATGTCCCTCATTAGTAAAGAGGGAGCGGCCTAGATGGCTGCCCTGTGGTACTACCGAAGAAACCTTGACTAGTGAAGAGAGGAAGTTTTTGAAGAGGACTCTTTGAGACCTGGAACAAAGATAGCTAGAAATCCATCTCAGGACGTTGGGCGGAAACCCTAAAGGGTCAAGTTTATGTGGCAGAAGGGAATGGTTTACAGAGTCGAATGCTTTGCTAAAAACGGTGTAAACAAAATCCGTCTGTAAGTGACCTTGAAATCCTTTAATGATGAAAGAGCTGAACTTTAGTAAATTCGTGGTGGTTGATGGCCGCCTTATAAATTGATGCTGAGTTGGTGATATACATAAGTGACTTGCAGAGATGTGTGGAGTGTGCAAGTGTGGAGTAAAAATGTTCTCAAACATTTTAAGAATAGAGAATAACATAGAAATACCTCTGTTGTTCTTTGCATCAGACTTGCTACATTTCTTATGGAGAGGAATTACGAAGAATCAAAAATGTGTCAAGTGCATTCTAAAAAATGTTTGTGACATCACTGCACAAGTACAAGGAAGGACCGCGATTTATCAAGAATATACGTACAGAAACTATCTGTCTATTTTTAGCCATGTCATTTTTGCCTTCATATGCCCTCATTAGCCGACGACCCAAAATAAAATATCTGCCGATGACGACGACGACCGAAACCTTTTCAATAGTATAAATGAGAGATGGCGTGAATAAACCCCAAGTAGCATTATCTAGCCGTGGACCTGACTCCTCAATCATCGTGTTAAAAAGCTGTTCCAAGATTCTGGCTTTCGAGTTTAGAAGATAGGTATACTCAGGCAGATTCTGAATCGAATCCTCTATGTAAACACACGAGTGGCAACCAATAGGGATCAATGGAGTTATTCCAGAGCTGCGGCTTAGGCTTGCCGCCTTTTGAATTTAATCGTGATAAAACAATGAAATATATTATACAAATCCTTGGGTGTGTTTTTTTTTTTTAATGATTTTTGTTGTGTATTTGTTTTTATTTGTATACTAGAGTCTGCATGATGAATACATACACTTAAAAATCTTTGATTTGTACACAGAAATCATTAGAATGAATCATATTATATTATAATTGTTGCAGCTTAGCTTAAGACTAAACTAAACTCTACTTTTTCGACTTTTTCTTCTTTTTCAATATCTTGCTCTTCCGTTTGCTCTTCAAATCTTTGCGCTTCTCGCTCTTCAACGAATCTGTTGACGAATATTTCGCATGTTTCTTAAGTTTTTTATCCTTTTGTTTCCTTTGTTCAAAGCTGCTCTCGGCGGCTGAGCGGCTGCTTACTGGATGCGAAACCTCATTCGGTATCGTATTATCATATTTTAAAACTAAACTACTCTTCGAACTGCTGTCGCCGGCTCGTCTAAACGGATTATCTGGGCGGCATGGCTTCGGTGGCAAGGCTGCTGCCACAGACACAGAAGATACAATGCGCCCTTCGCCCGACTTGACGCTCCTAGCTCCTCTGCGATCTGAGTCGTGTATATTGATTTGACCGATCTTATCGTGCTTGGCGTCTTTGTATTGCCGCCTATTTCTATCGCTCTCGGGCAGTGTTCTCTTGTATACCTGTTGCGAGTGTCTTTTCTCTGTGGAAATAGCTCTATCCCTATCCCTATCTCTCGATTGCTTGTCCCCTCTGCGGGACCCACTATTGGCGTCTGCTCTGCCCCTGTACCCGTCATCATCAGGTGCAGTTTTAGCAGAAATCTCCCGCCTCTTGGCTGCTCTTGACTTGTCCTCCGAGCGACTTCTATCACGCACCACCTTATTGCCCAGCCGCTCCTTCACCGACTTGCTGCTGGGGCGCTGCTTCGGCGAGAGAGAGCGATCTTTATTATCATTTCGAATGGACACAGAGCGGTCCTTGCTGTTGCCCTTGGAATTAATTACAACTTGAAATTCGACTGGTCTGATGGCATTTATGGCCTTGGCAAAGATCGCGTTTTCTGCCTTGCGTATAACGTCCGAGGTGATTTCAGTGTGCTCCCCTCCCGAATTGGCAGAGCCCGCCTTCTTAAAGGAATCATCGAAATTGCAGGACAAACTGTTCTCCTCAAGCTCCCATTTGGACACGTTGACCGCATTCAACGCCGCTGCCTCACTTCGTTTGCCACTTCTGGAGGAGACACTGACGCTCTCCTCACCGAAATTATGTCTATGGGGAGCCTCAACGGCAAACAGGGCCTTAATGGGTTTAACAATATCATTGGTTTTGCTCTGGGCTGGGGAATTCGAGGCAGATTCATATTTTCCATAGCTCTCAGGCAAAGACCGTAAGGGTGGGGTTATCTTACTGGTCTGCTCTATTTGCATGTTGTTAACATCAGAATCGGACCGATTGATCGACGAGCTCTTCTTGGCTCTTTCGTGTTTCTCCTTTTCCTTCTTGACCTTCTTGTCTTTCTTGTTTTTCTTGCGTTCGGTCTTGTCCTTGTCCTTCTTCTTCTTCTTCCGCTCCTTCAACGGAACAGGACTCTTGCTCTTGTTCTCCTTGCCCATATTTCCCATGCCATCCAAGGGATTGGGCGCAGTCGCCTCTGGGGCTGCATTATGTACCACTCGCTGTATCGGCTGCATGCAATACTCGTCCTGTCCTCTTTCTGGCGTCTTAGGAGACCTTTCGCAGTGGTCGTAGCTGGGCCCAACAGTTGATTGCCTCGGGGCGATAATGGCTACTTTCGCTGGGGGAGGAGTCAGGCTTCTGAAGCTGGTGTCAATATGTTTTTGATTCAGTTCCTTACTTCTGCTGCGCGACCTTTTCCGCTTGCGTGGCAACTCGTCCTCGGCGGCACCTCTCTTGGCATGCCCTCCACTGACGCCCAGATGGTGCTTTGGTTTGTAAGCCGCCGCATCATCAAACAATTGCATGCCCTCGAACCCTGGCGGAGGTGGCTCAATTGGGTCAAGTTTGGGAGCACTGGGCTTGGCATATGACTTCTCCCTGAAGTCCGATTTATAAGACGCTTTAGGGGATATGGAACGGCGAGGCGCCGATCTGGTCATACACAAAATATAAAGAATTCTTTAAAGAAACTCTGACAAATTAAGTGTGGAGTTGGGTTTTACCTTTTAATTTTGTTTATGGGCGACTTGGATCCATCACAGGGTTGACGACTGGGTCTATTGTGTCGCGTATGTCGTTCGTAGCTATACTCGCGCTTTCTTTCCCTTGACCTAGGTCGTTTATCCTTTAGATTCAGGTCTCTCAGTGACTCTTTTTCGTATACGGGGGATTTGAAGCGATGCGACCTCTGCCTATCCGGTGACCTGGACCTGTGATGATCTGTGCTCCGAAATCTCTCGGATTTCTGTCTCTCCTTCTCCTTCATAATGCGATTGAAGGCCTCCAGGGGGTCGTCAATAAGGCTATGTTCGAAAATGAGCAAATAATAAAAGGAACCAAGATCCACACAGAGATACTTACCCGGAGCCCACTTTTGCTGCCACGCCCTGATATATTGAGGCTAAATTTGGGGACTGAAACTGTTGGGACATATTCATGTTCATACCTCCGCCTGTGGGTCCATACTGCGCGCGAATGGGATGCACAGGCTGGTTCTGGTACGGCACAAAGCTGAAAATTCAGAAGTTATTTTGGGAATAGAAAAGCTTAAGTATGATTGGTCGGTATGAATGCTGTTTTAATAAACCAAAGCTTAAAGTAGTAACGTAATAGAGCATAGATCGTAACTAAATTACAATTTGAGTAGTACTGCGCAGGCCTCTCCTCGGAGATCCACTCTGCTGAAGATCCCAAGTGGAATAGGATGAAAACATACCTTAAGGGCGGCCGCTGTCCCATATTATTGTATCCATTGCTGTAGGGTGGCGGTATATGGTGGCCCATCATATGCAATGGTGGTGGACCCCGAGGCATTTGCATATACGGCGTCTTATATACATTCCCACGATGCACTTCATCGGACTCGTTCACCACATGGTGTCCCTGGTAGCTTTGGTGTGTCGAGATGGGCGTGGGCAGGAGGCTCCGTTCCCCCCGTTCATTGTGGGGCTTTCCAGACTCCGATTGCGCTGGTGGACGTCGCTTCATATCGGACTCGGACATGTAATCCAATTTATGATCACGTCTGTGTGATACGTGATGAGCAGGAGGTTTCCTTGCAAACGTCGGAGACAACTGCAGACAAACAAAAAAAAAAACGAGTGAAATAAAGTAGAAAAAACTATCTTTTTTTTGGAATAAGTAAGCACTCAACTCACCTTGCTGGAGACAATCGAAGCTGAATCGGCCAGCGGTTGGGGCATCGTAATAGTTATGTTATCTTCATAATCCGAATCATATTTGTCCTTTTCTTTTTCCTTATCCTTTTCCCTTTCCTTTTGCGACTGATCAGCATTACTATCTGTGGCAGCGGCTGTAGTTGCAGCTGCGTCCCGTTCCGTAGATGGCACCTTGGGGGGGTGCTTGTTGCCATTTGTCTCTGGCTCTTCATGCTTTAGAATCCTTTCTTGGATGGACACTTCATCGGGCTCTTTCTCCGCCACGGGCTTCTCCACAGTGGGTTTCTCTTCAATGCTCGGCTTCTCATCGACGGGTTTGTCCTCAATGCCCGGCGGCTTCTCTTCAGTGGGTTTCTCAACTTTTTTAACTGGAACTGTTTTTGAATGGTTTTAGTTTTTTACTTTACTCCGCACTTAACAATATCTTACCCGATTTGGCGGCACGCATTGTATATCCAGTTTCGTTTTTGAAAGCATTCACAGAATTTCTGAGGAATCGATTTGGTATTAGTGATCCCGGTGAACAGTTCTTCTCCTTGCAGTCCGGGCATTCGCTCTCCTCGGACTCCAGCAACGATGTTCGCACGCCTGCCAGTAGAGTAGAGGAAATTAATTAGGGCTTAGGTAATCAAAGCTACTACTAGAGGAGTACGTACAGTCGTCACAGAAGGAACTGCCGCAGCAGGGTATCATGACTGCATCAACAAAAATGTCCCGGCAAATGCCGCAGATTAAATCGTCGGGAATTTCCTGATTCTGCTCCGCTGGCACTACAAACATGGAGGCCTCTTCCTCTGTTACCCTGAAAGAAATCAGAAAATATGGTATTTTTTATCTACTGAATCGAGGACGAAATCCTGTCACTTACGTGTCTGGTTTGTCCCTAAAGGAGCGCGGTATGCCAGTATTTCTTTTCACTTCGAACTGATCTTTACCAGCTGTATAAGGGCAGTTCTTGATCCAGTGACCTGTTTTCTTGCACTTGTTGCAACGATACGAGGCGGGAACTTCGCCCACTTGAGATTGCCCCTTTATGCGATGATACCTGAAGCAAGAAAAAATTTTAGGGAAATTGGCTTTTCAGTTGTGGGCTACTTCTTACGTCTTTGGGTCATAGTCCACAGTACTCTGCATCATCATCGCATGGATTTTGTCCTCTTCAGTGCCTTGCATTTTGGAGAGATCCATATTAAAGTTCTCCTGCTTATTTGAAGAGGGAGCCGGGGCCGCATTTTCGGCTGGCGGCTCCCATCCCTTCTTCGTTGGATGGGCCAACGGTATTCTGGAAATGATCAGCGTAGTGTTTTTTGGTATAAGGACTCCATCATCCTTGTATTCTAAAGGGAAATAGAGAGTTTTATGAACAAACTTGTCTTGTAAACTATTTCAAACATACCTTCTTTAGTCTGCGCATTCGTTATTTGAAGATCAAAGTCTATGATTTTCCCCAGACGCTTCTGCTGTACAATTTCCCTCTTCAGATCGCCCACAGATATGTGAAGTCCATCGAACGTAATGGTATCAAAATTGAGTGTACTTTTGAATTTATAATGCACTGACATTTTCAAGTGTGAGTATGATCTAAGATAGGAAGATTCAATTAGGAGAATATAAATATATAGTGCATGTCCCAAAAAAGCCGCTATCATCTGTATACCATTTATATAACAGAGGGGGCTTGAGCTACAAATTAAAGTTTCAGACTAGAACGTTGTATTACAGTACAGGTCAACATTTGATACATGATGTGGATACATATGCATGTATTTAATGTATGCACCAAATCCGGACAGAAATGTGAAGAAGAAGACGATTTGCAAATAGCAGGTATGTCGGTTCGATGATAGGTTCTGAGAACGATGGTGAAAACGATTTGAAATGGCTAAGAGGACGCTAAATACATATGTATGTACATACATACAGACGTTTGCCCTGTATAAGAAGAAAAATAAGAAGGACGTGTTGTACTTTTAGCAATTTTCTTTTATTTGCACTGATTGGATCACCACGATAACATTACTCGAAGAATCATTACCCACAAAAATCATTGGTATAGCTAAATACGTACAACTAAATAAACGCAATGACATTAACTATATTATTACACCATGGAACGAATATAGCATATGAAAAAACACTGAACTTTCAATTTATGCTACAAGCATACAAATGCGTGAGCGAACTTTTACATCCACATGTAGACATTAAATAGATATCTAAATGTGATTCGAAGAATGTACGGATTAGTTCAAGCCAATCTACCATAAAACACTGGTCATTTACAAGATATTACCGGTAAATATTTGGCACGCGCACAATTACTTACAACTCAAAAATAAACGTCGGAGTATTTTATTTTTGCCTCGACACTATTTATTTGACAGCATTGCACATAATTATATCGATACTGCGATATCTATCGTTATAGGTTAGGTTTGCATTCAAAGTGTTGTATTTTTAGAACGATGGAATCGGAATGATTCGATTTCATACTATCTTGACGTATTAATTATTTATTATGGGCATTTGTGAAACTGATGACGATTAAATTTAAATTTGTTTATATTTTCAGATGGGACCAAATAAATGCGTACAAAATAAACACCTAGTGCAACCATATTGATGCAATATCAATCTGTAAAATAAATCTCCAGGTCGATTTGGATTTTCTTTCCTTTGAAAACTTTGAAAAGCCAATCCTGAGGCTTGTTGATTAATAACACGATCTTTCTTCACCCCATTGCTAAGATTGGTACCACAAAATATTAATGAATTACTAATTTAAAAAATAATTGTGAATTATATTGTGTTTCTAAGTTTATAGCTCGCTGGGTGATCAAGAATATATATGTACATATATTTTATAAGATATTTAACGGTATAAAAATATAGAATCTCAGCACTACTTACGCCATGTCTGATGCGAGAGAGAAAAGAACAAAATAGGACCGTAAAAGAGAGCGCGTTGCAGGAGAGGAACACCTTGTATAATTTCAGCATGCCTTAAAACAAAAAATAACGAATATACGTTGTTGCTCTAGCAGTGAGCAGTGCGTTTTTATGTACTGTTTGCTTAGCGGTATTAGCGAGCTAATATTAAAGTGTATACGCACTATTGAGTCCTGTATACTACAAGTACCTAAAAAGAATCCAATACACTCTTCCTTGATAGGAGAAAACGAAAGAGAATAAATAAAGTCATGGATTGGAAAAGTAGAAAAAATTTATTTTATCCGAGAAGTTGAACCAAACAACGACCATATTTACGCGTATGTAACTATCAAAAACAATTTGAATATAGCTTATTTCTAAACTTAAGATAAATATTTACAATTATATTTGCACTTTCTTGTGACAAAGTTTATATTAAATCTAATAAAATCTATTGTATTTTTATCACCGCCTTTCAATACACAAACTTAGTTATAAACAAAAATTATATTTAGAGCAATCGAAGTATTGGTTTAGGTGCTCGTCCTTACATCTATTTAAATATTAACCAACATATGCGAATGGATTATATGGGGGTGGATAGAAGTTTGGAAAAGATCCAGAGTGCTGAACAGGTATGGTTGCTGTAATTAATTTTGTAACTTGTGTTGGTACAACGGCAGTTGAAAATATTGTGGTATAAGCTGTTCTTGCACCAAATGTCAGTTTCAAAACCTTAGAGCTCGTTTCTGTTGCCATTGTTTGCAAAATTTCAGTGGAAGTAATCAGCTGCTGCTGATGTGGCGGCATGGGCAATAAGGGATTGTAGAAAGGATTGATTGAAAATGGATATTGTGATGTTGGCACGGACAGTGGAGTAATATCAGTAACGTATTCTGTTTTCTCAACTACTCCAACAGACTTGGAGAGCGTTCTCATAATGGTCTCAGTTCCTCTAACTAGAGGTACTACATGCGACTCCCAAATTGTTTCAAGTTTTACAACTGGGCGCGTTGAGGTTATGAAATTGTTTGGTGGTTGGCTCTCTGGAAAATGAATAGTTTCAGGTATCAATGGATTTGTTAGGGTTAGGTTGCTTCCACTCTTGATGTCTTCTTTATTTTTCGGTTTAATTTTCGCATCAAATTTTCCGGTATTATCCTCATCACCGAACTCCAGATCCAAGTTCAGCTCTGATCCAGCTTCGTCTAAGTTCCCTTCGAAGTCTTTAAAGTTCTTGGATGGACTGAAATCTTCGCTTAATGGGGATATTGTTTGCGTAACTGTTATAAGGCTGGTATAATCATATGTTTGAACCAATGTTACTTGGATTGTTTCATTTCTTTTTTCATTAATTATAGGAAGAATCTGTGTTTTAAGCTTGGTTTGTGTTATGGAAAACGATTCAGTTATTGTTTCTAAGCTAGGAGTCTCTGAACCATCTTCAATATAAATAGGTTTTAATGTTGATATACTTCCATCCAATGGTTTTTCATCTGTCTGAGTTGTCGACTCCAAAATATTCTCGGTCAGAGGGCCATCATCTTCAGAGTATTCTTTCGTGTGCTCTTCCCTTATTACTTTTTCTATAGTCGATGTAACGGTCAAAAATCTCGTTTTTTTTACCACTCCCGCCTAAAAAAAGGTTTCAGGATTAAGATAATGGAAACGTGTTAAAGAAGTTTACAAAAATATCAAATATCAATTAAAACATGTCAGAAATTACCTGGAATATAAACGGGCTTTTAATTGTTGCAATTTCATAGTAAGTGTCAATAAAAGGTTTCGGTGTCGATATCTCTACATTTAATGTTTGCACAAAGTACTTTGATTTTTGCTCGTCGTTGTCATTGTTGTTAGCCACAGGGCCATTTTGGGAGCCAGAAGCCTCTAGATCTCTTCCACTGTTTAAGACCTTCAGAATCTGCTCCGGATTTTCGTTTATGGGAACCTCCGGTATGCTTTGATCAACGTGGGTCGTATCATTATTTTGAATGGTAATCGGACTGTTGGAGCTGGTATTCTTCCTTATATTAACTTTGGGCTTTGCAGAGGTTTTATATTGCCATCGACCTGGTCGCCTATTTAGCTTGAATGTGCTAGCACTTGGAACTGTAACGGATTCTTCCTGTAGACTTGTTACTTTGGAGCGATATGAGTGACGTGAGGTAGTTTCCGTTGATGATGGAGTGATTAATATCTTAGTATTTTGCGTTGATTTATGCCTCCTAGAACGAAAAATTGATTTCGGCAAATAATATTTGCATTGCTTTTAATGACACGATGCTCATTTTTAACTAATTGGATTACATCATTACCTTTTTCCTTTTGGGCGAGATGATTTTCTAGTGCTTGATCCTCTGTGATCCCGGCTGCCTTGTTGACTTTTCCGTGGATTTTTAGAGACCAGAGTCTGAGATGTGGAATCTTTTATAGTTTTACTTGGTTGAATCGTTGATGTTTTATTTATTCTGGTCTGCCTGGGCTTGCTCTTTTTCTCGGTATTCGATAAAGATATGGACTGAGGAACTTTTGTAAAACGGCCAGATTCCTTTGTGGAAGTAACACCATTTCTAGCGTTGCCGTCAGCTACTCTTGTCTGATAACCATGGACACTCTCCTTTTTAGACAAATAATTTCTTTGCCGCTCAGCTTCATTCTTCCCCTTAAAGTTAACCACACGATACGATTCTTCGGCAAACTGCTCTGGCTGGCGCGAAAGCAGATCGTATTCGGGGGTGCTTAATAGTGTTTGTATTGGGGAATTCGATATACTTTTATTGTACGACTCACTGTTCGACGTAAATGTTTCGGGATGTACATTGGACTGACTCAAAATTAGAGGGGTAGGTTTGATTCCCTCTTTTTCCTTTTCTTTTTTCGAAAATTTTGGCTTGGTTTCAATAATATTAATGATGTTGTTTGTGTTGTTAGCTTTTAGTTCTAAAAGATACAACAAAAGGAACGTTAATTGGCATATTTAAATCAGTTTGTGTTTACAATGTTTAGGACCTTATTCTCTTGATTAGGGAACATTATCTGAAAATAATAAAAACTCACCAAAATGTGGGGAGCTTTGGGGAGAAAATACCATTACGGTATTCCCAATGGTGGTCGTGAAGTCCAAAAATCCATAAACAGTTTGAGTAAGTAACTCATTTTCACCACAAGATGCTGGCATCGAAATACACATAACAATATAAACTAATTTTAAATATTTTGTTGCATGTGTAGTTTGTACTTTGAAACTTGAGTAAATATCAAATCAAACCATCTATTTATTTAATAAACTTACCGCTTTTTAAAGCACAAAGTATAAGCAAGTAAATTAACATGTTTGTGAAGGGTGCACAGATTTAAAGTTGGGGAAAAATAAATTCAATCTGAAAAATAATTAAAAATTTCGTAATTTATACATGGCAAATGAGTGATACTCGTATAATCTACTATTCATTAAAATTCGAATTATAATAATTAAGTTGGAATATACATATTACCAAACTTAGAGCTGAAACATATACATAAGTATTGTGATTTAACTATCTCTTCAGTCAATTATCTTTGGGCTTTATGTAACTTCTTGGATAATGTGCCGTTGTAATACTAATAAGTTTGGTTTCTTTCTTTTCCGGTGACCTACGTATATTTTTCAATAGTCATTTGATAGTCTCTTCACGATTCCACAAGAAATGTAGTTTTCAGACCTTAATTGAGATCCATAATATCTCGAAATAAGTAGGACGAACTTTGCGACCGCACCGCCACCGATCCGGTGGCATTGGCTCAGCAAAGGTGATCGTTCAAATTTTAAGTAGGGTGTCTCTTTGGTACGCGAATATCAAAATATTTCTACAGTGCCTGCCTTTCGCTTTCGGTCTGCTGTTGGCTGGCTTAGGGGATGTGGGTTGATTCTTGTTTAGGTGGCTTTGCTTTGGTCACTTGTACATACTCCACATTATGCGCCAAGGTCTACAGATTGTCAGTGTGGAGCGGGGGTCTTATCCATTCAGCGGTCAAAAAAGTCTGTGCACACACATTTGCCAGCCAAAATGTTTGAACGGGCCCGTAAACTTTTGTTACCCACAGTATGTAACCACTCACAAACACAAGCACAAAGAAAAGACAAGGCGCACATAGAGACAATGAAACATTTGGTCATTGAGAAACATTGAATAGAGAAAGGCCTACATCATTATTCAGGTTGGTTGCAAAAACACTGTTTCATTTAATTGGATAACTCACTCACACACAATTGTTGGACATACATATATAAAGTACATAGATAGCTTGTAAATAGATACGAGTATTTTATGTTTCTACTAACAAATCACAGCAGCTACATAAAATAGATGGATACATACATACATTCAATGCATTTGGAAATACATATCCATGTAGTCACTTCGTTATATGCACTGGTCCAACACACATTTCAAACAAACTCATTAAACAAGGGGGCAACAATGCAACAGAAACAAAATACGAGTATATGTCTTAACATATATTTTATGTTTGAAGTATGATTTGTCCAATGCGATTTGGTCCGCTGTCTAAGCCACGACGAAGCATAAAGTACCTCTGACAAAGTTACCACGGCATGCACACATGCGCAGGCGCCACGAAGAGAACGTCAACATCATTAATTTGTGGTGCCCGAACTAGGGTTACTCACGATGCGAGAAAACCAGTTTGGTTTCTTCATATCAATGCGCCCCATGGGTTTCGTTTCGTGCCGTTTCGAACAAATTTCGTGAGCCATGAGCGAATTCTCATGAAAATTATGGAGTAAAAAAGATCAAAATACTTAACTCAGTAAAAAAAAACATCTTTTTATCGAATATCTAATACTTTTGTTTGCAAAAATACACTGAAAATGAAGAATCTGCAATAAAAGAAACTCTTTAAGTGAAACAACCCATGCGTTTGTTAAATATTTAACATGTAAAAACCATTTTGAAAAATGATTTAATTAAATATGCTTCGCTCTGCTGATAAATTGAATTTGAATTAGAAGAAAGTCTGGATTAGCAGTTAGTTAGGGACGGGACCAAAACAGCGCTTTTGGAGGGAGCCTCTACCACATAATGGACTTTCTTTTTGTGGTACAAAGCATCGTCTGGTCTGCTGTAAATAAAACTCTTTTTTTAGTCCCCTTCAAAAAGTACGTGATGAGTATCATTAGATTTACTCGCCTGTGTTCATTCTGCGTACGTGTCATTATCGTTGATTATCGTCCACGGTGGCCAACCGTTTCTGGCAGCAGTCGTAGGCCAGGCCCATGCCAACACCCAAGCCCAACCAGATCGGATATGTTCGGGGCCGTGTGAAAAATACTGTGAATACAGTGCCGATTATCAAGCCGCTGGCACCCTTCATAAGAAAGTCTGTAATGCATTTGTCATTGGTCTTGCTAGATGACTCTGCCACGCGAGCTGCTTCCAATTTCTTCGCCTCCAAAGATTTCTGATCTTTACTCATTTTGATAAGCTACGCAGTTTGTTGAGGCTTTGTGTTAGACTGATATATAATCAATGAGTTACTACCTTTTGAATTTGTTTCCAAAAGTATATTTATAAAGTTTTTTTTGTGTTTTTTCAACATCAGCTTGCAAAGCATTATTTGATTGTCTAATGATTCTAGATCGTTAATGGAGATCCTTTTTAGCCATAGTATGAATAATAGTAGTATAATATTTGCAATTATTTCTTGCGTCGGGACATTGTGTTGGCTACAGAGTGGGGCCAACGGTAACAATGGGTTAACAGCATTCTGGTGGCTGACGTAGCCGAAATAAATAAACACAACCGCAGAGCAGAGGAAGGCGAGATGGATGACGATGACGACTACCATAGTTACAAAATCCTAGCAACAATATTTTTTTGTGTATTTTCACCATAGCAACCAGAGGCTCGCGTGTCGTGCAGGATTTGAACAGTGTCGTTTAACTTCAAAACATAGAAAGATGTGAAGGATACGTACGGAAAATGAAGTGCAAAAGGAATTTCCTAACATTTTTAGCTTTTTTTTTCTATTTAGTTAGTAGCTTTTTTTGTATATACGTGCTATGTGTGGATGCTCCGTTCATCCATATTCCGGGCAATGGAGTCATATCTGGAACATATTTGAAAATGTTTCGAACCCAAAATATTAAAGCTTATCTCGGTATTCGCTATGCCCATGCTAGAAGATTTTCCCCTCCAGATATCGAACTAACACCCTGGAAGGGAATTTTTAACGCAACCTCATTCGGAGCGGACTGCTTGCAAAATCCAATGCCTTCCATGGGTAAAGAAACCGACCAAATCCTGAAAATCTTGTCCTCCGATACCAATCAGGAATCAGGCAGTGCCAGGAAATACGAAGAGAACTGTTTGTATCTGAATGTTTTTGTACCTGATGGTGAGTGGTAATTGTCCATCTGAAAATTATTATAATTATTTAATCATTATTATCTTTCCTAAGTTTGTAAGTATTCAAAATTCCGTTTCTTCCATTTTCCTTTCACATTTTCAGGATTGCCTGAAATTAATGGATATGCAGTCGTTGTGTGGATCCATTCAGGGGACTTCTCCACCGGAAGCCCTGCTGATGTGAACCCATTTCAATTGGTCTTTAAGCAAAAGGTGATTGTTGTAACCTTTTCGTATCGGCTTAACATTTTCGGATTTTTTACAACCGACGATGGCGAAGCCCAGGGAAATTATGGACTAATGGATCAGGCAGCAGCCTTGTATTGGGTAAAAAAGAACATCAACTTCTTCGGTGGCGACACAAATCGCATCACCCTCATGGGGCACGATGCCGGAGCAATAAGCGTGGCACTGCACATGACCTCGGGCGAGTGGTCGAAGGGGGGCTTCCATAAGGCTATTATAATGTCGGGCAATCCACTTAACTCTGTGAAACTACCATCCGACTACGAAGGCTCGTTGGACCAAGTTTCGAGCACTTTCGGCTGTCCACGCAGACCCACGTCTATGTTTATGCAGTGCCTCAAGAAAATTGACGGAAAGCGACTCTCCGAGAACCTTCCCTCCGTGAGTTGGGGTCCTGTTTTGGACTTTGGATTGAGTAACACCTCATATCCGTTCATCGAAAACCAGCCAGAGATTTTGTTCAAAAGGGGGAGCTATCACAAGGTGCCGGTCATCATTGGAGTAACCGACATGGAAGAAGTGTTGACCTTATTCAAGGATAATCTCGATGCAGAAATCAGCGCCGCCGACCTGGAGGGTTTCTTCAACGACATAGCAGTGAATGATATGCATAAGCTGGTCAAGAACTACGAATGGTGCTCCAACTACGAATTGATCTCGGAGGCAATCCATTTTATGTACAACAACGAGACGGATAACGATATGAGAAAGGCGAACAAACATATAATCAGTGCCCACACCGAAAAGTTCTATATCACGCCGATGCAAATGTTTGCAGACATGATAAGCAAGGATCAGCACGTTTACAGCTACCTGTTCAAGACACGCCCCAAGAGCGTGCTTCAGGATCTTCCCAGTTGGATAAACGTGCCTAAGTATTTCGATCAGGTCTTCGTCTGGGGCAACCCATATATGACAAACTCCGTGGAGTGGAAGTCTACCGACAAGAAAATTGCCGAAATTATCATGACCCTATGGGCAAACTTTGCGAAAACCTCGAACCCTACCAAGTCCAACGTATACGTCAAGTGGAATGCAATGACTCCCAGCAACGATTCGGTTCTGTTGATCGACGAGAACTTCAATACGGATAATTTACTCAAAAATCAGAGAATCAACTTTTGGAAATCGTTGTACCCCAGAATTCTATATTATTCAGCCGATTGCTGTAATTCCACAAGCTCAGGTAGCTTATTGATTATCCCAAAAACCATTACAATACTATCTACTATTTCTATACTTGTTAAGATATTTTAAATAAAGATTTCTTGAAAAAAAACGTTCCATTTTATAAAAACAAACTGTGCTTTCTGGGTCTAACACTCTCTGAAAGTAAACAACTTGTATATTTTCGTTGTTTCATAGCATTTCAGAATATATATTTCGTTTATTTCGACCGCCAATACATACATATCGATTTCGCTTGTAAAGATACTTGAAGGATGTACACCATCTGTAGTTCTAATATTAATAACCACCAACGACGCTTAGTTGAATAAATATGTATGGCTTTGGAGCTTTGATCCCATACATCATCCAAAAGGAAACTATTCCGAGAAATACAATACTACTCGTGCAGTGATTTGATTAAAATAAATCCGAATATTTGTGGGTCTGCCTCCTCTAAAGTGTTCATTTAAAGACTGAAACTTCAATATCCATTTGGAGCTGGTTGGATTACTGGTCCAGTCTTATAAAAGTACACTTTTTTGGCTCCACACCGTACCCGTTAGGCCATGGTCAACGTGCCAGCCCCGATTCCATAGCCCACACCTTTCGGTCCGTAGTTCTTGCCGTAGCAGGATCGGCAGTAGATGTTGCCATCGGGACCATCGTTTAGGTTAGTCGAGTCCAGATACTTTCGGCAGCCCGAGCAGTAGAAGCACAGCTTGTGCCATATGCTGTTCTTGCTCTTCATCTGCTCGGCCGCAAACACGATGTATCCGCAACGGGGACATCCGTCCTCCGATTGGCCACCGCAGCGGTTAAGCTGTCCCCAACTGAAACAGACACGGAAAATTATGTACAATCGGGTTCGCCGATAGCGATGAAGGGGTCCATACCTGGTGGGCGTATATTCGTAGCTGGTGGAGACTAGAGCTGGGGTGTGACCGTATCCAACGCCCTTGGGGCCGTACAGTTTCGCGTAGCACAGCTTGCAGTAGATGTTATCATCTGGACCGTCGCAGGCCAGGACCGAGTCCAGGGGTCGGTGGCACCTGGCACAGCTGAAGCATTGCCTATGCCACATCTTCCCCTTGGACAGCTGCAGCTCTGCGGCGAATACGGCTCCACCACAGCGCGGGCATCCCTCGCCTTCGGGCGCCTTGATCGATGTCGTATCGGGACACACGAAGGGTCGCTGCGATACGCCTTCACTAGGGGAAGGCCATGGGATAGGTTTTTAGTTGGACTATAATATCGTGTAGAAGTGGACTACCCATACCCACCTAATTCCATCGGTTTGAAGGAAACCATATCCACATGCAAAGCCATATCCATGCGGCCCCCACTTTTTGCCATAGCACGTTTTGCAGTAGACATCGTTGTCCGGGCCGTCGCACGCAATGATGGAGTCGAGGGTCTTTGTGCAGTCCCGACACTTGAAGCACTTCCTATGCCAGGGCCTCCCCTTCGACAGGACCTGCTCCGCAGCAAAAACAACACCTCCACATCTCGGACATCCCTCTCCCAGTGGTGCCTGAATTTGTTCCACGTTTATGGCAGCGGTTTTCGGAGCCATTTCACTATAAAAATGAGGCCAATGGCATGCCCAATGTTAATAAACCAAAGCCATAAATTTCAACAGCAAAATGAAACTCTAACTTCATCACGAATGAGTCGTACCTTTGCCTTTCGCAGTCTTGAATGTCAGACATTAAGCCATTCAGCTGGCCATAGCCTCTGGTTCCAAACTTTGGAGCATAACATCCTGTAAAATGATACTTGTTGATACACTCTGAACCCCAAACAGCCCCAAAAGCTGTCCGTAAGCTGTAAACAATTGAAAGTGAAAAGTACCTCGACAGTAGATATCTTTATCAGGACCGTCACAGTGAAGAGTGGAGTCCAGTGTCTTATTACACTGAACGCACTTGAAGCATCTGCGATGGTACCCCTGGAATCGTAATGAAAGCTCTTTGAAATCATACTCGGAGAAGGCATTCATAAAGAATTGATTTTAATAATCATATATGTACATATATGTATGTCTAAGTGTCTGTTGCCCAAGAACACACCATACCCTAAGGCTTACCTTCCCTCTGGCAAGCATTTGCTCCGCTGCATAAACATATATGCCACACCTGGGACAGCCCTCACCATCGGGCGCTTTTGGCGGAATTTTCGGTGGAACAAAGCTATAATGATTCAGTGAGGTGAGTGATTCAGATGGCTTCCTCAATTAAGCGAGTACGAGTACCACTACAATACATAATTGTACATTCAACAGGGGATGATTCTCATTATATGGCACTGCTGATACAAAGAAAAAACATCAACGAAGACAGACCTTAGCAACAGATTTGGGGACCAACGCAAGGTCATTGGGAGAAACAATATTTACCAAAGAACAAAAGACAGAACAAAAGATTTTGAATTCTATTAGTTTTTCCCGTTACATTTTTACATTTTATTATTGAATTGAGTTGTTTTTTACCATAAAATACATTGTGTATATTTGGACAAATAACAAAAGGTATACATAAAAGCTGTTCTGATCGAGAGTACCATCCCATACCATACTCGCAGAAATGTATGGGCACAAAGGTGACAAGTTCATAGACGAGGTGTATCCATGGGGGAATGCAGTAGAACAAATAAAACAACATGTAAAACATACAGGTTCTAATAGCAAGCAAAACTACACATTTAATTCAAGGAATTTGACACTTTTCATACAAAACATATTTTATTTTAGTCCTTACTCTCTGTTGAGGTGAGAGCCAGTGTCCATGGACAGGCAACCGGCACCACCACCGAAACCGTAACCCTTGGGTCCGTATTTGCGTCCGTGGCAGTTTTTGCAGAACAGTTCCTTTTCATGCTCGGTGCAGTTTGTGGAGTCCAGAGCCTTGTTGCACATGCCTTTTGTGATTAAACGGAACGGAAAGCAAAACGTTATGCCATGTTGCTCCAGGCAAAGATCGATTCGATCGAGGCCATAGTTCTGGTTTATGGATTCTCGCAATACTTACTGCACTTGAAGCATGTTTTATGGAATTTGTAGCCACCAGCAACGCGCTCCTCAGCGGCATAGACCGACTTTCCGCATGCTGGGCACTTGGGAGTTTCCACGGGAACAAAAGGCATTTTGATGTGTGTGTTTGTGTTTGTCTGCGGGGGGAGAGGGAAGGCAAAGACAGGCAAAAACTTCGGTTAAATGCAATTGATTTTGGATGGCCAATGCGAATTGGCAGCGTTTCAGTAATATCCCACGGGCAGAGGCAGAAAAGAACTTTATGTATACATATGTATATGTAACTGCGCTAGCGTACGATGCGTGTGTACATATATACATATATGTACATATATATGGATGTGATGTGATGTATACCTTCGGAGGTACTCTGTGAAGTAGTTCCTATTCGTCGGAAATGCCGCGGACTAGACTGGAAAGATTCTGTACACAGGTAGTCTATATTTGTGGATGCACACGGCACAACTAAGAAAATACAGTTTGCGTAATAAAAACAGCACTTTCTGAATATATCATTATTTATCATGCAATACATGTTCATGGTATGTATGTACACATTTATGTGTACATCGCATCGCTTTCGGCTAATGCTAATGCTACTGCTACTGCTACTACTACACCCCACCCACTCAGGGCGGTAGCAACATAGTAACTTTCAGCTCCCAGACAATGGACCAACGTACACTCTGCTATTTCGAAGCAATGGGATTTCGCATTCTGTATGTCGGTGCAAGTAGTTCCATATATTGATCCATAAGATTCTAAATATATTTTTGCATATAACTATTTATGTATATTAATTGCATATGCAAATTGTATCTGAAAGTGTGGTGTGTGTCCGTACGTGTATCAAAGTAATTCTGCACAACGGACAATTTATTAGCTGTCTGCACGCACACTAACCTATACTATAGCGACTATAGCGACTATAGAATATATATGTACGTACATCTACATATATGTATTTATGTACATACGGTGGGGGTCTTAGTCTATAAATATGTACATACATACATACATGCATACATAGGATATGTATCAAAGTACATTCATGGCCTTATTTTAGGCGTCTCTAAAAATATATAAATAACTCATAACTGCTCAACCCAGTTCCATAAATAAATACCTTACGCATACATTTGTTCATATTGAAATATTGAAATATTTACATGTGTTTGTTGTACATTGTATGTGCATACATACATATCTTTTTGGGGCTTTTCATTTCCTAAATTCATACGAGCATACAATAAGGAAAAGATACAATAAAAACAAAACAGAGATTCATCTGTTCATCTGGCTTTATAGATACATAGATACACACTGTACAATATACATACATATATGTACATATGTATGTTTTCAGATTTGAGGGAGTAGGATGTACATATGTATGGACATATAACGAATAAATTTAGATATGTACGAGTATGTGAAATGCAGACCGATGCGAACGGGGTCAAAAGGCCATGTTTAAATCCGTTCGTAATTAAGTACATACAAACATATGTATGTATGTACAAACCTACAAGTATGTGCACATATTTTCCTCTGCTCCGCGATCTATCTATCCGATGTGATCGATCGAATATATGTACATACCTACATACATGTATGTACATGCATACACACACGTAAGATCATATGGTCAGTGTGTGCAAATAATCCAGTTTGTAAATACATATGTACATGTATGTATGTGTGTCCCATCATATGTAAGTGGATCACATATGTAGCCCCCAAGTGTTTGATTGCCATCTGAATGTATGTTTTTATGGAAAATAACAATGGTTTTGTGCAGATTCGAAGCCATTAAAATATTAATAATCTTGATACCCTTCGAAATTCAGTAATTCAGCAAATGTATGCATGGTATGGTGGGGGTGCCAGTGCCCAGCCCACATATACCTATACAATATAAAATCTATAAATAAGTATGTATTTATTAATTGTAAATCGCTCAATTGCGATTGGCAATGAGCCTAACAATTTATGAAGGCCAGATCTACGATCCGATCTACGGGTATGACTCGTGAGGTAAAACAAAAACAAACACATTCTGCTCTGCTTGTGCTCGGAACTGAAAAAGTATTGAATATACCACGCATCTGAAAGCGTTTACAATTTTATTCCGCCCCAAAACGGTGCCTAGAACGAGGTGTGCTCATTAACTATTAGGAATTTTTGTCGACAGCCGAGTACTCTCTTATTATGACAATGCCCCCCTACTACTCCCAATTAAACCACCTATCCTATCAATATGATAGAATATCAATATTCAAGAAACTTAAGCGGGCGTTGACCTGGTAGCAGTTTTTCGACCAGCCTGGGCCTCACCTTCAAACAAGACTTCGAGTGGAGTCGCTTTCTGCACGGGATTGCTGTGAAAAAAAGCACGACGACCCCACCTGCCTTAGCGCTTTAACATAACAAAGAAATCAATAATTGTCACAGTTCGGCTTGGCTCGCATCAAGGTAACAGACTACTCGTCTTAAGATGAGATAAACATTGGTTTGCTGGGTTACCAGTATATCAAATATAATTTAATCAGTTTATATACTCGTACGAATAGCTATTTACATTTGACTTCATCTTTTATTTAAACCATGCAATAATTAATCGTAATTTATACATATTACAAATAAGAAAAAAATTATGTATGTACGAATTATGTATATGTATGTAAATTACAGTCACTGTAGAAGTATTTTCATTATCATTAAAATTATTATCATTCCGCCTTCAAACGATTCGCAAATTCAACCTGCTGAATTTCCCTCCACTCTTTTTTTGGTTTCATCCTCTTCAATTGTCCGTCCCAGACAAGATCAATTAAGCCTCCCTGCTTTGCAATAACACCCTTCACACGGTTCGCGAAATCAATCGCGGACTCTCCATCCTGTCTGTACATCGGCGGGAGGTACCAGACATCGCATACGATTGCCCATGACGTCATCATCATGTAAAGATACTGCATCATCGAATACTTTGCGCTGTTCCAGAAAGCATCGCCAAATCGCGGATCGTACCTTAAAGAAACAAAGGGCAAGAGATTATCATAATTGTATTCTTCCAACAGATCTGCTACTGTACGCACTTTATGGCCACCGGATATATGACACCGCCGACTTCAAAGCTTCCCTTTTTAAATTGCATTACGGATGTGTTGTTGATGCATGTTCCCTCCGGGAATATAAGAATTGGTGGATTGTTTGGGTCCGAAACATGCTGCTTTAGCCTCTCGGCGACCAAGTGACGGTCCTTTGCCTCGCCTCTCTCAAACCAAATGTGGGGCGACGCTCTGGCCAGTGCCCTTTGGAGGACGCCAAGAAAGCCGCCATGACGTTGGCCAATCTGAAATATATTTGGAGAAACTGTTTAATGTGCCTGCAAATGGAGAGACTCTTTCACCAAGCAGACAACATACAAAATTCCAAAAACCAAACATTAAAACAATAATCAAGCATCATCAACCAAGAAAGTATTAGTAAATTAGTACCTACATTTGTGCGAGGCGAGGAATGTCAACATTAATTAGGAATATACATATAACCTTAATTTTAATGGTATGAATGCCCGAGAATTGGGATAAACCATTATAAAAGCTGACTCGTATAGTACTGAACCTAAGAATAAGAAAAAAGAAAAGTCTAAACAGCTCTCACACAGAAGTTCAGCTCACGATTATTGACTGAACGTTACAGCAGTCCCATAACATTGGTTCTTGATTGGCAACAGCTTCCAAACCAACCGCATTCCAACAACAAAAAAAAAACTATTAATTTTAGGAAAGAATAATAATTAGTATGTACAACAAAGGAAGGGAGAAGAAATAAGGGCTCTCTGCTTATACATCTACCATTCCACTACGGGGTTTTTTATGTACTTTACAGAACTTGAAAACTTAAAAAAGTTGTAGTGTAATTAGAAACGAAACGGAATTCACAAGTGTTTCCATACAATAGTTAGTATCCTTTAGGTCTAAAAATTGCCTTACCAGGGAATAGGTCGAGTCACACATCAGCACCAGCACATCGATGGGGCTGGTATGATTTGCGACGCAAATGCCAGACAACGGGCGATTCTCCTCATTATGGTATGTTATAACTGCTGAAATCGCACTGGACAGGACACCAAAGCATGTCCCCAGTACTAAATTCACGATAGCACGCTTTGTTTGTCCCTCCTTCAGATAGCCCACAGCGGCCGTACACACTGTAAGCCATACTACCTAAGATGGCATAAAATATTAAAGTAATATTATGGTAATATTTTGGCAGGGCATTGCATTCAAGTAAAAAGTATTGTTGTGTGTGTTGTGTGGAGGTTTGCTGGAATACCTTTGCTTGCTCAATGTTTAAGGGGGAACTAAACTCCTACAAAAGTGAAAAACGCATTGGAGGTGAGAGAGAGAACATTCCCAGGGACCCATAGGCCCATAGACCAGCGATGTATCCAAGTTTCTTGCAATCTTCCACGTATGTTTATCAACAATATGTATAGAACTCTTCCGAATCACGCATCAGCTCAGTGGAATCAGTCGGTACAATCAACCCAAGCAAATATCCCAAAAAATCAGCGTGGAAGCTGACCAAATGGACACGGCAGAGAAACGAGCCCACTTTAGGAGTACTCAACGTAAAATCATTAACTAAATGGTAGTAATAAATTAAATATATTCGCTCCTCTTACCTGATTCTTAACTGTGCTAAGAAATAAGCGCTGTGGCAATCAAAATGTAAACAAAACTTAAAAGTACATACAGATGCGCAACTACGCGAAGACAATGACAAAAGCCAAGATACGAATACAGAAACATAGAATAATACTACACATAAAACTGAACTTATTCTAATTAAATTCATGCATGAATTCTCGAATAGTCGGCCGGTGCTTTTCCCAGACGCATATTAAGGTCTTAACTAGTCACCAGGTGTAATTAATGATGGAATTATCGTTAGATAAGAGGTTTCGTCACAATGTTATACCCGAGGGGTTATCAAAACGTACAGATACTGGTACATTTCAGGTCTGTATTACTACCGCTTACTGAATAAATAGTATGTTTGTATGAGCAAGAGAGAGCTACGTTCTGCAAATCCATAGGTACTCGTACCCAGGGAGGGACGGAAGGATAGCCTGTCTGCTGAGAATGGCATTGAGAATTGAGATTGAGTGCATTTACGAAAGATATGAATGTACCATTGAAGAGATGGACGAGAGTTTAGAGTTCGGGGTTACATGCATGAATTATACAATTAAAATCAATCCATTTTTATATGTAGCAGTAAATATAAAACTTCTTTCTCACCAAAGAAAAGGTACGGTCTGTCGATAGTATTGCCACGTCCAATGGAGAGGTATGATTTGCTACACAAAACCCGGATCTGGTGGGCCTGTATTGTTTATTATGAAACTTAATAAGGGATGACAAAGAACTTGCTATAAGACGGAACGTAATTTTAAACGATAAGTCCGCTAAAAGGAGCCGCAAAAATCGATTGGGTATTAGAGCCACAATAGAGTTTGTTAAAACTGCAAATAAAACCTAGGAATCAAATATTTGTATTAGAGAAATGTTAAATAATAAATACAGGCACATAACAATATCAAACAATCAAATCAAACAAAAGATCTTAAAAAGAACGTCTAAAATATTGCAACACAGCAAAGGATTACAATATACTCGTACGTACTCGTATACTCTACGCAATTATGTTGAGAAAACAAAGCTAGAATGCTACAAATAATGCTTAGCACAAATAGTACGAGTAATCAGAGCTCTGTACAAAATCAAAACTAAATAAACATAACTATTTTTAAGCGACATAAGAAGTGGTTTAACAAAAGTTTCATTACAAGATTAAAGCTTAAGACAATTCATCAATTTTAGTACTCCTACTAGGACTTTATTTTTTATCACGTCCCAGTTTTTGACCCTGGTAATGGACTTAAACAGCGGTGGGTTGGCTTTTTGAACAACAAAAGCAACAAAAAACCCTTCTGGGCCAAACTCGAGTCAAGCATCAATGTGCTGCGTCATGCACGCGCCATGTATGTTGGTTTTTGCAACTCCCAGGCATTATCTTTTGCCGCATTCACTTGTGCGTGTCATGCATGAATGTGCTGCGACACTCGTACTATGTTGTTTTTATGCATAATTCTCCGGCATTCTCTTTTGGAGCATTTTCTTCGCGTGTTCGTGTCAAGCATCAATGTGCCACGTCATGATGAGAGCAGTTGGGAGCAAGGACATCCCAATTTCTGGACTAAAATATCCAGAGCGTACCAACTTCCAGCGATAATCGTCGATATGGGTTCAACATAAGCCAATTAAATATTCTGATTCCACGTAAGGACGTTTTTATTATCATACCTGATGCCCAAAGAACTTGTAGCTTTATTCAGGGGAACTAACGTCGATGACCCAAAACTTTCCACATTCCACGAATGTTATTTGTGAAACGCGATAAATTGCTGGAGTTTACTACTAATAAATAGACGAATGGGTTCCCATATGGAACACATAAGCTAACAGCTATAGAACGGTGGCTCCAGAGTAAAATATGTTACATTTGAGGCAACTTACTATTGGTTTCTGTCTTTCGCAAGAATGATTGCTGCCTAGTACTTGCTGTGACAGTTTTGTCCCTGGGATAGCATAAGGTAATGTATCCCTAACGGCTTGAATTAATCGCTTGTTGCGTTGATTCACTTGCATACGAATAGTTATACCAACACTTTATGTTTGTCGAAGGCAAGGGAATCCTAGCAACTTTTAAGTATTTTCTGTACAACAAACATACATAAAAGTTTATACTTACACCAACAAAGCAAACTAATACACGCAATGGCATTAAGAATACATATCGCACAAAAAATCCAACCATCCAAATGAGCGTTATCTTCCAGGATATAAATTCGTGGTGTCTGTTGGTGCGTGTCAGCATGTTCCAGCTTTTCAGCTCCTCCGCCTCGAAACGGGATGTCACATCATCTTCAATTATGGACTCCACTCCGGACTTCAAGTAGTCCAGGCATTTTTCAAAGTCAAAGGTAATTTCTTCCTGAATAAAAACAACAATTGAGATAAAGATGTTTCGTCTAGCGGTTATAATAGACAAGAAAAGGCATCGGATGACCTCTTGTACCTTTTTTGAGGACGCTGGCTTTTCTGGCGCAGGCTCTTGAGGTTGTGGAAGAAGTACTGCATCTCTGGTTATTGTTGTTCCATTTGTACTTTCCTTGGAATCGGCATTATCGACGAACTGCACTGAATTTGTATCGTCAGTCTTAAGATTATTTTGGGAAAGCTGTTGATGCTCTATGCTAACTCGACCATACTGAAAATTCGATAATATAAAAGATAAAATAATACATTAATTACATGTCTGGGACCTTTATCTATAGATGGGGCAAAGAGTTAACAGTTATGAAAGCAGAAGGAAACAGGTTGATAACATAACAACAGTTCTTTCGATGGCTGACCTGACCGACCGACCGACCATAAAGATAAGCTCGTAGCAACTCTTACATGAGCATATAGGTGGGTGTGTTCAAAGAAAAAGCTGTCCAGTTTCATAACTATTCTGAATACAGCCGAAAGCCTTTAAAATTACAATAAAATAACACCTTTTAGCATACATCGGTATGGCCTCTGCATATTGGCTCGCCTGTGCGTATCAATGTATGCATGTACTTTAGGCTGACTATATTTATGGACTTTGGAATAGCTAACTATCAGTTGGCCATGACAGGGGCAATCAACTGAAGGTACGAGCACGAAATTAATGGCTGTTAATATGTCGATGGGTGGTTGGGTGTCACTGGCACAACAAATTTACCTCAAATATCCTTAAAAGAAGATTTACATATGCCCTCCGGACGCCGATGGATTTGTTGATTGCTGATATGAATATCAGAAACGATATGAATCCAGCAAAAGGTATCCAGAATATATTAAGTAATTCGAAGATCATTTTACATTTGCTTGATTCTACATTAATTCCTTGAGACTTAAAATATTAAGAAAAGTTGAGAACCCTTGTCTTTCTTTATATACAATCATAGAAGTAATCGATATTCGATTGTGTGGCACACTCGATTACAAGAAAAGCACTGAACGCCGATAGTTTCTGCCACTATTGAATGTTCACTGTGATGCGATAGTAAAAATGATTAATTGTAAATATTTTGTATCAATATTCATTTAAACTTTCTAAAAAATAAACTGGATCAATAAAAAAATACTCGCGTTTAACATTCATATTGCCAGCTCTTTTCAAGGGTGTTAGACTTCAAGTCAAATCTAGAGTGCAAGAGTCGTACTATTTGCGACAAAAGGTTTTTTCTAGCACACACAGCTGATCAAATCTACAGTTGCGCTGCCACCAGCTCGATTAGAAACGACATATAAAGAAATGAAATATCTATCACTATCAGATCCTAGCTCATATATTTATCTCGCTCACACTGCTTGCTCTGCCGTAAGATTTCGGAGCCTTAATTTTATTGGCTCCTATCATTATAATCATTATTTATTATTAATCATTATATACGAGCCAGGAACTCACATTTTGCATAAATATTTGAATTTAAATTTAATATAATTTTTATTTTCAGATATTCGGTCACATTTATTTCAGTGTACTATATCGATATAAGGTAATCGAATACTAAAATGTTGACAAAGCGTGCTGGATGGTGTTCCCGAAGTGTGTTTGTTTTATGTTGGCAGTTCCATTGAATTATTATTATTACTATTATTTATTGCAACGAAGTTTAATTTTAATTTAACAATTTAATGTTATACATTTGCCTATAATGACGGAGTGATACATATATGGATGAACATATATATATGCGCATACATGATTGAAAATAATTTTAATTAGTTACATTTGTACAATAAGATAAGTGTTCTTTTTATGTTAACGACGATGTCTACAAGCAATACAAACAACATAATCGAGAAAGAAATCGACGATGAGGATATGCTCTCGCCCATTAAGTCGTCCAACAACTTGGTTGTTCGCGTGAATCAAGATACAGATGATAATTTGCAGGCCCTATTCGATAGCGTGTTGAATCCCGGAGATGCAAAACGCCCTTTACAGCTCCCCTTTCGCATGCGGAAGCTTCCAAATTCCTTTTTCACGCCACCAGCCCCCTCGCACTCGCGAGCAAACAGTGCGGACTCCACATACGACGCAGGCTCCCAATCCAATATTAACAAAACTGCGCAGCCCGTGGACGTGCAGCAGCCAGCCATCTCACAGATCCAGCCATCACAACAAAGCCGCCTGGCGATACATCACTTTCGCGCTCGCAGCAGCCCAGCCTCATTGCAGCAGAACTACAACGTGCGCTCCAGGAGCGACGCCAATCCGGGGCCCAGCGGCCAAGGACCGACGTATCCCGAGAACAGTGCCGAGTTCCCCAACAGTGCTGCCAACACTATTGAGCTAGATGGCATGAATACCTGCATGGGGGGCCAGGACATGCCCATGTCCACGCAAACAGTGCATAAAAAGCAGCGATCGTACGATGTGGTAAGCCCCATCCAGTTGCAAAGCCAACTGGGAGCATTGCCACCAGGTTGGGAGCAGGCAAAAACTAATGATGGCCAGATTTATTACTTGAAGTAAGTTATCACAAATACACCCATATGTACACATGTATTGAATGACACTATGGATCTACGAGATATGTGTATAAAATTATATCCGTTTTATAATTATAATGGCCCATCCTTGAATTTAATTCTAAACGCTTTTAGATCATTAACATATAGAAATCTGATTCATTTGCATTTACTTTCAGTCATACAACAAAATCTACGCAATGGGAAGATCCAAGAATTCAATATCGCCAACAGCAGCAGCGCCTAATGGCCGAACGAATCAAGCAAAGCGGTAGGTCTTAAATCCGAATTTCAATCGGGGCTAGAAATGTACTGATGCTTTCGTTTAATTTCGAACCGTTCGATCTCACTAACCCCTGCGTGGAAAGGAAAAGAAAGGAAAGGGCAGGGGCAGCTCAGTAGAGTACCGAAAATGAATCAAGCTTCGACTGTACACATGGCAACTGTCTGTTAATAAACCCAGATCATTCATGTATGCCATTTTTAATGAAAGGTTTCCGTTAGAAAACTTTATCTACACTATCCTCTGAACCCCAGAAAACATTCTTCTGCAGTGGACTCTAAGAGAGTTAGCAGAGATATGGTAGAGTCACATAAAAGAGAAGCGCGATGCGATGCAGTTCCCGCACGATAAGTCCCAATAATGTGCATTGATAGATGGCCCAACAGATAGGCCTTAGAACGGGTGTTCTTTGGTTTAGCGTATTCGTGAATTCGTCCTATTATTACATGTTCCGAATTATGTGTCCCCCAATTAACACGCGTACTTGTTATTTTCAAAGGGCGCCAGGCCACATCCAATTCCAGATAGAATTCCGCTTTTGTTTTGCTTTTAATTTATTTTGGTTTGTAATACATTGTTTTTGTTTAATAGATGTTTTGCAAACTACAAAACAAACTACCACATCGACTATTGCTAACAGCTTGGGTCCACTGCCGGATGGTTGGGAACAGGCAGTTACTGATTCCGGAGATATATATTTTATAAATCACATTGATCGAACGACTTCATGGATTGATCCCAGAATGCGTAAGTCTTGTTCCACCATAACACACTAGCGTATACCATAGGGAATAGAATATTCCTCGTCCAAGTCCATGGGATCTGTTTCGCTATCAGTTATCTATCTCAAGATAACAAATGATATCGTGGATCTTCTGTGGGGGTTGGGGTAAATTCGCGTCATTCCCAAGGCTCTTTTGTGCGGATTTTTGAGACAGTTTCGAAGTGAAGTAAAAAGCTGATTAGGTTGAATAAACAATAAAATACATACATATGTACTCGTACAAACGTATATTCACACCTGTTTCCCCATCTGTTTTTTTTTTTTCCAGAATCTGGACTTACTGGGCTTGACTGCCCAGATAACTTAGTGTCATCCCTACAGGTATGTAACTGATCTATCAGATAGTACTGGCACTATATGTTCGGTGTGTGTTTTCAGATTGAAGATAATATATGCACTAATTTGTTCAACGACGCACAGACCATTGTGAATCCGCCGTCTTCCCACAAACCAGACGATTTGGAATGGTATAAAATAAACTAATTCACATGTATACAAACTGTATTAGACCTAAAAGTTTTATATTTTGTATTATTCTAAATTAAATATTTTTCAAATTTTATAGTATTTATTTCTATACACATTATTGAAGCTTGTCTGGTGTGTGTTGTGCATTCATTTAAAACGTATGAATATGAGTCATGATTGTCATAAAACTGTGCGCTCTGCTATACTCCCCCACATGCCCCAAGATTGCAGAAAACTGCACCAGATAATTCTGGCAGCAAGCATTACTACCGATGGCTCTTCGTTGGTTTGTCGATTGCACTGATCTGATTATGGTTGAGTAGACCATAGGCGTGGTCAGCAGCAGTGACTCATTCTGAAGAACACATCACCCCCTCTCTTCTGAAGCAGAATTTGTATCGCAGTGAAGACTGGGGTGAGGGCTTCCGCATGCGACGGAAGTGGGAGTTGTCGAGCCCCAAGAAATATGTATTCGTTCCGTAATGATATCCAATCTGCAGGATCTGGCATCCTGATGAGTATAGAAGACAGGGGGCTGTCGAAGAAGCCTGCGAAACTACTCCGCCTTTAACACAGTCACAGTTGCAGGCGTCTTGAGCTTTGTTCAACTTGAATTTCATCCTCATAATTTCTTTAATAATGGTCAACACTCTTGGCATGTTCGTTATCTATTAAATATTAGTATTTTTATTTTTAACTATAATAATCTTACAATCTTACAAAATTTCTATAAAAGCGTACAACAACAGTAATTCTTTTTTTGCCGATTCTCCTGCGTCAAATTCATCTCGCGAACAATGGTTGCGAATACTTCATTAACGTTTATCCGATCCTTTGCTGATGCTTCGATAAATGGACAGTCCCAAAGCTGTGCCAAGGCATTACCTAAAAAATAAAATCAAATCAATTAAAAGCGGTTTAGTTGAATATACGGAGTGAGAAGGATGAGAGAAATAATGGTTAATTAAGTATGCAATTCGACGAGCAATACATTTCTGGGATAATCGAATATTGAGTGGTATAATTTCAGGATGTGCCAGGGAGTCTCTTAATAGACACATCTCTTTATTCTGTCTCAACTTTTAAATCGTTTATGCAAGCACCTATTATAATGTACGTCTATTCTTAGAAGCCATTGTTTGACGTTCAAAGGATTATCAAGTTAAATGCACAGGACTGCGATATAAATGGGAGCTCTTAATGATTTATTTCAATTTGTACGCTTACCTTCAGCGGTGGATACCTCTCTTTGGCAATCTAAATCAAATTTATTCGCGACTAGTAGGATGGGTGCTGGCTGACTTCCTTTCACACGAGTGATGACATTTTTCATACTAGAAATATCCTGTTGGCCAAGAGAAGAGAGAAAATATTAGTGTTAGAGAAACTCTCTTTAATGTTGTTAGACTATAAATACCTGAAATGTTTGATGGTTCGTAAGTGAATACATTACAATAAAGCCATGTCCATTCTTGATATATAGATCTCTCATGGAGGCAAATTGCTCTGTTCCTGCTGTGTCCAATATTTCCAAAACACAAGGCGAGCTGTCTACCTGTAAATAGTAGGAACAATATATGCATATTAACAAACTGATTCCACTTTATTTATGGATTACTATTATAGTACATTTTTTCTAGCGGACCGGACTCGTAGCAGTCAATCTAAATGTAAATAAATTAAAATTGCGCAGATGCAATGGCAAAGTACATACAAAAATGCTTTAAACGCCTTTAAACGGGGTTTGGGTGGGAATAGTACGTGCTGATTTAATAGCACGAGTTCTGTCTTTTGATTTGATTGAAAATGTTCAACTCAACCTTATTAAGGGTTATTTTTACGCCCACCCATCGCTGGGTATGTGCTGTCTGTGGAAAATGTCTCCTCCCTCCTGCCAGACGAAAACTTAAGACAATATGTATGAAATATGTACTTTGTATGTACTACTATGCTAGCGAAATCTTAGGCGCATAATTTGTATATTTGCCCCATAAATAAATAAATATAAATGTCACATGGATAATATATTGTGAATCGGCGGCATAAATTGATGTTGAAATTGACTTTAAAACCCTGTCCTCTCGATTTAACACCCACGCCTACGAGTATGCATAAATGTGCACATATCATATGCATGTAAATATCTACATACACACCCGTGGGCACGGATATACATGAATTACATAGTAGATTAATGTACGCTGTTTACATACATATGTGTGTATATATACCTATATTTTTACATTTAAATGAGCATATAAACGTATATATAACAACAATATGTACATTTATTCTCGCATTAATACACACAAACATATGTATGCATACATATATTTGAGCAGACGTACATATGTATATGCATGCCTTTTGTGATTACGCATATGTATGTACATATCATGTGCGTTCGTGTGTGTGTGTGTTTCATGTAGAAATTAATTATGTCTGCTATGTTTTATATCCATATGAAAATTTACTTACCTCTATTTCCTTGCGATAGAAGTCCTCAATTGTAGGATCATACTTTTCAATGAAGCATCCCGAAACAAATTGAACGGTAAGGGCCGATTTACCCACTCCGCCAGATCCGAGCACAACAACTTTAAATTCGCGCATATTTAATCGAGTTTTTGTATTAGATGCGAATAATATAGATGCAAATGTATCTCCTGTACGTGTTTATACTGTACACTGTTTATGTATATGTTATTTAAATAAAAAACAGTTTACAGAGAAAGATATTTTTGATGGATTGGCATTGCGCGTTAGTGCATGAAATGCATGTATACGTTGACAAATTGTCGTTCACTATTCCATAATCCTTACAATGGATTGTATTTTATACTTATCAAACACATATTATATTATAAAATATAATGAAATGATAATTGATAAATGATGACACTGACACTTATTGAAAATGGAACGGAGCAAATGTATGGAGGAAATGAAATAATGGTTTTAGAACGAAAAAATCTTAAGGCAGTTGCACACGATGGTGTGCCCAGATTTGTGAGCTCCCCCGATAGTCTTAACTGATAGATTTGCTTAAACTAAAATCAAAATGGGCTTAAAAAGATTTTTTGTGTCCTGAAAATATAGAATTAAATATGAAAACTAGGCCACAAGCCCACATTAAAAAAAAAAATGGAATGCAATTTATCAAGATTTATTTATTTATTGCAGAAATTTATTAGAAGTAGTTAGTAGTTAGACTTTTGAGACATAATATTTCTGAACATTATTTTAAAATTAAACGGATGTCAGTTTCAAAAGAATCAATAAAAATCCCCCGAAAGAAAACGACGACAACCCAAAACTATTTTATGTAATAGAGAAATAATGTTGAAAATTTAATGTTTGTGTGTTTAAATACAATAACAACATAATTATGCCCGATAAACAAGAAAATAAAATCAAAAAGGCAGATATATAGAGAATGACTATGTTTAGTGGTGTATTTCTATACTTAATTTAGAATTAGCTGTACTAAAAAAATGTTTCAGCTGAAACTGAAAACAACAACCACTGGCGACAGCAGATAAGAGAATACAAAAAAATAGTTGCAATATTTTTTGGACCGAGGATATATTAAATATGCGTAAATAGAGCCGTCGAAGATAAACAGCTGACTGAGCAGCGTAGCCTATGGTCACACTATGGCGCTTGGAAAATTACATACAAAATATATCAGTAATTATAGATGTATTTACATGAGATACATTTTTCGCTAATGAAAGTTTTCGAGATTGGAGGCCCTTTTATTTGGTAGAAGACGAGAAGACGGAAGAAGTCTTGCTGGAATGAAATGAAATTAGCGTGTTTTTGATCTCCCTATAATTTGCCCATACAATCGGGCTTTATTCGACTGCATTAATAAGATTAAACTTTACTTTAACATCTTCTGATTTCTGATGATAGTCGGTATTTTGTTTATCAAGCCTGAGTACCAGGGCGCGGAATTTCGTGACTTCTTATAGCCATAATAAAATACGGTTCCGCTAGTGGTGGCAGACAGTTTCGTCATATAACTGGTGCTGGTGCGTCGTTTATTCGGTATAATAGATTATATGTGCGCTTTGCTGCCCCCTTCTGCCTATCAGCGAAACTAACATAAATAGTGACCAAAACAAAACAGGCTGAGTGAAGAGATAAAAGTATCCTTAAATCGTTTACAAAAATACTTTAAACCAATCGTTACGCTGGCCATATTGAAGCTGCTAGATGTATAAGAGTATAATTATGGATGGCTTAAGTGATGGAAGAAGAACATCTATAATGAAACGGATCAAATTAGTAAGTAAATAAATCATCAAGTGGTGCCGATCTGCAAAAATAAATAAATAAATATGCTATTATAGCTACCCATTCACATCTGTTTTCACTGGCGAAAAATTTATCCTATCTAGGTAGTGGGCTTATATTAAATTAGAAGGCAACTCCACTCCTGCTTCTGAATCTGGTTTCGGTCCGTATAAAAGCGGGAATATAAATAGCAATTAACCCACGGGAAATTACACATCACACCCACATAGTTGCTTACTAATGAAGTAGGAATTTACATGGATGCCATATACCTAAAGATAGCATACCAGCTGCTCTTTTCTCTCTCTCTTTTTGTCGGTCTTTACTGCCTGGATATATCCAAGTGAGACTTCGTTCGAGTTAACGACACATCACATCCGTGTGTGGTTTTACAACACAGATAGTCGCGAAAAAATGGTCTTTAATATATGTTGGTAGGAAGCATTACATGAAACATAGGAGCATGGAGTAAAGGAATATTTCTGTCATATTTACGTTGTGCACATATGTGTTTTGTTTTTTTTTCTTCTTCTTTTCGCTTTACCCTATATTGAACTTGTTACAGTATTCCAACGCAATGAGACTAGATATAGCGAGAGATATAAATGTTTTAGTTTTGAATTTTAGTGAGCATACAAAATATTGATTCAATTCAGGCTATGAAATAACATGTTAGCTGGAACTCATCAGCTGTGCGTGTTTTGCAACAAATAGTGGAACAACCCTTCAACTAATTGCATTGTGGAGATAATTATATCTGTGGAAATATTAAGGGAACTGTGAAGAAATTGACAACTTATATTTATTTTATACGCTGTTCAAAAAGTTTTACGCATATAAAATGTTATATAGGAAGATAAAAAATGGTCTTATGTTTGCTACCCGTCTCCATATTTAATTGAACATATTCTTCTACCACCGTTCCGAAATGTTAGTATCGGCAAACACTAATAGTGTTCTTCGATGTATACATGCAAATATCGAACGATGCGCATCCCTGTCCTTTCCTTCTTTCCGGTGTGGCTCGTTGAATCGGTCAGACAAAATGGTACGTAATCGATGAAATTCTTTGAAATCATAATACTGTATGTCAAGTTTCATTTACTAAAACAAATTTACTGTCTTTCTCCACTAGGCTGCACATAAATCGTTCAGAATAAAGCAGAAATTGGCTAAAAAGCTGAAGCAGAACAGATCGGTTCCGCAATGGGTTCGCCTACGTACTGGCAACACAATCCGGTAAGTAATGCTAATATCTCAATTAGCTGAAAATCTTGTACTGAAGTTGTGGTATTATGCTTTGTGGCCCGTGTCCATTTTCTTTTGTTTCCCTTTGTTGTTAAATCACTTAAATATTTCCAATTAACTAATTTGTTCACCAGTATGGATTGTGTTCATGTAATGTTTCTTGTGTGGACAGTATGTTTTTATGTTGTGATAATGATTTTTTAGTGATCTAAAATATATAAATTTTAACGCGCTGTCACGTGGTTTTTGTGTAAATCAAGACTGATAACAAAGTTTGCCGCCACGGATAAAACAAAAACAAAACGTCTATTTGCGGTTAGTTGTAACAAATAGGTTGAATTTTTAGTCACTTGATAGTTGGCGCACAATATTATGAAACTCTTCCCAAACACACAAATGGACAATTTCGTAATTATTAATATTCATTTAACTTTTATTTCTAGGTACAACGCTAAGCGTCGTCACTGGAGGCGCACCAAGTTGAAGCTGTAAGCAGCTGATGTAGACGCATTTAATCCTGTGGAAATGCTAAATATCTTTTCAAGAATATAAAATAAAGATTCGTTACCGAAGTTCGGATTAAATCAATGGTTTCATTTATGATACACATGGATCTGGGATATGCGCAAATCAAGCATTACAAAAAAGATTACCGGCCACAGTAAATTCGACGGCATTGTTGTTAGCCAGGAGTTGCCTTGCTACGAGTACTGCTCTATTATAAAATTCCCATTAAATTATAAAATTCGACCAAAATTAAGGCATTTTAAAACTTGTTTGTCCTAGTGGAGGATGGCGCAAACGTATTGTGTTGGTCAATCACCCCGATAGCACTGATATCTATATATGATAGCCAATGATTTAGCTTAAAGTAAATACTTAATACTCTTCGATATTTGCACTGCCCACTCTTCGTCTATATATGCTTTCGTCTCTTCATTTCGCATTGTATCGATCTCTCGGGTTCATTCAAACTTTCTTGCATTGGGCCTCGCTTGACTTTGATTAGAATGCACATTGTCAATGAACATTCTTCACTGACCATGTCTGAAATCAATCTATTTAGTCCTGATCTACATAAATACCAAACTGGAACCTTTCGTTGGGTCGACGTTGCTTTAGTTATCAGACTCCCAGTCGACTTTAACCACCTGCTATTAGTTGGGCCAACATTGTCAAGTTCCCATAGTCTCGGCTGAATTCATCCAATTGATATTACTAAAGACTCATTCCGCAACTAATGCTCATGTTAACAAGACTCTTGCCGTAGTGAGCCTCGATGATAGCTTTTCTATTATTTCATTCCTTAAATTTGTTTTTCACTTTGCACTATGTATAGCCGAAGTAAAATGCATTCCCGAGTAATTCAGTTATTACAAAGTGTAACACAAACGATTTATTTAGTCTTTGTCAAAAAGAAATCGTTTATTCTGCGGGGACCTCGAGCGAGCCGTCATTGAGCTCGTCAATAACATCATGGGGATGTTTGCCATCGACAGTGCATCCAACGCTCTGGGCGGTGCCCAGGACTTCTTTGCAGGTTCCTTTCAGTTCACGGGCCATCGACCTGGGCCTCATTGTACGTGCAATGGCCAAGATATCTTCAAAGGCGATGTTGCCACTGTGCTTAACTGGAATAAGACACGAATTTAGAAATCGGATACTGCACTGGATATACCCAGAGCTATAAACTTACTATTCTTTTGCTTCTTGCGATCACGTGGAGGTTCCTTCAGGGCCTTGATGATCAGAGACGCAGCCGATGGAACCACGGAGATGGTTGCCTGTCTGTTTTGAATTGTCAGACACACGGTGATCTTCAGACCTTTCCAGTCGGAAGTAGCCTTGGCAATGTCATCACCTACTTTTTTAGGGGACTGAAGTCATTTTGTTGAGACCGTTCCGGCAGGTAAACAAATCACATATGTACTCACCAGACCAAGTGGACCGATTTTAGGGGCAAGGGAAGATGTAGCTCCAACTTCGCCACCCACACATCGCATGTACACTGAAATTTGAAAGTAACACAGCATTTTTAATAGACATTTTTAGAATGAATTGGCATGCAAAAATTTACACATTTATTTATGAGTAATTTTTTAAATATATGTACAACGAAATTCTTAAACGTACCCAATTTTACTTCCGTAGGATCAAATTTGGGAGGCATTGTTGTATCGTGGCTCAAAAGGCTGCTGTAATGTTAAGATTACATTAATATTAGACGATTTCTTTACAGACATATTTAGCTCTGTACTGTACCGCAAAAAGACACACAGAAAAAGAAAGAAGAAGCTTATCGATTTCCGGTTAGTGTGTGTTATTACCACCTATCGTCGACACTTATCGAAAATAAAAATAATACAAATCGTTATTACTACTATCGAATGGAACGTGGAAGTGAAACTAATATTAATAATAATATAAGCGCAATAATTTGTTGTTTTTACTCAATGATTTTAGTTTGTTATTTATTTATATAATATCAGATTTATTCGGGTAAAAATAAGTTATGATTTTAACCATATGAATATTTTGTTGTGAAATGAACTGAAATGCGATGGTAAGGTCACTCAAAAAATTAGCGTGTCTGCTCAGTGATGGTCACTCTATTCTTTGTTTATTGTTTACATACATACATACATACATACGGACCATGTTTTATTTGCTAATTTAACCATTTTTCAGCCATTAAATAACGTAAGAGTATGTATGTACTTGTATATAGACTGGATTATTTTAGCTTTTATTCTGTTTCTGTAATTTGACCATTCGATTGGCCCATGTATGTACGCACATACGTAGCGTTGATGTCGGCCGAAGCTACGTTTGGGCGGAAATATTTGTATTGATCAAAATATTCTGCGTCTACTAGTCCACGATTTCCGTTCGTGTGTCCGTCACGACCTACCTTCACCAAGAAATTCAAGACCAAATCAGCAACATAAATACATACATATGTATGTATTACCGGCCGGCAGCCGGGTGTAAAGGCTTTAATATCGTTTTGTCTATATGTGCATGGAAAGTTCAAGAGGGTAAAGCAAGTTCAGTTCACTCCTTATTAAGATTAAAACTGTAGCAATTGATGTTGACGTTTAGGTAAAAAATTTTATTGGCAAACGTTTATTTTGTTACTTAGTTATTCAAACATGGATGCTTCGAGTTTCTGTTTTATTTATTACGATCTTCAGAACCAGATTTAAGATGTAGAGCCAACTAGCCTATAACAGCATCTTTGAATAAATTTGCTTCAGATGTAAATGCAACAGAAATTAACGGCAACACGTTTTGTTTATTTGTCCAGAGCCGTATTGTTCTTAGTTGCAATAACGCACTCCTCTCCACATGCTTTAAGCACAGTGCACTGCAAAAAGGAGAAATTAATGAATATGAACAAATGCCAGTAGGCGAAATATTTAAAGTATCTTACCAGTAACTCCTTGCCATTATCAAAATCAGCACGTAATGATTCGCCAATCTCACCATCTGGTACCTTCAAGTCTTCACGCAAGTCTCCGCCGTCCGACATTAGGGTGAGGAAGTTGTCGTCACTGACGGCAATCAACTGGAAGTCTTCACGTTTAACATGGGGAACATCCATGTTATGAGTAGATGGGCAAATATCCTCATATCTGTAATAAAAAGCAACAAAATACACGTGTGTAAAGAAATGTCAAGGTGCTTTGCCTGCAATCAAAATTTTTATTATAAATGCAATATGTTTTGGACATATTTGTATGTATTGGTCAGAAACTGGTTCGTACGTCGCTTTTAATTTTGTTTCTTTCTTAAGGGTGATAATTTTGAGATAAGATTATCACGCCATATAGAACTTACATATACATACACAAATACGAACGTCCGAATACAAATGCAAACGTTAAATAAATCATTGGCTCACATAAAACATACTTACTTCTTGTTGGAAAAAATATCAATTCCAACCATATGAACTTTAGCATGTCCGTGCTTTCCGGTCTTGGATGTAGACATCTCGACGATTTTGCATGGCCTTGACTTCAACATAACAAATCCGTTTTTGCGTAGGGCCGAGCATTGCATCGGATAAGTGGTCGATGCTCCGGAATCGGCCGTGTCAAAATGATCGTCTAGGTCTGCCATATCTGCCACGACACAAGAATGTATTGATTAGTTAATTTATTTGTTACCAGCCTCGCACAAGAGCACTGAAGTACATTCACATGCTACATATGTATATCCATTCATAAATTTGCAAGTTCATTGGCATATGTATGTATGTATGTAAATACATGTCTGCATATGTATATTCCGAAATACATATGTACACACACACACACACTTAGTTTAAAATTGGCAAGTTACACTGCAATGTTCCATTATTTACTTTGCTAAAATTGTTGAGACATAGGACAATGCCAAGACCTGATCATTTTGTGTAATCAAGATATGTACATATGTGTGTATGTCTGTATGTACACACTTTCTTCCACCTAGATTGCACATGAATGCAGTCATAGGTTAATTTTATTGCCGACTGCATTTTAACATTTCAAGCGCACAACCAGGGGGTCAAAACTTTTATCAAGTAGGCCGAATGAATTTGCAAATTTTTAAGCCGCAAATTTATAAAAATAGCACACCTACTTGTGAATCAAGCGACTGTTCCAACCGAAGATGTAAAACGAAAGAACCCTGCTATCGAATGAGACTCACGTTTTGTTTCCGGTCGATAATCAACAAAACAGGAATGCCCAATGCCACTCTGAATTTTTCTCAATGTGCTCATCCGATAGATTATCATTTTTTGGAACGATGAAACTAAACTAATTCGAATTGACGATAGTTTCCGAAATTATTTAATTCAGAAAAAACAATAATAAAACTAACGTTTGAAAGGTGCGAAATAATATCTCTGTTATTTTAAATATTGACATGTATAATTGTAACTGTTTTCTTATTGTTGGTTAACTTTTTTAAAATAAACTTCAATTGGAAGGGACGGAATTACGGTATCATTTTCTATGTAATTTATCTTTTTTCCGCTGTGCGGGTGTGACTTTAGTTTCAATATTGGTTGTTTCAGCTTAATGTTGCCACTAGATATAGTCATAATGGCCGATTCTGTGACCAACGTTGCTTTGTCTTCTATTATTCCGTCTGCCCGTGATCGAAGACCATTACTGTTGCTAGATTTCGTTGAGTTGCGTACGTGTGCGTGTTCGGTATCTTCAATTGTCTTGGACTTGCGAGTTGTAGCAGTTGAACGACGTTTAAATTTGCTGCTAAAGTCATTTTCACTTGTAATATTCTTTAAAGGCTCGGGCAAAATTGTAGTATTTAATTGTTTCCGTCTTTGAAAGATCCTGCTTGTTTTTTTTTGCTTCAGTTTAAAATTACTTGTTTCAGTAATGTTGCGTGTAATTTCAACGGGAGTTTTTTTTGTTGATGTTATAATGCGGGCTTTTCTAAATGTCCGCTTTAGCTTAGGCCTCATCGTCGCTGGAATCGTGGACGTTGACGCTTCGATTAATTTATTATAATTGTCACTACTAGCTATTTCGGTCTTATTTTGTCGGTATTTCGGGGTTTCTTTTGTGGTTACAATATTTTTGAAATGTAGTTTTAGTGATTTTAATTTTCTCCGCATTATTGGTGTCATATTTTTTCTAACTTTTTCCGGTTTTAGGATGGGTTTAAAAGATTCTGTTGTTACAATTGGTAAGTAAGATGGATTTTCTTTGATGGTTTGCACTGTTGTCCAATTTTTGTAATTTTCTAATAGAAGTGCGAATTCAGTTGTTTCTGTAGAGATAACGGGATTCGCGCTGCTGCTGTACTCGACATCAAAAACGGTCATTGTTGTCTGTATCGGGATCGGGATCGGCGCTTCTGTCGTTGGTATCGCTTTAGTTGTAGTCTGAAGAACCTCAGTAGTAATGGAAGGGGGCATTTCAGTTGTTATAATGATTGGTTTCAGACGATACTCATTGGTTTCTTTTGCTGAGCTGTCTGTAAACCTATTCCCTGAACGAGGTAGAATCACATCATCAAGGGTAAAGTAGGTGTGAGTAATATAATTTAAGTATGGAAGACTAGTTGTTGTCAGTGCTAAATCGCTGGCCACGCTATTTAGGCTGCGAGTATATTCCTCTCTTGGAAAACGATTTAAAGCATTCTTAAAACAGTCATCTGATGTTCTTGTGTTTGTTATACTTTCTTGGCATAAGGACCAGCCATTATTTGAAAAGTCGGAGTAATTCCTCTTATTCTCGACGCCTTTTGAAAATTCAGGATTGGGAATCGTTCCTGCTGTCAGAGGTACAAAGGGGTTGATGGGGCCCAGGCTGTAGTCCGTTGTGGTTGTTGGCGTAGTTGGAACAGTGTTAACATTTCTAAAGACGCTTCTGGAAAATCATATAGACGTCAATGATTAAAATGCTAAGATATGCTGACAAAGTATTGTAAATCTATTATACATTATAATAGATACCTTTTGGAAGATCCATATATATCATGGTATGGTGTAGGAGAATGTACATATCTGGGTAACATGTGGATATTACGCATAAAGTTTTTTAATCGCATTTTGCCAACTAAAATTGGAGTCCTGGCATTGTACCAATAGAATTTTCTCAAAGCATTTGGTTGTTGTCTATAGAACATGTAAGGTGGAGGCTCTACAGGCCACATCTAAAAAATTAATTTTGGTTTATTGAAAAGTTTTCGTACTCTTCTTGGATAAATGTTCAATTTTGAATTCATACCTGTCTACTCGGTCCAATGTAGGTAGAAGATGCAGTTATGTTAACTAGTACGTAAGCGATTCCTAATGTAATATAATCCAATTGAAGTAAAAATATCCGTACATGTTAGGTTCTTAGCATCTCTTACCTATTGTCATGTAAATGACAACAAAATTAACTTTCACTTTCCCCAACATATTGGTCAATACCTTTTTGCTGCAGACTACAAAAGACTACTTGCACTAACTAGTAAGCTGTGTATCTGAAGTACTCCCATTTTGCTATCTTGTTGTAATACATATCGATGTGTGTATGTAGGCAACAACGTTAATACAGATGACTGAAGTATTGTTAACCTGGTAATCATTCACTCTGAAAAGGTATAATATCATTATTTTCAATCTATCCATTCATCTTCATTATTAAATTTCTAAAGCACTTGATGTGTCAATCAAGTTTAACCAGCAGCTGATAGATGTGTTTAAATAATTATGACTAGGTAGGTGTTGATATTTTATGAATGACCTTTCCACATACATTTGATTAAGTGTAAGTGATCTTGTTTTAGGAGTTTGCAGATTCTGTTTGCAATCTCTTATTTCTCGGCGTGTGGGCTATGAAGCATGAAAATACACGCTTGGGCAAGCTCATCTTCTCTTTGGTAATTGTTGCATCTCTGCATCATCCTTATACCCTTGCCTGAAGTACGTATGATTATTCACCACGTTTAACAGAAGTATGGGCGTCCACGGGAACCACACAAAATACATGTAGAAGGACTAATTGCACTAAGCACGGAATGTAGGGGGTGATTATATCATTTCATTGCCTTTTGATATTGATTTAAATAAACGGTAAAAACGTATGGGAACAATGGCAGGAAAATATTGCAAAGCTGCTATAGGATTTTTACTAAACAGCTTTTCCAACAGGAGGTATGTTTTAATTTCTCAAATATACTTACAAAGTTTTACAATAATAATAATAAGTTAAAAAATACAGATACTTCTTTTGATTCGATTACTCTCATTTAATTTCAGGTTTTTTTGGATATGTGTGATCCTTCTTTCCGCTTGGAATATGACTACGATTTTTCTTCTTATGAAGAACAGATCTGATACAGATTCGACAAGCATTGGGGTAACCACGTCGTATCTTAGTTGGATAAATACCTTCCCTGCCGTTAGCTTATGCTTGTCTAAAAACAGGATTACAAAAGAGTTTTCGGAAGCAGTGAAACGTCGCGCTGCTAACAACCAGTCTCCTTCGTATACATACATAAGAACATTGTATGATTACCTATTTATAAATCCAAATAACTTGTATTTAAAAGAAGAATACTGCAAGGAATTCAATTCGACCTGTGGGGTTGATATTTTAGATATGAGAAAAGAGGTACATTTCTCCAGTTGCACAGATGTAGTTGTCTATTGAAATATGTACTCGTAATATTATCCCGTATCATAGTTGTTTGCCAGCTCGTGTACAGAGTTTATGGAACAAATTTACTTCTCTGAAAAACTTCTACCCAACTGCGAGGAAATATTCAAGTTTCACGAACTAGAAATGGGATATTGCTTTCTAGCCAACAACTTGATTGATTAGTAAGTATCAGAATTAAATTATTATTAGAATATTAATATTTTAAAATGTTTATAGTCAAAATATCGAAACAATGCCTTTGGTATATTCTTCATTGGACGAATACCGGAATCTAAGATTAGTTCTTCGAAGTGGCCTAATATATCGATACGATGTGTGTTACATTCAAATAATAAAACATAGAAACATGTATTTATAATAATGATTGTAGTTATACATTCACAGCCCTGAAAACCAGCCTTACTTTAATGCTTTATCCTATACGATTACATCGGATCCATCAGTACACAGTTTCAATGTGGAAGGAATAGACAACCACCACGATGTTATTGATGAACCAGTCTCTCAAAGAATGTGCAAATTCGACACGGAGACCAATGACAATAAGGTTCTATACAGGCAAGTCATCAGTACTTTGCTGTAATACTGCATACACATAGCTATAAGAGATATATTAATCTAAAATTTTTCCAGTTTTTCCTCATGCATGTCCGAAATTCGAAGTGAAATTGAAATGAAACTCTGCAACTGTACTTTATTTAACCAGAGTGAACAAAGTATTTGCATTCTCATAAAATGATCTTAAAATCTGTTTCCAATCTATCTTATTTCTAACTTAATTTAGATCCTCTAAAATATTGCGGAGTTGAAGGGATCGTGTGCTTGGACAAAGGTATTCTAGTTATTCCAAAGTAAATACATTCTAAATATTGGATATAAAATTCTTCCAGAAAATCTAGCAACTAAAGTAAAGAGCTATGTTGGTTCTAATATGGTATGCTTACCATCCTGCATGGAACAACAGATAAGCTACGTTGGGTAAGTGAAAAAGTTTATTTTGAAACGGATTACGCTAACTAAAACATCGAAGGTCTCGAGAAAAAAATTTCAACAAATACGGTGATTCAATCATGGTAGAAATCGAAATAACATCACCACCAACAGCCAGATATTTCAGAGCAGTCACTCAAACAAAATTGGATTTAGTAGGTAAAATGTTATTTTCCAAAAGTTCTTGGAATTAGCATTTTTGTAGAGTTTATTTAAATATACTTTTTTGATTTCCAGTTGCCATTGGAGGTGTAATTGGCCTTTTCACTGGTGCATCCTTGTTGAACATCTTGGAAATTATTTCAATGATTTTTTCTAAGATTAGGCTTATGTTTAAAAATTAGACGAGTCGCAGTTTCCACATAGCACATTCCGTCGAATCTCTCTCTCTCTCGTTCCACCAACGAATTTACATCCGGCGGTTATATCTCGCCCACTCCACCAGAGTGCACACTGGTCGAGGAAGATTGTGAGAGAGAGATCTAAGCGCATCTAAAATATCATTTAATATACCATAATTTTTGACATACCGGATATAAATACATTTTAATTTGCTGGTTGTACAGACTTAGGTGCAAGGTGCTTTTGTGCCTTTTAAATGGCCATATACATCTGCAATCTAATTGTATCTGTGCTTAATTATTATTTTCAAATAGATCTAAATGATAGTTTGCGATTTCATTTTCAATGAATATATTAAGATCTCGGGAATTCTCCGTTTTCACTTTATGGACAGAAGTATTTAATTTATGATTTTTATAACGTAATCCAACTCTGAAATAAAGAAATGAATTATACCTTAAAGGGTAATTATATTGTATAGAGCTTACATTCTTATAGAAGGTATATCACTTGAGCTCCTCATATTATCAGAATTCCTTGCCCTCAAGTAGCGATGTTTAACGTCGACACCGCAATTATCGTCCTGTAAGATGCATGATTAAAAGTATTACACGTTTCTGAACATAAAGTGAGGAAATTTCATTTCCAATTCAAATTTGCTTGCTTACATCTCTCATATTGTATGTAAGGACCAGGTTGTTAACGAAACTTTCAAGAAATTCAGGATACAGATCAAGAACGTCCAGCAAATCATCTCTGTGTATCTTATGAATGTCGCAATAGGTCAGCGCCCTAACGACACCATTAGATTTACCAAGCGTTGGGTACATGCATGGGTTCTCGCCAAATATGTCATTTTTTCCTGAAAAAAATTATACAACGGTAACAAGGATTGCCTTAAATAATTCAAATTTTATGTTTTACCTAAGACGACGATCGCGTTACTGTTTCTTTGAATTTCTATCGATCCTCGTGCAATAAAAAACAAAGAGGTAAGTACATCTCCCCTGTGTACTAAAATATCCCCTGGTGGCGCATGAGTGGTTTTGAATTTAAGAGAGAAAGCTCTGCAACAAATTTATAAATGTACATATGTGGAATTACTTCAGTTCTGTCATATACACACCTCAAGCATCCTGGGCTAGCGTTTGAAAAGGCTGGGCACGTTGTCAATAGCTTTCTATTCAAATGCAAACATATATCTGCTTGGAGACACTCTGGAAAGCCTTTCAAGAGCGAGTTCATGTCAATTCCATTGGTGTATGTCCACGCATGTTGAAAATATTCTTCCAGTCTCTGTCTCAGAGGATTTGGAATCTAGGAAATCATAAAAATAAACCTAAATGGTTGTAATCGGTTTTAATCTTCACAAATTACCTGGTGAAAGCGCACGAATTCCCGAACGCGCAACATTTGAGTATGGTACCTTGCAGTTCCCGAGTAAAGTCTTTGTATTATAGCTGACACGTTTCCAAAAATACTGGCATACATGAGAGCTTTCCAGATAAAAAAGAACGTGCACAAATTAATCGCATTACAAATGATCATTTAACATATAAGGAAACTCGTTAACGTACATCCAACTAGCATAACACATATTGTGAACGCTTTTTCGGCATCCGTGTTAGGCGCAACATTTCCAAATCCAACAGAGGTGAGTGACGTAAATGTGAAGTACAAAGCTGTAATATAGCGTGACTATGCACAAAACCGAATCAGAATTAATGTTTCAAAATAAATATTTGAGTACCTTTATTGAAGGTCCACCAGTTTTGTTTTCAAAATAAGGCTCTTGAATATCAAAAGATAGGGAATGCAACCAGCCTATATTTTTCGTAGCCATTGATTTTTCAGCGTTTCCAATTGCGTACCTGAAGGAAATAGATATACAAAATTAGACAAATTCTCACAGTAACAGTAATTTTAACATTAAGAACGTACCATATGCAGGCCAACCAATGGGCAATCAAAATAAACGTGGCCATTAGCAATATAAGTACAGCGGCACCATATTCCGAATACCGGTCAATTTTACGTGCAACACGAACCAATCTTAAGAGTCGAGCAGTTTTTAGTAGTCCGATTAGGGTAGTAGTCTGAGAAATTTTATAAGAATTTTACTTTTATTAGTGGCTGATCGCAGGTTAATCTTAGTTTGGACCCATGGGTGGGTCAAATATACCTCATCGCTTACCTCATCGGTCTCATCATCGCCAACCAGAAGCAAGTCGAAGGGAACCGCTGCCACCAAATCAATAAGGAACCATCCGCTCAAATAATGAACGGCTATACGTCCTGGATGGGATACCACTTCATCCTGACCGTTCACAAAAGTAGTTCGAAAGTTAATAAGAATGTCGACGATAAATGTAACGTCGACTGAAATAATTCATGAAGATTAGTAAGAGCTACAAGAATGGTCATTGACTATTCATTAAATTACAAAATTCATAACATTCGAGGACCTTGAAGTACAAATACGTACCGATTAAATCTATTATGACAATGGGATCTGAGTTTATATATTTGTTATTTCTTCTTTGGTAATCTTTTTCACCCAGCAGAAATGCAGCAACATATGGCGTAAATATTGCAGTATACATAACAAGTATTAAAATAATCCAATCCCATACAGCTTTAAATGGCGAGTAGTGCAAAAGTGTCCATTTATGGTACTTGTTGTTTTGCAGCTTTTGGTCATGTAATATGTTCCCGCGTAAAGAAATAATCTGAAAAGTAATGAAAGTTACTGAAGTAGAGTACGATTCATGTGATTAAAATATACATACCGTCTCAATGGGTTCTTGCATCTTGGGTTCACTCTTTGATCCAAGCAGAGCTTCTTTGTCCAAAACATCGTCGAAGTGCTCTCCCAATCCGTTCTCAACCGACTTCTCAATCGGGCGGTTGTACTTGATATTATTAAGCATGCATTCATAAGAGCTGCTACTACCCTTATGACTTCGATAAACATCATTATTGTTTTTATACGAGCAAAACGATTCGCACTCTCTCTCTGAACTCTGATACCGAAAATATAGTTTCTTTTTATCGCATTTCACACATTTTTTGACCGTTTTTTTATTGATATAGCTTTTTGATTGTGTCGACTTAATATCACCTCTCGAAGTAATATTGGATGGTTCAAGTTGATGTTCACTTCTAATAGTTTTGACTCTCTTCAAACATTCTTTTTTATTATTAATTTGTAATATCAGAGGCGAAAAGTAGCAGTCGGCTATATTCCTTTCACTGTGCTCGTATTTCCCTTCAGCTTTCGATTTGATTTTGAGATCAATGGAAACGCTGCTGTCACTGGCCCGTAGGAATTTATGATAGACGAGGGTGCCGTGCTCCGCCACATTTTTCGGGAATCTTGATAAACTCTCCTTTTTGTCATCGAACATACTGGCGTTTATCAATATATCTGAAACAAAAACTTGTTTCTTTTCAGTTTTGTTGAGGTTGCACATGAGGGAAAATAGTTCTCTTTCAACAAATTTATTAGACTTTGTTACACAATTTCTTTTAAACTCTTTCAAAGGCGGCTTTTTTGCGGCATCGTTGATATTGTTATTGGACATGTACATCTCACACTGTTGCACTATCTTATCCAATTTTCGGATTTCGCTTAATTCTACACAAGATTTGTGGGACATTTTAATATCTGTAAAATATTTAAAAGTAATAAAATTTAGATTTTGATCTAGAAAGCCAATCGACCACTGTAATAGACCTCATGAATAATCTAGGTCTACAAATATCCAATCAAAATCACGCCGCGGCAGTCAAGCAATCCTAAGTTTCACACTCCTCCTCTTACCTCGGTGCACAGTTTAATTAAAGTATAAAAAGGAATTCCTTTCAGTTTCAATCTTTACATCTGCTTGGAATTTGCCAAAAAGTGATTCAAGAATGTACCCACATACATATTTATATTAATATGAACGCAGTATGCAATACACAGAGAAAAATCATAGCTAGTTCAAAGATAAAAAATTATATTTCTACCATGATTTTTTAAGTAAAGTTACTGTAGTTGTTAAGTAAATGTATTTCAGAAGTCGCAAGATAGTACAATGTCAAACACAATTTTGTAAAGCACATTATTTTGTCAGAATTAGAACAAACCCATTTTAAAACTAGTTTAGAACATTTTTCCAGTGTATGCAAAAAACTGGGACAACTAACGGGCATGCGCTTCCCATCGATTGTGTAAAATTACTGTACCTAAGCCGTGGTGTTTTATCTGCAACACTCGGCCACACTAATATAAATGTAAACAATTGATTTTTCCTGCAAAATCTACAAAAAATTTATAAAAAATGTCTGCTGCCAAAAAAGTGGCCGAAGCGGAGGAACTAGTTAGACAGGCAGAGAAAAGGTAGGTGTCAATGTTTTATATACCTAAATAGCCAATGAACAAATCATGACATTGCAGTCTAAAAACATCGCTCTTGAAATGGGTACCTGACTATGACAGTGCAGCTGATGAGTATTCCAAAGCTGGTAAAGTACATTTGTCTAAATCTATGTTTATATATTTTTACCAGATATGTTTTCGGGATTTATATTTATATTTATATATATATATAATATAAATATAAATAAATAAATAATAAATAAATAAATATAATATATATATAAATATAAAATTTATATAAATATATACATATTTATACATACATAAGTAAACCAATGAACGTAACAAAGCTTTAAAAACTGTTTTCGTGGCTCTGTTGGATTTGTAGTTGTCTGTGTATATACATATGTATACACTTTGTGTATAGGGATATGTGCATATGAATGCATGTTTTTGTACATGTAAATAAAGATTAAATCGAAAACCTCATTAATATTTCTCCCAGTCATATATTTTGTGCATAAATGTACCTGTATTCGATTAAGTAGTACCTGTATAACCATTTATCATTCAATTATTTCCAGCTACTGCATTCCGAATAGCAAAAAATTTTGATAAAAGCAAGGTTTATCAATTGAAGGCCATTGAGTGTTACAAAAACAACAAATCTTGGTTCCATGCCGCAAAATGTTACGAGCAGGTGTGTATAATCCTACTCGAACTTTACCTGCAACTTGTATAAGGCCTTAACAGTCAACCTTACAAGGTTTTCCAAAAAGAAATAAGTTGAGAACTGACTTTATATTGTATTACATTTGAATATCTTTAAGATTGTTTTGCTATCAAAAGATACAGACAAATTATTGGAGATTGAAGAATACGTGAACAAAGCTTGTAGCTTATACCAACAACATGGTTCGCCGGAAGCAGCCGCATCCGCTTTGGATAAAGCTGCCAAATTAACTGAACAAAAGCATCCTGAGATGGCTCTACGATTCTACCAGCATGCTATAGAAGTAATAATGGTAAGTCAAGTCTTTGATATATAAGTATCTTTTTAAATAACATTGGAAAAAATTTAATTAATTGATTAATTTTAAGATTGACGACTCCATCCGTCAGGCAACTGAATATTCATCCAAAGTGTCACGAATACTAGTCAAATTAAGGAGGTAATACAGTTACAATTTCAATGACAGTATTATGTATAAAGTCCACCACTTATTTCAGATACGATGAAGCAGCAAAAGCAATTCTGAAAGAGATGGATCTATATCAGCAAACGGAATCCTATGGCCAAATCGGGCGCTTGGTTGTGGCTTTGGTGCTGGTTCAATTAGCCCGTGGCGATTCAGTGGAAGCAGAAAAGGCATTCAAGGAATGGGGAAGTTGTTGCGAGCCCGAAGAGGTGTCTACACTGCAAACACTTTTAAATGCATTTGATGAAGAAGATGCTGAAATGGCGTCCAGAATGTTGGCAACTCCATTTATCAGACATATGGATGTGGAGTACGCGATTTTAGCTAAAAATATTCCATTACCAGAAGGTATGCAGCTGGAGAAGAAATCCGAAGATAATGCTGGCATTGTAAGTTCAATTTTCGCGAGTTACACGAAGTACACTAAGTTATCATTTTTTTCTAACACCTAGGCAACCAACGAAGACGAGGACGAAGGAATATGCTAATTTTGTTAAAGGTTTACAGCTTTCTTCCCTAGAAAATCATAATTATAGTTAATCTGCAAGCTAATACCCCCCTTAAAATAATTGTTAAATAAAATATTCATCACAATCGTTGTATTTTATTCTAATAAAAAAATATTTTAATGTTTGATCTATAAGGAAAACTTATAAATATACATACTACAAGCATTTGAATGTATGTATGTAACATATATAGCGACAAAATAATACAAATAATATGAGTTTGTTCATAGTAATTGATGTTTACCGGATCCTTCGTCGAACGCTTCCTTCTTTCCACATTTCTGCACACACAACCACAAATATACAGCTGCTTTGTCTGACACTGCCAGATCGTTGTGCTGCCACTTCGATTGGCAATTAATAGCAAAAGATTTAATTTATAAATTAATGGACAACTAGGAATTAAATTGAAATACATTGAATGGTTTTAATATGTATCGAATGCTGTGGATTCGATAGTGTTTAATTTCCAAATTGTTTTGAGATATATCACTTGATAAAGAAATGTGTGTGTTTCTCTTTTGAAAATTGAAATTTTTGAGTTGAAACATGCATCCGGTTTGGCAATCTCATTATTATGAAAAAAATAAAATAATAAAAAACAACCGAACGTCATCTGTAACCGATGCCAGCTATTGATATTGATATTTAACCTGTCAACGGAAAACGAAAATAATTTTATTGAAATATTAAGATATACGAAAATAAATTTCCGATTGTATTAATAGAAATTTCAAACATCAGCATAAAGGAATATATTTAAAACTGGGCATTTATGTACTACCATTCTTAAATCGTAAGAATCTTGCATGGCTGATACAAAATAATTCCGTGTACTCCCGATGTGCCGATTCCATCGTGCCAATTTGAAAGACATGTGACTTCGCTTTGCAACTCCGCTAAAAAAATTGATTCGGGTCACCGTTTATTGTATTTTCGACGGTATAAAGAAATCCAATAAAAGCAAATGTTTAAAATAGGCCAGTCAAGTAGAAAATTGATTAACTAATCGGATAAAATTATGTGGGCATGGCAAAATGTTTCATCTAGCTATATTCGACGGAATATTAAAGTTGAACAATAGGAACGACTACCCTCTTTCGTTTTTTTGTGTGACCATATTCGCTAAAACCTCTTTTTACGCAAAATGCAATAAAAGCAAATGTTTAAAATAGGCCAGTCAAGTAGAAAATTGATTCATTAATCGTATAAAATTATGTGGGCATAGATAAAGGCTCGGTTGACAATATTTAAGTAATTGTCGCTCACATTCAAAAAAGTTCGATTTGGCGCGCACCACTCGGTATATTTTTCAAGTGAGACCGTATATACTGTAGAAACTAGTTTTCGCCGCGCTCCCATGTGGTGTTTTTTAGTGCTAAATGGTATTTTTGTCATCTATTAATTTAATTTTCAATTTTATATAAAAATGCAATAAATTCAAGTATTTCGAATAGGCCAATCATGTATAGAATTGATTCATAAATCGTGCAAAATTGAGTGGGCATGGCTAAATATTCCATATAGATAGTATTATTCAACGGAACAAAGAATATGAGGAATTGGTCGTTTTTTGAATCGATTTTGAATTCGCCGCAGTTCGCCGCATTTCGCCCCAATTCGCTTTAGCAACAATGAGTCCCATTCCATACACAAACATGTTGCTAACATACCCTGGGGGAAATGGATGTTATAGAATTGAGGAAAAAGGGTGTACAAAGGCCTATACAAGCGTTATGTCTTCAAATTCCAGCGACATTGCAACTGTTTTTTTGTTGAACTATTTTGCTTAAACCCTTTTTTACAATAAATACAATAAAAGCAAGGACTAAAAACTGGCCAATTAAGTAGAAAATTGATTCATTAATCGTATAAAATTATGTGGGCATAGATAAAGGCCCGGTTGACAACATTTAAGTCCTTGTCGCTCACATTCAAAAAAGTTCGATTTGGCGCGCACCCCTCGGTATATTTTTCAAGTGAGACCGTATATACTGTAGAAACTGGTTTTCGCCGCGCTCCCATGTGGTGTTTTTTAGTGCTAAATGGTATTTTTGTCATCTATTAATTTAATTTTCAATTTTATATAAAAATCCAATAAATGCAAGTATTTTGAATAGGCCAATCAAGTATAGAATTGATTCATAAATCGTGCAAAATTGAGTGGGCATGGCTAAATATTCCATATAGATAGTATTATTCAACGGAACAAAGAATTGGTCGTTTTTTGAATCGAATTTGGATTCGCCGCCGTTCGCCGCAGTTCGCCGCATTTCGCCCCAATTCGCTTTAGCAACAATGAGTCTCATTCCATACACAAATGTTGCGCATTCCATACACAAAAGTTGCGGCAACATTTACTTGAAAACCGTTTTTTGGTCAAAATAAAATACATAAAGGTAATTAAAAGAAGCAATCTTGTAGAAAATACATTTATCTATGGAATAAAGCTAAGTGGGCAAATCTATATAGCTTGAAATATAGGCAATACCCGATTCGCCGCAGTTTCGCTATTGCAACAATGAGTCTCATTCCATGCACAAACATGTTGCTAATTCCATGCACACATACCCTGGGGGTAATGGATGTTATAGAATTGTGAATACGTTTGTCTTCCAAGACTCCGTAGGTATCAGATCCACATAAATATATACAAGATACTTATAATGTACTTGAATATGTCTAAAAAATATCAATTTGATAAAAGGTCTTTATAAATCACGTTTCATCTTCATATAAAATTAGCGAAATAGGGTGTACAAAGGCCTACACGCAACATAGTGACTCTTTTTTTGTTGGACTTTTTCGTTCAAACCTTTTTTTACAATAAATACAATAAAAGCAAGGATTAAAAACTATCCAATCTTGTAGAAAATTGATTCATTAATCGTATAAAATTATGTGGGCATTGCTGAGAGATTTAGTTAGTCAGCATTATTCAATGGAATATCAAAATTGAGCAATATGAACGAATTTCCTTTTTCGTTTGTTTTGATTGACCTATTTCGCTACTTGTTTTTTGTTTGACTGATTTCGCTAAAACCTCTTTTTACGCAAAATGCAATAAAAGCAAGTATTTAAAATAAGCCAGTCAAGTTCAGAATAGTTTAATTAATCGGATATAGTTATGTGGGCATGGCTAAAGGTTCTATATAGCTGGTAATATTCAACGGAACAAAGAATATGAGGAATATGGTTTCCAATCCTGACGGAGAACGATTAACCTATTACAAGCCAAGGGGGTATTTCAATTTTCCACTGAAAATAATGAAAATTTAATCATTTTAGCGCAGTTCAGCTGAAAAATATCGTGATTTTTTTAAAGTTTATAGTAGAGATGGCATGAATCCTCAAGAAGAATTTACAATCAGTAATATTTTCCGCCATTTACCTCAAGTAGTTGAACTATTTAAATATAGGGGGCTTTAGTGGGCTAAGACGCTTGCACGGTTATTCTGTGCTTCCCACTATCGCCCACTATCGAAACATTGAACCATCGATATTACCCTATATACCCTCTACACCAAATTAGTGATGTAAATTTAAATGAAAACATGGATTCGATGTCCATCGATGTTCTCAAAATCAAACATCGATGTTGGATTGATACATCTGATTGATTCTTCGATGCATCGATGATGACCGATGTTTCAAAACTTTCCCATTTGATTATAAAACCGAATATTCAACAAAGGAAAAATTAAACTTGAGTTTTCATAGCAGAGTTTTACATATCATAGGACTAAACGAAACAATATTTAACATAAAAGAAATGATTATGCTTTCATAGCAGTCTTTTACGTATCACTGTAGGTATCATCAGAGATAACTAATATTTCAAATAAGTACTATTTGTCAATGCTTAGCAAAAACCAAAATGCGGCTTAGTCGCACAGGTGAAAATCTATTACCTTTTCGACTTAATAGTTAGCAGCCGCTGAGTACACCCGTTCAAAATACACCCAGAAGATGCCATTAACGTAGAAATTGCATTGCAATTTTGTATAAATTAGGATAGGTACTTTTTACACCGTCCCAAAAACACGAAGGATTGCTTTCAAATGAGGCAGGCATTGCTGTGTTTGCTGCTTACAGATTTGAAATTAATTGATCGATGTTTTGCAAAACATCGATACATTACTCGACATCGGTAGAAGTAAAAACATCGGAAAACATCAGTAAACATCGGCAGAAAAACATCGATGCTCGATTCATCGATGTTTTTTTACACCATCACTAGCGAAAGACGGAAGGTTAAGCAGTATTTGTAACATATAAATCTGATTTTTTGAAATTTTGTGAAAGTGCTAAACTAAAAGAAAAATGGTATGTATTTAAACGATTTAATTATTAATAAAAATAAAAAGGACCAACCATATAAATATATATGTATTTATATATTTATACATATATATGTACATATATATTCATAGGTATAGCTGATTTAAGTGTATATCTTGATACACAAATCCATGCATATTTGTATGTTTGGATGAATCATATGCAGCTCCTTTGAAAACTGTATATGTGTTTGATATCTGGACATATATTTTTACAAGGGTGTGCATATATTTATAATATATATAAAATAATAGTACATCTGTTCAAACTTTTTGCAAATATACATACATATATAACCAACGTTGGCTATATTCGGCGATATATGTTCATGTGTATGCATGCTTCCATACACATGTATGTAAACCAAATTAGTCATTGGTAGGAACGGATATTACTCATTTATTAAAGTGCTTCCATACTTTTCGCGATTCACGCAAATTGCCAAATGGCAATTGCAGAACTTAATCGAAGAAGAAAAGGTTTTAGGCGGTGCATATGCACATATGTATGTACAATTTTCTCTTCCAAATGGGTGGCGGAGGCGGCGTCTTGGCCGAACCGAACCAGAAAGAAAAATTGGAGAAAAATAGGCACGCTTATACACACACACTTTTGCATGTGTATATATTTTTACACACAAATATATGTATTCATGTGTGTGTGTAGGTATATGCCGCTTTTTTTATTTCGATGGCTATTAATATGTACACATGTCTGTATGTATCTGCATGTTCTCCCACGGACGAATGTACAAATATATAACTATACCGAAATATGTATAAATATATATCCATATATGTATCGCCGGAATACATATTTAAGGTGTGTGGAGAGCGATCCGATCATTTCCCTGCCGCCGCCTGTGCGTGTGTATGCTTGAATACATGCTCGCTTGCATTTGTATGAATGTGTGTGTGATGGCCACAGACGTTTGTATGTAGGAAAAATGTATTCCCGATTGCCGAATATTGCACGAAAATATGTGTAAATCCTTGAGTACTTAGAAAGTAAGGGTCTTCAAATTATTAAACCATGTGGCGTTTCTCAACTTCGACTAAAACCCACAGCATTTCATGTTTTATTACTTTTGTTTGCCCTTAGTTTTGCCGGCAGTTGTAAAATTACCCTTGAACTTTTGCCGGGTTGAAACTGTAAATGGTGCCACACCCACTGCCATCCCTGTAAATTATTTTCGGAAAATGATTTTATTGCAACCATTTTAAGATAAATAAATAAGCTATGAATAAATACGGTGCATAAATACGGATAAAATAAAGAAAAAGTTATTACTTTGCATACTTATTTGTTGTTATTGCCGGCAATGACTGCAACATTTTCATATAGTTAAAAAGAGACGGCAATAGTGTTGGCTCAGACACAGGGGGAGTTGAGTTGTGTTGACGCACACCAGACACTAATACACACACAGGGGTACACATGTATAGTAAACGGTAGAATGGTTTTTGGCGCCTTTACAAACTTTTAAATTAATCATTTAGTTCTTGCCATTAACATGGAAAATATTTACTTTGAATTTTGACAGGCTTCAGGTGTAACTGTGTCCGATGTCTGCAAGACTACATACGAGGAAATCAAAAAGGACAAAAAGCATCGTTATGTCATTTTCTACATCCGTGACGAAAAGCAGATCGATGTGGAAACTGTGGCAGATCGCAACAGCGAATACGACCAGTTTCTAGAAGATATCCAGAAATGCGGTCCTGGCGAATGCCGGTAAGTTTTACTTCCATGTACCATATATAGTAGTGTCTGTTCCGCATGCATCCACATTTTAAAATCCAAGACAAATTAAATGTGATCCCTCAGTTATTATTTCTTAATAGTATAAGGGACCTGTTCCTCTGAGATTCTTACGTTTTTCCCATTATTTTATCTTTATTTTGTCTATTCGTATCCGGATCGCATCCGAACATCGAAGACTTTAAAAGCGGGATTCACCAAGCATTGGTGTCCTCCGCACGAACCAAGCAGATCTGCGATTGTAAATGTAGCTTAATCTTCGTAAAAACGTATAACTCGACAGCCTATAATAACCGATTTCTATTTCAATTCAACAGATATGGATTGTTCGACTTTGAGTACATGCATCAATGCCAAGGCACCTCTGAGAGTTCAAAGAAGCAAAAGCTGTTCCTTATGTCGTGGTGTCCCGATACTGCTAAGGTATGAAGATAACCCAACCCAGCCATGTGTGGGTTAATTACAGTTAATTAATGCCACATTTGTTCTTTGTTCTTTTTTGTTGCAGGTTAAGAAGAAGATGTTGTATTCCAGCTCTTTCGATGCTCTCAAGAAATCGCTGGTGGGCGTACAAAAGTATATACAAGCCACCGATCTGTCCGAAGCCTCCCGGGAAGCCGTCGAGGAGAAGCTTCGCGCCACTGACCGCCAATAAACTGTATGGAGAAAGCACTGTGCATTGCATTTAACGAACAAGAAAGGCATGCATAAAACAGCGATCAAAACATATGTATCCTGTTGAGATCGCCAATTTGTAAGAGAATTTTCTACATAATTTGTATTTTCAGTAGAAATAAAGAAAATGAATGAAACATATAACTTATTATTTATTTGTTTGCCACCCTGTCCGCAGGGCCCCGCAGGCCAAGCAACTTAAACACTCGATAAGACTATCTTTACAATACGTATTCACCGATTAGGAGTGAAAACAACCTCCAATGGACACTTAATAGCCATGCTGGATCACTAATGTCTGCAGAACCTTCCGGATGGGAGGGCAGGTGTTCAGTGACGACTTGAGGCCCAGGGAAAATGCAACCGATAAGATTTCGATGGCATGCTCCTGCAGTAGTACCGACATCTCTGGCAGGTTATCGATCGCTGTCGCTGCCACCGACGAATTCTCGTCCCTCAGGCACTGTATGTAGGCGTTTAGGGTGCACACATTGATGTCCGAGTTTCCGGGATTGTGTTTCAGATGCCTAATCAGGATTATAAAGGCAATCGATCGTATCTGGGCACTCGGCGAGAATATCAGGTTGAGCAGCCGCTCGAAGAGCTCGTTGATGAACACAAACCTCTTAGATGTGAGGCACTCCAGTTCTTGCATTGGCCCCAGCACGACGTCCTCCATGTTGGACTGCTTGATGATCTTGATTAGGTCAAGAAAGTGCGGCGATATGTCCGTGTAGTTCGATCTGCTGTACGAGCTCAAAGTCAGAACTGAAGAGGGCCCTCGGACACCCACGACGTCTGCCACCGGAACATTGCTCGCGGTGCCTTCTAAAGGCTCAATCTCGGCTACCACTGGCTTGCTAGCCGATGGCTTCACCTCAAAGTGCTCGTCCAGCTCATACTCGTACCGAACCTCCTCGTCGTCCAGCTCAGAGAGGAAGTTCGACTTGTGCTGAAGCAGGGCCACTGCCTGGACGAGGACCTGCAGCTTGCCCAGCGAAGTGTACTTGGCGGCCAGCTCCATCAGTATGCCCACGTACTGCTCGATGAACAGCAGGGCACTGGACGGGTTGTAGTTGATATATGCCTGCAGTACCTGCACAAACTTGCTGAGCATCTGGAAGGCCTCCTTGACCGAGCTGTGGTGCTTGAAGAAGTTAAAATAGCAGGAGAGGGTTGTCTGGATTTCGGTCTTGTACGAGTCTTCGAAAATAGTTGGCTGCAAAAGCTCCAGGGTCCTAAGGATCTGCACGAACCGATGGAAGTGATGCTCCTCGCGAAGCGCTTTCATGGTGATCTGTGCCCGGCCCTGCATTATCGAAGAGAGTACGCTCAACTGACGCAGAAAGAGTAGCGGATGGGATGCGGCCAGCTTTCGCAGAAGCAGCTCCGTGTCAGTCGACAATGTTTCAAAGTCTTTCTTTCCCACTAGGCTACCCAAGCACGTTATCAAATTATTCGAGACATTGTCGGCCTGACAGCCCTTCAGGGTCTGTAACTTATACGATCTCTCGCCATCTTTGCTGGGCCGCAGAAACTTGATGCGCGGATACATGATGTACATCTGTTGCAGGACCTGCAGTTTCAGATAATCGGACACCGAGCTCTCCTCCACATAATCCATAACCTTGACCATCAGGTCCCTTCGCTTCTCTGTTAGCTTGAACAGCAGCTGCATTCTGGAACATAGCTTGAAGTCGTAGCCTCTGCTGTCGACCTTAATCTCGGAGACTCCTTCGTGCAGCATAAAATGTGTGAATGGCTCCAGCTCTGAGTCTTTGAGCAGGAAAAAGGGATCGGGGCGGGCATTCTTGGAAGAGGACTTCTCCCTCCCTTTCCACAGTTTCGGATTGGTGGTCAGTGCCTCGAAATAGTTAAGTACCGTGCTATAATCGTATTCTGCCCGGAACTCCCTGAACAGGAACTCTGCTATCCTTTCGATGGTGTCCCAATTTGTCTGGTGGTTTATCAGCGACAGCAGATAGAATCGAAACTCACTGCACGACTTGGAGAACAGGAACTTCTCCTTCAGCAGCTGGCTGGACACTATTTCGGGATCTACTTCAGATAGCCAATCGATAAAGAGACCATTTTGGAAGATCTGTTCATTGTGGCAACTGTGGCTTATGCTGCTGCTGCTATCCATTTTCGGTGCATCGAAACTTTTGATGGTGTCCCTAACGATCTTCTTCCTGGCCAATAAAGCACTGTTGCCCTTGAACTGTTGAAAGTAAATGTCCCGGGAGTTTCGCAGCATAAACACCAGGCTATCGTGATACAGCTCAGTGCTCTGCAGCAGGCTCAGATCTAGGCTAAAATTTTGCCTGAAGATTTTGAAATTCTTTTGCAGGCTTTTCTCCAGAATGCGATAGCTGTCGCGGTGCAGCATACAGCTGAAGAATGCCCGCAGCAGGGTGCTGGCATGCCGACTCATTATGATGGCCCTCTCAAAATCCACGCTACGATCGGGCGGCAGCTTGGCCACCACCTCGGTTACAGTGGCCAGCAGATCGTTGTTGCTGCTGCTTCTATGTGGACTTATCACGATTTCGAGGAGATGATGGATCAGATCCCGGCAATCGGTGCGGCAAATTAAACCCTGATCTGGCTGGGTGAGTACCCTCTGAACCAACTGTTTGGTTAAGTTGTTGCTGCTGGTGATGTTGCTAATGCTTCTGCTACTGCTGGCATCGTTGGCATCATAGTCCCCAATTTCAATATTCTCCTGAATAATCACACTGAGTCTGGGCAGATCCGGCACCGTCTGGGAATGGGAGTGCAGGTCGAGGGCTTGGACCGTATAATGTCCATTCTTGGCACCACGCGCCTGCTGAATCTCAATTAGTTGCGCCAGATAGGCCTTGTTGAGTATGGCGTTCTTGACCAGATCAAACTGCTCGAGCACTGCCGTGTCCAGCATGGCCAGTAGCTTGGACATGGAGTTCACGGGGGTGCCAAAGTTCTGCACAAAGAGCACAATCTGGTCGGGCGTCAGGTCATGGAGTGCGGCCTCGATTAGCCTGTCCACCGAGGATCGGATCATTTTCAGCTTCAGCCAGTCGGGCAGCAGTTGCACCTGCTCCTGCGGCATGCTGGGCAGAAAGGCGACGGGCGCCGGTCGTCCGGGGGGAAACCAGTAATCCAGAATCGGTATGGACTCTGGCATGTTGTTGTTCGAATACGTGAGCAGTATAATAAAGGCGTGTATGATGTTGATGTGCAGAGGAAGCTGCACGCCATCATCGAACTGTACCATCAACAGATCCGGGTACTCGGTCCACTCGTAGGGCTCGTGGTACTCCCTCAGCTTGATAATGTAGTTGTTGAACATGACAAACAAACACTTGAGCGTCTGGATGCGAGTATCGTCTGGCGCATAGTCATAGTCCTCCTGTGATATGATAATGTGCTGGAACATGGTGCTGCGCTCCACAATCAATTGGGCCATATCGATCACATGGTCGAGCATTTCGTTCACGGGATCGCCCATCGTGTGGGCCGTAATGAACTGAATGTAGGCCATGATCAGCTCTGGGCAGTTCTCCACTTGGCAGGCAGCTCGCAGCTGTGGAATTATAAACGGTTTCACCTCGAAGAAATGCGGTATCTGCTGGATCGATTTCAATAGCCATTCATGCTCGTAGTCATCCGAGTGCCTGAAGATGATGTTGAGGCCGGAAAGAGCGGCCACCCGCGACTGCTTCACAGTGGAGGAGAGCCGTCTGAATATATAATCAAGTAGCTCGCACACGATCTGATGGTTGAGGCTGGCGTCAAATGTTAAATTGCGCAGGAAATTCACCAGTTCAGCATCACGGCTGTTCTCCTCGTTAATATTAACTGCATTGAATAGGAGGAACTCGCACAGGCACTGCACCGGCAGGTGACTAAAGTCTCCCTCGCTATTCTGAACCAAATCCGACAGCCACGGCATCGACTGAGTGGTGCCCTGCCTTTGAATTATGTCCAGCAGCAGGTCGGGCTTGCGACAGCGGCAGAACAAGTGGCCGAGCTTGTAGGTCTGATTGAGGAACTTCATTTGATCCAATACCATAGACGGGACCTTGCGCGGTGCACCCAGCGGAGCCATTAGCATTAGCTGGGTAATCAGAATTGCGTTCTCCTCCGTAATGACTGCATTCGGAGACGTTTGCGCCGCCAAATATGTTTCAAACTGCAGGATATGGTCTCTTTCCACAGTCATTATCTGTAAATGTCAAGAGGGATAATCGGATAATGGAAATGCTAGTGTTTTGTTTACAATTTACCTGCAACTCGTCCTTGCTGGCCGCGGTATTCACAAACTGGCTCGTGATGCATATCTCAATCAGCATTTTCATTGTGGGATAGTGATCCCAGCAGAAGGCCCCAAATGTCGAGGGATTGTGGGCGGATATCATGAGTAGAATCAGCCAGGTCTTCCAGTAAAAGGCAATGATGGCCAGCTTTGGGGGCTCATAGTCCGAGGGCAGTCGAATGTTCTCCGGATGGTGGTATTCGGACATATTAAACAGGAAGTCTATTATGTCGAACTTATTGGCCTGCACGGCGGGAATATTGCTGGTCTTCATTCCAGAAACGCGCTTGATAACCAAAAACAATATATCGAAGGTGTTGGCAATCGAAAAGGGTATATCTTTGGTGATTCCAATCAAAATAATGCGCAGCAGGGTCTCCTCGTGAATGGGCGTCTCCGAGATGATCCGCAATATGGCCACCCGCTCTGGCTCCGAGGGCCACTGATCGCACCGTGAATACTGCTCGGGTGTGTCCAGCAGGAGCAGCTTGTGCAGCGCCTGGTGGTACTCAATGCCAGTTATTTTGAAAACGTTCGGCACCGTTTCGTACATCCACGACACCGTGTCCAGTTGAATCTGTCCCATTTGGTTATACAGCTTGAGCAGGGCTTGGTTATTTTTCACATCGCGATTGTTCTTCAGCGAGAGGCTGGCCTCACGCGCCTGCGGTGTGGCCGAAAGGAACATGCAGAGGCATACAATGTCTACCATTGAATGGAATATGCGCTCCTTGAACTCAAACTGTTCTATTTGCGGGGTGAGGTCCTCTCGTTCGCTAAGAAATGTTTTGCAGAACCTAACTAGATTCACGTCGAAGCGCAGCATGCGCACAAGCTCCCTCAAGAAGACCCGTAATGTCCTCAGGCAATCGTCCCTCTGTAGTAGAAATTCCTGGTAAATTTCGGCCAGATTTGCAGCCGATTGGTCCGCAGATGTTTGAAACATTGTGGCTATAAAAAGAAGAGTATAAATAAAAGGTAATGTTTAGTAAAACTGTTTGCTCACCTAGCATTCCCATATTGTTTGGGTTTCTGGTGTTTGAAAGCTCGTTTTGAACCACCAGCTTCATGACAGTGCCCAATATATCGGGCTGCAAGTAGATCATTTCCTTGAGGCAGGACATATAATGATTGATCAGGGGTTTAGTTTTTAGACGCATTTTTACCAACACCAAAAGAACTTCGTTATCCTGAGTGTTGCGCCCCTTAATGTTGAAGCAGATATACGAGAGAAGTTGCTGGGCGAACTTTACGAGCTTGCCATTGTGTATCCACAGCTCCAGGCGGGAAATACTCAGGCAGCGAACCTCGGCTATGCCTGACGTGGTGCAGAGGAACTTCAGGAAATTCCTAGTGTAATTATCCTGCTGCTGGCGTTTGTTCAACTGGTCCCGAATCGCTTCGCTGACATGCTTCTGAACAGTCTCATCGCTGAATCGTGCCTTGACGGCGCCAATTGAGTCTGGCAACGGCTCTAGCTCGGAATTTAAGGGGCTGGCATCTAGACTTTGCGTCGAATTATCTCCAGAGTCGTCGTCGATGGTAACACTATCCCTGTGAGCCGAGGGTATGGCCGTGCTCGCATCCCAGCGGAGTAGGCTTAGGTGGGGAGTGCGTGTTTTGAAAGCTGCGCAAACATTCTTAACGTAGGACGCACAGTACTCATTGTCCGCCCAGTAGCGCTCGTTGACAGCATCGTCGATGTACGTTCGCAGCAGTACTTCTGGCCACTGCGGTACGTCCACAAATCCCCTGGTTAGCAGGTTCGTAAACAGTATGTGCAGATTAGTATTGTACCGCATCTTAACATTGGCTTCGCGACGCAAAAAGGACAACAGAGCGAAGGCAACGATATCTGTGCAGAATACTTGTGGCTGCAGTTTCGCCACGTATATCAGGGCAAGAATGCCAATATTATCCACCTTGGATCTGGATGCATTTGTTGTCGTGTGCTTTATGACTCCACATACTAGTCTACCCACGGAATCAGTGTCGTTTTGCTCCAGTGCTGCATATATGGCTTCAATAATATTTTCCAAGTCGCATTCGACGGCAAACTGTTCCCATGTTTCATATTGACTACTGCCAGTGGAGGTGTCCGCTCCAGAATCTTTCAGATTTCCTCGGAATCGTTTGGATGGATTTCCTAGGGCGGACGATGCTTCCCGCTTTCTTTCTGATGACAATATGGGTTTAATGGGAATAATTTTGGATTTTGGATCATCTCGACAGCTCTTTGTTCCAAGCGCAAACAGTTCCCCACCAAGTGGCACCTTTTTCTGTGATCTACCCGATCCACCTTTTCCGCGATCCATTTTTTTACTTTATTATGAGGATTAACACATCAGGTGTGACCAGCTTCCATGAAGTGCGACAGTGGCAGTTTGGAGAGCAGAAGTGTACCAACGGGTTCCACGTTGTTGGGACGACTTTGAAACGATGGAATAAATACACATTCATACATAAACTTTGTTGCTATTAACATCATAGTAAAAATGTCTTCTGAATGTTGTAAATCTGAATACATAAAGTCCTTCCGCTAATTAACAAATAAGAGTTATTTGTCTTTTTTGTTTTTTGAGTCTAGTAATTTACAAGTGAATTTTTAAGAATAAACTTTACAGCAATTAATTGGATTTCTTTCTAACAACCCGTCTATATAAGTAGAAGCATTTTTAGATTTAATTGCTCGTTTTTAACTGTGAATATGTGAACATGTTATTGTGAAAAGTGACTTGTGTTTCGTTCCGAATATTTCACTGAAGATGCGGTGCCGTTTTGTAGCTCTCCAGTTAAGGTCACTCTAAGCTGCATCTTACATTGTTTATACAAAAATTTCTACACAATATTATTAAGATAGATTAATTATAGTTGGAGCTCCATCATAATATCAGTACTGTACTCAAACATGTTTCTATCTATCGCCCCCCCATTAATGGACTTTGAAGACGAATTGCTGTGGATAAATCAGTCAAACAGTGGAAAACTGAAAATATTATATGACAAATCGAATTATGTTACCCCCAATACAAAGCTCCTTATTGAACAAGCATTTATACAGCCTCTAAGTCTTCAGGATCAACAGATACTGTTTGATGATTTGCTGAAACAGAACTCCGACATTACGCACCAATATGGATTGACACCTGCAAAGGTATGTTTCATTTCATTGAAATTGTGTTGATTGATAGCCAAATGTCTTTTATAGCTTCCCCTGCTGGTTGAAAACAATCCACTCATTTCCATCGAAATCTTATTAAGACTGATGATGACCTCGGATATTACAGAGTACTTTAACATATTGGTTAATATGGACATAACGTTGCATTCCATGGAGGTGGTCAACAGGTAAGTTTGTCACAAAAAATTCACTATTTATACATTAAGTTAACTCTGTCTCGTCCTTTCCCCCTACTCAGATTAACAACGTCTGGTCCTCTACCCACAGAGTTCATTCATTTGTACATCAGCAATTGCATCTCAACCTGTGAAACAGTCAAAGATAAGTACATGCAGTCCCGTCTGGTACGGCTAGTATGTGTGTTTCTACAGTCTTTAATTCGAAATAAGATCGTTAACGTCAAGGTAAGTGACGGAGTTATCGATTTAGTATGGCTTTAATATTACATTCAATCAATTGCAGGAATTGTTCATTGAAATTGAGGCCTTCTGCGTTGGCTTTAGCAAAATTAAGGAAGCAGCAGCATTATATCGTCTCATTAAACATTTGGAAACAGGAGAAAGTGCACTGTCCTCGAATTCCTTATCGAAGCAATAGCCAATTCTATTATTAACATGTGTTTGTAACTTTTTTATACAATGAAAAGGTTGTTGATGAAAAGCCAATCAAAATTGTACCAATAATTTCTAGAGTGCACCCATACCCGCCCCTGGCCGGTCCCGGGGAAACCACATAAATAGACTTTAAAAAAGGAGGAAACACATTTACTACATGTAAAAACAAATTCGCATTTAATAACTTAAGTATCTAGTTGAAGATTTGTATTTTATGAGTGAGTGTTGGCTGCCTCGTGTGGAAGAAAATATGGGGGCTCGGCTGCTGGTTTTGGGAAACGGCTTAGATAGCGTTCAAGTCTTAGAAATTTAATCGATATTAGGCGATTGTCGAACCACCATCCATTGATTTCATTGTGTATCATGCCAGCGTCCTCCTCAGTTGCACATCGGATATAGACGCAGCACGACTGTATATCCAGTTGCACGTCACATATCTTACAGCGGGGTCCGACCTTCTCAATGATTGACTCCACGATGGACTGCTTCAAGTTGGGTTGTTCGACTTCTGTCAAATCAAACATGTGCCTGACCTTCAGACAGGGTGTCGGTGGGTTCGCAATTTTGTTTGAATTATCGAGTGCGGAAATCTGCCACTTCTTGCCCAATTCATTTTTCTCCAAGTTCCGGTTCCAGGCAATGGTGCGCAGTGTCTTCCCGTCTCGTAAGGCCATGCCGAACAGCACCCGACTATCGATCTTCTCCAACATCTTGATGGCTTTATTCCAATACGATAGTTGCTTAGAGCGTTTCTCCGAAGGCACAAGCTTTTCCTGCAGCTGGTTCAATGTCAGTTCAGGGCTTTCAGACTGCAAGCTCTGGTTTTTCAGTTCTTGTATGATGTCTTTTGTTAATTGGTCCACAGCAACCAGGGCTTTCTTTTGTTGCATGCGATACACTACTATGCCAAAATAGACCATGAGGACGCCGAATACCACCAGTATGAGAGTACCCATTACTGCAAAAAAGCGTTTAATTTTCTTAAAAACAACGCACTTGAGAGGCAGATTTGGTTCAGACAGTTCAAAGTAGGAGCCCTGTTCCAGAGTGTTGGCCGAGCCCGTTGTACCCAAAATGTTTATCATCCATTGCGGATTCTCCGAGATTAGGTATTGAATGGCCAGCAGATTGCTCTCCATATTCGCCCTCGGAGTCTTGCTATTAATGACTAGCTCTCTGACAAACTCGCTCACGTCAAGGCTTGGCGACTGGCTGGCATCTGTACAGTGATGGAGCCTGGCTCGCTCGTTCAAGCGCTTAAAAAGTTCCTCACTCATGAGCAACGAACTCTTTAAAGATTCTTTTCCTATGCAGTGCACCTTCTCGGTGGCCAATTGCAAGTCATTTTGGTTACACAATGTATACTTCAATGCTGTTTTGTCCATGGGGCTCTGATCGAATTTCTTGCTCGTATAGAGGACTGTAATTATTGCCAGAAATATCACCAAGAGACCAATCAGCATTTGTGGTATGATGTATTGTCTAATATCAGGGTTTTTAAAAGACGACTTAAGATCGGATAAGACGAAACGTTTAAATTTTCCATTCCTTGGTTGCGGCATCCTCGACATTTGAGCAGCGTGCGTGACTTTGGGACTGATCTTCCTCTGCAGTGTGGTGTCCCGAAAGCTTAGCAATCTATTAACCACGCCTCCATCTGAAATTTTTACTTTTCCACTCTGCTTGGCATAGCTGTTGGACGAGTCAATCGAGAAGGGCATGGAGCACTGTGGGCGGTATGTGCCATTCATATTCATATTGTGCGGCATGCACTCACTATCGTAATTGGCTGCCACAACAGGTGGTGGGGCATACATCTTGGAAGGCGACATTTGCAGTGTGTTTAAATCGGGCTCGTCGTAGTTACGCTGGTTAAATACTGAAGGATTTCTGCACAATTCAATGTCGTTGTTGTTGTCTACAGCAGACAAACGCTGTGGATATTTAAATATAGGTTGCTCGCGCTGCTCTGGAGAGTACAGGGCATACTTGGTACTTCTTCTCTTTAGTTTCTCCGCCTTTTTGTGTTTTTTTAACTTTTGAATTAAAACCGCTCTGGTTGTTTCCGTCACAGGAGTGCTTGGAAATCCGCATTGAATCAGCTTTCTATGCAGTTCGAGGTCGCTCAGGCTGCTTAAGCTTTCCGTTGACATTTTAGGTATATGTTATCTGTAAGAAGAAATAGTAAATGGTATATGTGAGTGTTGTTCTAATGCTAAAAAAATAAGTGTTTTAGATTTCGGCATACTTCAGCAGAGATAAATATGTTATTATGCATGTATGTCCGCATGTACACTTGGGCCGACAACTGAGTTAAATTGGTATTAATTGCTTAAATCCATCTAGGATCCGATGAAGTTATGTATATTGATGTGGATAAAAACTCAATAGTCGCTTCAACCAAAATATTCTTCAAAACTATTTATAGTTTCACAAACATCGAAGCGAGTGTTCATGCACTTGGAATATAACATACATACACAAATACACGTGGACTGGACGAGTTGAACATATGAGTTAATCACATAAATCTATACTTTGCAAAATATAAATTGTTAATTACATAAAATATAAACGAAAACTGTAGTTTGTTTTCAAGCAACAGTTTCAAACACCATATTTTGATTACAAATTCATACGGCACTTACTAAATCATTCAGTCAAGGGTGCGGCGTCAAATGCATTTCAATGGAACACATGAATTGAAATAATTCTCGCAACATCGATGTTATACTCTGCTATCGGAGGAAATAACTATAAAATTAATCACGAGTGAAGTAAGTGGTAGCTTACTGTAGCTAATGGCTTCATTAATGTTGCTTATTATTATTGCAATACTTTTTAATTTGTTATAGTTATACCTATAATGGTTTAATTTGTGTTAGCTACTTCAGTATCCATGGTATAAATGTATAGATTTATTTTACAACAGAGTGGGACATGATGGTAAAATCAGGCGGTTTGAGCGAGAGAAGCATATATTCTAGTCGGGCTATGTAGTCGAACTTGTTGCAGGAAGAACTATAGTATACCAATATGATTTGGCTTTGTGGCTAGAAGTGGCTTTGGTAAGTATCGTTATGGCAGAAATAGTGACACAGCTGTTTGACGGATGGCATTGTGGAGATGGGGATCAATATTGATTTATCCTTGTGTCTCTCGCTATCTCTGTGTTTGGGTCTAGATTTATTTAAAGTCTGGTGTAAAAAATCCTTAGAAGATTTTTGTATCAGAATTGCAGAAAATATTAAGGCAGGGTCCGGTTTTCACTTGCACACAAATTTTGTGATCTACTTTTTAAAAACGTGCCCGTAACATGCGCGTAACTGAACATCTGGGTAAAGAAAACTGTTTTCCGCCACCCATAATTCAAAATGTAATTAGCAATTTAATTTGTTATGCATCTAAGATGTCTTAATCTTCTTAAATCGCGTATTTTCTGTTTTTGTTTGCCAATTCGCAAAAGTAAAGGAAAACCGAAGACTGCCCGAATGTATACAAATCCAGCCATGTTCCGTTTCAACCATCCCATTTGGGATGTTCACATGTTTTCACATTTGTGGCGTGTATATCGCACAGGGTCGCACAGAAAGCGATGGCAAACTATCGGCAGGGGCCAATCCGTTTTCTTGAAATGTAGATACATTTATATGTGTTTGTGGCTTAAGAATTGAAATATTGTATGCCTTTTGCAAAGGTAAATATAGGCAACATCCAAGTCAAATTAAAACAAAAAATTATCGCGGAACATTAGCACGATTCGTTTTTAAAATATTATTGGCTGAAAAACAGTGTTCTTAAATGTATATACACATATTTTTAAAATCACTTGGGCCTTAAGACAAGTGCATACATACGTACATGCGTATTAATATACAAAACGACTATAAACACGATGATTTAAACGGAATAATACAATTGTACCTAAAATACGTTTATTAATTTCAGGCCGAACCGCATGTCCTTAAATAATTACTGTAGGCATGAATCGTAGAGGTTTAAATTCTGGAAATACGATGTCTTCTCAATCAAATATTGACGACGGTAGCTGGAAAGGAGTTTCTGAGGGTGGATCTATGTTGCCCACGTCGAACTCGTCAGCTCTGAATCCTGATGGGAGCAACCAGAGTGGGTTTTCACAAGGAGGATTGCCGTACAACTCGGGTGGCAATCCATATCCACCTGCTGGCCAATCCTCTCCCGCTGGAAATCAGTCTTTAGTGTTTCAAAACTCTAATCAACCTGGATCGAATACACCTCAATATACCTCTTCACCTGCACCCTCGGGGTCATCCACGCCGGGTCCTGTTGGCTCACAGAACATTCCTGGGAACTATCCACAGTCGGCGACAGCTGGAAACTTCAATGGTCCTGTGGGAGGACCCTTTGGATCGCCATCTTCTGGCTTGGGTCAGTTCAGTCGACCAGCCAGTTCGGGCACTCCCTTCAACAGCGGACAGGCTGGCCACTTTTCATCGCCCACGGTCTTTGGAGTGGGCGGTCAATTCAACCCAATGCCACCAGCATCTCCCTTCGGTCACGGAGGGAATCATCCCATGATGGGCGGTCCCCAGCAAATGGACCGAATTGATCAAGGCTTTAGGAGGCACAACTCGTACTTCAGTCACACCGAGCACCGAGTATTCGAGCTAAACAAACGCCTTCAGCAGCGGAACGAAGAAAGCGACAATTGCTGGTGGGACTCATTCACAACGGAGTTTTTCGAGGACGATGCCAGATTGACAATCCTGTTTTGCCTGGAAGACGGACCAAAAAGGTATACGATTGGCCGAACACTCATCCCGCGCTTCTTCCGAAGCATATATGAAGGCGGAGTGTCTGACTTGTACTTTCAATTGAAGCACGCTAAGGAGTCGTTTCACAATACGTCTATAACCCTGGACTGTGATCAGTGCACGGTAATAACTCAACATGGCAAGCCGTTTTTTACGAAAGTATGTGCTGATGCCAGGCTGATCTTGGAGTTCATGTATGACGACTATATGCGCATCAAGTCTTGGCATATGACCATTAAGGGACACAGGGAACTCATTCCAAGATCCGTGATTGGCACCTCGCTTCCCCCCGATCCGATGCTTCTAGATCAAATCACTAAGAACATTACAAGAGCTGGCATAACCAACTCAACACTAAATTATCTACGATTATGTGTTATACTTGAACCGATGCAGGAGCTAATGTCTCGACACAAGGCCTATGCACTTAGTCCACGGGACTGCCTGAAGACAACTTTATTTCAAAAATGGCAGCGTATGGTAGCACCGCCGGGCAAAAAAGATCCCCAAAGGCCGGCCAATAAACGGCGCAAGCGGAAAGGCTCCAACTCGGGCGGCGGGGCCAATAATGCAAACACTCCGCCTGTGACAAATCAGAAGCGATCACCCTCTGGCCCCAGCTTTTCCCTCTCCTCGCAAGATGTAATGGTTGTGGGTGAGCCCACCCTGATGGGCGGGGAGTTTGGTGAGGAGGATGAGCGGTTGATAACGCGGCTGGAGAACACGCAATATGACGGTACCAATGCCGTGGAGCACGATAATCACACCGGATTCGGTCACGCCGACTCGCCCATCTCTGGCTCGAATCCGTGGAGTATTGACCGAGCGGGAAATATTCCAGCCAGTCCCGGCAACGGTGCTGCGCCGCAGAACAACGCGAATATATCTGATATAGATAAAAAGAGCCCCATTGTATCGCAATAGAAGTTAATAAAACATATTTCGCTATATTGTCAAATGTATTTTCATACTTGCATGTAAAAAATATTTAAATAAAGCTTTCAAGTTTTAGGAAATGTATATAAGACATACATACATACAAATACATACATATAAATATATATAATTACACTTAAGCTGTCTTACTCTACACACTATTATATAATTGTAGCGTAGGAACTACTTCTGTCTTGACTGCCTTTCAAAGTAATTTGTGTTTTAGTAAAGCAGAACTTTTAAGCACAACGCTCTAAATATTTTAAGTAACTTTATTTGCTCATACCAAGGGCTGTCGACAGCCGCATTGGGGCTCTTAGGGGCCCTTCTACATTGATAATTCAACGCAACGCAACGTAATCGGGCCAAGAGGAGACGGGCCCGGGATAGTTTCCTCGACAGACCAGACCCCGTTTCGACGGCCCAGCCTGTATCCTGACTAGATATTCTTAGATTTTTAGCTTTATGTAACATTGCTATTAGCCATTTTCGAATCGATTAAGCATTGCTTCTGCTGAGATTAGATCCGAATCGCAATCTATGATTGAGGCGACAAGTATAAAGGATATTGTTTCTAGAGCAGATCCAAAGATCACAGCAAGATTGTATCTTGAAAGTTAAAGTATCTCCTGCTGGAAGTTTTATGTTAATTCTTTCGTATTTTGTGTTAGCTTAGATGATAAATTATTTAGATAATAGAGTATTTAGTGTAGAAAATCGCTCATCTGGCATGGGTGTTTTTTTTCAAGCGATAAGTACTATTGCCGTCTCATTTGAGATTTCGATTCCTATCCGTACCTTAATGGTGACTACGCGGAGATATTTTTTAATGGCATTCGAGGTCCAGCCTCTTTTGCGCATGCACGAATAAATGGGATACACAGTTTCTGGCTCTCGTTCAGATATACAGTCACACAGTCGCGTGTTCGAAGGAGTAGTAATGCTTTCACTAAATAAAAATCAGGCGCAGTTTTTGGTTCTTTATTTTATTTTCTTCATCATTTTTATTTCTTCAAAGGCCCAAGCCGAAGAGAGAAATATTAACAAGCTGCTGAATAACCAGGTCGTGGTCAGTCGCCAAATAATGTGCATTCTTGAGAAGAGCGAATGCGACCAATTGGGGCAGCAACTTAAAGGTAGCGTATAACAGCGTATAACATCTATAGACATCGAAAAGCTGCGACGCTACATTCACAATATTTTATTCAATCATAACCATTCGCAGCTGCTCTGCCAGAAGTTATCACCAGGAAATGCAGAAACTGTTCGCCTCAACAAGCTCAAAAGGCGCAAAAGCTAACAACATTTTTACAAACAAGATACCCCGATGTCTGGGCAATGCTTATAAGGAAATATCAAAGTGTCTAAATATACCCACACAGGCTATTTATACCCATGAATTCAAAAATAAAATCGTAGTATCGAAAAATTGCCACATTACTTCTGTATTCTGTTGTGCTCTTTGTGTCTGGCAGGGTCTGTTCGGGGTCTCTCACGTACAACGTCCTTGCATTTGGCTTTGTGATCATTGGTTGCTGCTTCCGAGGTACCATTACCCAGATCCTGGTTTGGTTCGGCATGCCAACAAAAAAACTCCGATTAAACAAACAAAATAAAGTGATACAACTTTTGTACACATGAATGTATATTTTCTTCTTCTTATTATTATATAAAATCTATAAATTTATATATGCATTTAAAGACAATTAATTATTTACTGTGACTATCAACATAAACTGTTGCATTATCTACGCCCAAGAACTGGTGTATACTCAATGTGGAGAGCATTTTCATCTGGCCCTGATAGAGAACATCAGCGATTATTTTCTCCGCATATATAGCTTGGGTGGCTTCCATGGAACGCAGCTTGTGGGCAATAATTTTTCCGAAATTCGAGAAGTGATCGTCGAGCTGGTGGTCGGCACTCTTGAGCGCCAGCGAAAACAACCGCTCAAAGTCTATTGTAGATATATCCGCTCGAAACTTGGCTGCGGGCGCCACGACTTCATTATCGTCGGATACTTGAGATGATAGGGAAGAAGAGCGCTTTCGACTTATTTTGTTCGGTTTTTGTTGGATGGCGGCCTGGACTGGCCTGGCCTGCTCGGAATCTATTTGTTTGGGAATATCGGGTAGGGATTTTCTTCGTTCCGAAATAACCCTGCTGTCGGACGATGTCATGACAATTTCCACCTCCTTGATAGTAGCTCCTGATGGATGGTTGTTGTTGGCATTGACTGTTTGAATACTGATAATAGGGTCAGCAGTGCATGCAGCAGATGCATCTTCGAATAAATATTCGGTTGCACAGTTTTTGGGTGATAACTTTTGATTATCCGCTTTTTGTGGCTTTGGCAGACTCTCGGCATCGGATAGTTCTTCACAGTTTTCCGCCGGGATTAAAGTTACAGTGCTCTCGGAATATTGTTGCTGCAGCGGGGGGTTATCGTGACGCTTTGTCTTTTTATCAGGAATTTCTTCGTCTTTTAGGAACATAAGCGACTCAAAATATCGCCGCTTGGGACAGTAGGGCTCAAATTTCTCGCCTTTCTTTTTAATTTCATTACATTTTCTTAATTGATGACGAAATGCACACCGCAGATTGTTTATCTTTTGCTTTGTTCTTTCCACATTGTACATCTCTCCATGCTTAGTCGCCACTTCTATTAGCTTCATGTAAGCCTCCTGCCGTTTGCTCCTGTTTCTGAAGTCCACGGAATCCGCTTTCCATAAGCACGGATTCACTTTGTATTCCTCTATGAAATCGTCAATAAAATCCATTTTTGTTTACGAAAACTTAGCCCGAAATGTATGTTTGTATATGTATATGCTGTATGTGTGCCAACACAACGTCAAAAAAATTAATTGGAACAAATAGAATTGAAAAATAACAATCGGTATCACTAATACCCTGTGCACACTGAGCACATCCTGGGAGAACAGTGGGATTTTTGGACAGACGTGAAACACCGATTCACACTGGCATCCAACATTCCCCATCCGTCAAAAGGCACCTGATGAACATTAGAAGGATCAGCAGAAATGAGAGGAGAAGCACGAAGGAGAAAACCAAATTCCAAGCCACGCTGCTTCAAATTTTGATATAAAAATGTGTAGGGCTGTCGTCGCCAGAAATTTATATTCGCGCGAGCGAAGCGATTGTGCAGGTTGCTTGTCCCTAGGTTATTTGTAGAGTTTGATTATAGCTAGAAAAATTCCAAATTTATTCATTATAAGCTGTTTTTTTTTCCCCGAAGATGGGCTCTGTGAAAAAAGTCAATAAGTAAAATATTCGTGTAATTTCATTTAATTATAAGATATTTGCATTTTAATCTTGCGGTACATCGATAAGGAGTATTTTAGGATTCGATATTTCTGATATTTAATAGCCTTACTTTTCTACTTGGTCACACTGTCACATTCACACCCACATTCAAGAAATAAAGAAAATAAACATTTTAAGATATAAAAATGAGTGGTGCTCACAGAGAGGCGATTCAGAAGCAAATTCATCAGGATTGGGCGAATAGGGAATACATTGAAGTCATAACAGCCAGCATTAAACGTATTACGGACTTTTTAAACTCATTTGGTAAGAAAACATAGCCGAGTATATAGCACGTACATACATGTGAGGGAGTGTGTCACATCTGCCGATATGTACATAAATGCATAAATACACAGGGCCGGCTTTAGGTCTTATGATTTTGTTATTATATGCGATACTCTAAATGAGTGGATGTGTGTAACGACTAGAAGAAAGCTTTTCCGACCCTATAAAGTATATACATATATTATTGCTCAGCGTCTGTTCGCCCGTCTTGTTTGACGCCTAGATCTCACAGACTATAAGAACTAGACCCACAAATGACGGAAATCTGTGGCCTCCACAATTTTTAAGATGTGAGAAAATCAAAAAATCAGAGAATGACCATATCTACCAGATTGACGAATCTATATCAGATCAGATGGTTATTGTAACCAAAAGGAACAAATAAATTTGCAGTGCCTACGCAGCACCCTACACATTTTTGTATACCTAGTATAAAAGAGAGATATTGAAGAACTTATAAGGTCGGTTAATTGTTGCAGCTGTTTATACAGATCCAATCAATCTATTTCCGATTCCCTTTCAGGTATGAGGGCGGTACGCAACTTCACAATCACAAGCCCGAAATTTCACATCAAAAACCTTTCTTGAGATTGTGAGCAAGGACAGAAATCGTATTAAAAGTTCCATCGATTTTCATGATGTTTAAATCAATCAACTGCTTAAATCGTTCCTTCACAGCAGCGAGAGCCGTATCAAGATAAATTAAATAATCAGTTCTGCATTGATCTTCTAGTGTGATGTTTGTAGACTCATCTTGACTACTGGACACCAGGATCTTTTAAATCGGAGTATAAAATCTCCATCAGAGCTTAATAAACTTCATTCGCTTGATATTTAATGGTTTAGCCGTGCCCAGTCTGCTTAACGCTTTGTGCAAAATCCACACGGCCAAATGCGGCTCTCGGATTTAGGACCCTATTTTGGAATTCTTAGTTATTTCTTTTCGTGTTACAGGCTTATGCCTTGTCCAAGGAAATTATTGAAGTTGTCTTCAAGAATTTTAAGTAGAAGATTCGTCAGTCCCTCCCCGTCGACGAAGAAGCAATTTCGAATCCTAGAAAAGGCTCTTTCTTTGATGCTCACGTTGTTATCGTTGACATTCACAAGTCTCACAGTAAATTACATTTTCTCAGTATGGATTGAAATCAAGGATAAGATAATCGAGTAATATCGCGCTTCTTATATAATTTTCGGCTAAAACGTCGTTTGCCAGAAGATATATCAATTTCCCTTGAATCATTTTACCACAATAATGGTCGTTTAATGGTCGAACTTACCAAACAACTCCACTAGGCCGAATAAATTTCCCGTATTCTGCGTGAAAAGATTGTCTGATGAGTCACAAAATGATAGATTGTGTATAGCGAGAAACGTAGCTATCATAATAAGACTTTCTAGAAAACGCTTCCAATTATGTGTTTTGTCATTCAGAAACTTTTGTTGTTGAGGATTTCTGGCCATCGAGGTGGATCAGGAGAAATTTCAATGTTACCAGAAACATTTACACTCACATCATTCTAACAGATTATCAGGCGTTTCCGTCTGCAACTTTAGATTATCGGATATCAAATGGGAATCAATTTCGATTAAAAATTCGATTGATTCTTCATTGGCTGCGAAGACGCTCACTTTTGATCCTGAATTAAAAATGTTATATTTTAAACTCTTTTTCGATTCTTCAAGCCACCAATGGGCCCAAATGCCGGCCCTGTTCATACAAACAATTTATATATTCATATTTGTGTGTACGATTTGTGATTATAGGCAGACGTAAAGAGTGTCATTGCCAGTAAGTGTACATATTTACACTTGTTATGAATTTTAAATGAACTCTACATATAACGTGCGAATTTGGCGTAGTTTGCACGTTGTCTGTCCGAAATCAGGTGCTGATTTCGTATTATTATCCGGTAGCTGTTATGTGCTTACAAATGAATGATGCTCACGATAAACTCTTCCGGATGTTCAGAGCTTTTTTGACTCACGAGTCCACACATCTATAGCGTTCTCAAACTGATAATCTTTGTACATATATTGTAAGCTATGATTTATCCTTCTGAAATTGTATGTGATTTTTTAATTAATTGGTCTAATATTGTCAGATTTCGTTTAACAAATCTCATATGTAACTTTTTGTCTTTTCAGATATGTCCTGTCGGTCTCGATTGGCGGTACTCAACGAAAAACTAACGATCCTAGAGCGGCGCATAGACTATTTGGAAGCCTGTGTAGCTCAAGGGGAAACATTAACGTAAATTCAACCCAAGCTATGTTCTCACATTTATATTAAGCTTTGTACATTTATAAGACAATTAAAAATAATGATAAACCCCTAGCTATTGCATATATTTTCTGAATAATTTTTTTTATGTATTACCAATTTCCATGACATACAAAACCATTGTTATTGCATTGGACGTTCTTTGAAGACTGTCCTTCCATGCTGTTTCTTCCTTTCACGGTTGAGTGGACGGACAAGCGATCGGATTCGTTTCACTGCCCCTCCATCAAACTATATAATATACATATTATTAGGAACACGTCAGAGACTAGACACGCACGCAATGCAATGCCCGAATAGTCGTAGCTCTGTTGCCTTGGCTGTAGCCAAAGATGACGCAAATATACTCACCATATAATAATGTACAGACGGGACGGAAAGTATCATTTGTATATTATCAAATCGATAATTTGCTGTCTTTGGCTTTAATAGAACACATTCTAAGTGGGTTATTATAGTCCATACAATACACCTACGTAATATCATTCCCTGATTTGGCAAAAGCTACTGCTCTTATCCCACCTTCGAAATCCCCTAATCTAATCCGATGTGATAGACAAAGCCTTATGTACAAAACGAATCTCTTTATTCAGCGTACGATCGAAATATATAAAATTTTGATGAGCAGATAGATATATAATAACAGATAACAACAATTATAGATTTTTTGGCAATCGAATTATGTAGATCAATAGAATTAGATCTTGATTCCGGCATTCGTTGCCTGTGCACGGTAACGCTTGATGTAAATATCCTCGGGATCGAACTTGGTTTGGAGCTGCTTCCACTCCTCCGGCTTGTTGTCGATAATGAACCGAATGACTTTGTCAGTGTTGGACCTCTGCCTTTCACTGCACTTGCTGCACTCTGTTTTCAAGGCGTCCGGCAGGGACTTTTTCAGCTCCCGTCCCTCGGGTGTGCATTTGCCAGTCTCAATCAGACATTTGAAATAGTTTGTGAAGAGTCGATCCGATTTCAAAATTTCATCCACATCAAGGTTATCATATTTGGTGGTATATTTTTCTTCGGCAGCAACCAGCACCACTCCGAGGAGCAACAGCGTGAGTAGCATTTTCATTTTGAAAGGGAGCTGCGAAAAAAGTACAATGAAGTGTTAGTTGGAGTACTTTCGAAATTTTTTTAGCAGTCGTTGATTGGCACTTTTGGTCACACTCTACAGCTCAAATACTCAGTATATGCATATATGTTTTGGTAACAAACCAGTTTAAAGTCTAACACAATCTTGGGGCTTTGATGGACAGAGTCAATGAAATCGCTTTCAATCTGATTATTGATACAAATGTATCTGAGTGGGACTGCATAAAGCACTACTTATGATTGCCTGATTCAGATGCCCTACTGAGGCTTGATCACTGCTAAACGCGATTCACATTAATTACTAGACTAGCAAAAACAGGTTCAGCCTCTGCCGAATCGGCTGATTCGGCTTTGAATAAATTAGATATGCAATCAGCAGCACTAAATGTAAATATTAGCTATCTTACAGTGGAGAGCGACAAGTTAACGACGAACGACAGGTAGATGCGTAGCAATGCAACAGCTTGAACTAACTGACAAACTGTGTCTATGAAGTTCGCTTTTATACCTAGCTACGATTGAACTTCAGGTGTAATATATACGTACAGACATCGATTTGTAAGCGTGTAGTAAGGCTGTACATATGTACAGCCCAGAGAGTAGAGACCCAGAGACCAGAGACTTAGGATTGTAGATACTTTAGACTTTGAAGCACAAATTGCTATTGCTAAAAAGTCAACCCGGTGATTAGTCAATCGACGTTATAACTTTATATAATGTGTATGCGGATAGTTAAACATGCTTAATTTGATTTTAATATTAAGCAAGTGACATACGAAGCTATTCTACGAACTATCAAATCGTCGTGTTTGTGCTAAATGACTTTAAAACGAATGAACCACTTCAGACTCAAAGTGCTTTGTGGATACTCAACGTATAACGTGTAAACGCAATAAAATTAATGACCTTTCCCAGTCTGTTACACACGTTTAAGCAAGGAATATTTTTGTTGTGCTTCCCAACATAAATCCCTGCAAACTATTTCAGGAACCCATATGTTCTGCTCCTTCAAGCACTTGTATGTCCTTGGATATTCCAGAACCGTGCTCGAATCGTATTCTCCGAATTTGAAGTTTGTTTTTTATCAATTCAACGAAAAATTGTATACATATATTTTTTAATTATGTTTTATTGTAGTTACAAATATTGAAATGTAAAAAGTAACAAACACATATACAATTTGGAAATCTGTACAAGGAAAGTATCTGTAGACCTTTTTCAAATGATTAGTTTTGTCCTGTTATGATCTCTAGGTGTATCATAAACTTTAGACCTAAATTTTGTGTGTTTCATAGTAAAATGTCAGGAGGCAGTTGCAGTTCGTAATCATATTTTTGGAAAAAATCACGATTGTGGCTGGGCGGTACGTTGGCGTTGGAATATCGATTCAATTGTGGAAAAGACATCGCTGGATTTCCTGGCGGCATCGACTTTGTAGTGCAGTCCCCGCAGGCCATAGTAGTCAACTAATGGGCGAGTTTGCTTGTGGTATGATTCTAGTCGCTTTTTTAAAGCCTCAGCGTTATCATCGCTTCGTCGCATTAAAGGTTCGCCAGTAATCTAAAATACAACTGTGTTAGGAACTAACTTTTCTCTGATAGAAAATGAGATTAAACTACGTACATCATCCTTCATTGTAACTTTGGGAGGAGCAAACTCCTCGTGATAAGATCTCCCACTTGCTTGGTGGATCAATCGCCCAGTAATCCTCCGCACCAACAAGCTGTCATCAATGGCAAACTCAATTACAGCATCCAGATTAGCTTTCCTCTTGTCAAGTAGTGAGTCAAGCTTAATATAAAAAAATGCATTAAGGGTATAGACCATGACACACTCAAATAAATCTGTGTTACCTTTTCAGCTTGAACGACAGTCCTGGGGAATCCATCGAGAAGGAATCCGTTTTTACACTCGGGTTTGTCCAAATTGGAGTCAATCATATCCACCACAAGCTCATCTGATACCAATTTTCCAGCGTCCATAACTTTTTTCAATTCAGTGCCAAGCTTGGAGCCGGAGGAAATTTCCGCCCTCAACATATCGCCTGTTGACAAATGGCAGACACAATATTTTTCCTTCAGAAGGGGGGCCTGAAATCGGTTTTATATGGCTGAGTATGAATTTCATAATCTATATACAGGTGGAAATACATCATTAAGTGAGATAAATGTGATGTAAATATGGACACGTGTATGAATGTGCTTGAATGAATGCTTTTTTTATATATATGTATATGTAGTTATGTAATATTAATTTCTTTAATAAAAAGGAAGAGATAAATGCGTCCAAGGTGCACGTTTACACACACACGCCATACATGCATGCAAACGTGCGTCTGTCACATTAATCACATTATGTAACATTGAACCCACCTGCGTTCCTTTGCCGGAACCCGGCGGTCCTAACAAAATTGCATTGATTCCAATAGTCTGGGGCTCATATCGCTCCACTGGTACAGCTAAATTCGGCGCCATCGTGTGATTTATTTACAAAACTATTTACTTTAGTCTTAACTCAAAATATACTCGTGTACTCGGCAGTGTGACCGGATCCTCAGAAATATACCGAAATATACCGCCTCATTTTCAAAATATACCGTAAATATACTGACGAATTCAGGTTCTACTATACTTATTCCTCGTTTTTCATATTCCGTCGAATATTACCAGCTATATAGAACATTTAGCCATGCCCACATAATTTGTACGTTGCCCGTGTATGGAATGGGCAACATTGTGTATGGAATTAGTCTCATTGTTGTCAAAAGGTAAAAGAGGTCCTTACGAGAGGTGCGCGCCACATATAAATTTTTTGAATGTGAATGTCAAGGATTTAAATGTTGTCAACAGGGCCATTACCGATTCCAAAAATACGACGAATTCCTCAATTTTGATCTTTCGTCGAATATTCCCAGCTATATAGAACATTTTGCCATGCCCATATAATTTTATCCGATTAGTGGCCTATTTTAAATACTTCCTTTTATTGGATTATTGATAAAATATGCTCTCGTATTTCGGTAAGAAATCGAACTTAGCCCACTTAACCCCCCTCTATTTAAACTGTTAAACGACTTGAGGAAAATGGCGGTAAATATTACTGATTGTAAAAGCTTTGCTGCAGCAATATGTTTTGCAATGCATTTTTATGTTTTTAAGAACATTTTTAACTAAAAACTAAACTGAAATAAATTATCGAATATCTTCTCAAATTAATTTTTCTATCAGGTAGGCTCACGCGCATGTTACAAGCCCAGTCTTGCTAAAGTTCCGATAACCAAATCGGACAGCGCCAGCTGTTTGAACGAAAACGAAAGGTGCTGTTGCCCAGTCCAATTATTTCCGACCCAAATTTGAGGTTGGGTCACACAAAATTATTTATAGAAAAGTCACAAGCTAAATTGCCCTGCTAACGTTCTCAAATAAGTCATATATTTTGTTCCTTTTCCAATTAAGATTCGTTTTGTTATATAAAAAGCCGTTTACTTTTCATTTCGTCGAGGAAAGTGTTTTCATTTTAATATCTTACCGAGTTTGAAAACGGGAGCACTAATTTATATGATTTCAAAGAAAATTTTAACAGCGAAACAAAATCTAAACAAAATCGCGGTGGGCGATCATCATTGAGAGATTTTAAAGTAATACAAAACCTTTTTCTATTACTATAACAATTTGTTAACTATTTATTTATTCTGGAATACGTGTATTACAATTGCCATGATACATTTTTATATTGCCCTCGCAGCGAAAGTATGCATCAAATATGTCACTGTAGCCATGATCTTTCCACCAAGTGCAAAGCTGCCTATTCCATACGCAATCTAATCTATATATCAAGTTAGGGTACTCGTATCCCAGTAATGTGAAAAAGTCTTGGTCTCCCAAATGACCCTTAAATGAATACTTGGCGACGAGCGTCTGCACTTCCGAGTTTGTAAGCTTTTCCAGGTATGATTTCGAGTTTCTTATGCGATTAAAAAGCAACAGTACGACTCCAGAGTTGAGACCTGGATAGCCATGGCGCTCATGGTTGTGATTATGTTGATTTCCCATGTCGTGGTTCATTGGATAATATGGGTTTCCAAAGCTTGTCTTTGGATACCGTACGCGATAGCGGTACAGGATATGACGATATACAGGAGTTAGTTCTGGCGCCAATCCATAAAGTTGATGCGGCAGAAAGTGATCAAATTCATTGAACAGTAGTCGAACATCGGAACGGAAGACTATATCACAATCAAGCAGAATAGCTCTATTTAAGCTTGCATCGGCAATCCTATGCAATCCAAGGGACAAAAAAAACAGTGAGTCGCTATAATATGAGTTGGGTGCTGAGCTAAAGTATGGGGATAACTTAGCAGCTATATCCTCTATTATATTAGAGCAGACTTTGACGTCATACATCGTATATATCACCGTTCTCCGAAATCTTCGAATTTGCCTTTGAAGAATCTCCATCACGCTCGGTGACGACTCCTTATCGGTGATGACATGTAGATGAAGTTGGGCACTCGTGTGTTTAAGCAGACTATGTGCAAATAGATCGAATTTTAAGTTTAGATGGTAGTTTTCTCTGGTATAAATTATAAATATATTATAGTCTGAAGAAAAGTCATTTAATTGTCCGCCCAATTCCAGTTGCGTGGACGAATAGTTCAGCAAATAGTGGGTAGGTTTCAGGATGGGCTGAACGGCTGTCGTTGTTTGTTGAACATCGGAATTTCTTGTCTCCTGTTTTTCAATGTGCGATAATTTATTAAGCCGACTCGAAAGAAATGCTGATAATATATTTCCTCGAACTAATAGATGTGTATTGGCGTAAATAATAAGAACACACATACAAATTAGTATTAATAACAAAACTAGTTTCTTTTGCCATCTGCAGCGAAGTACGTTCCAGGTCAAACTCTTTGGTTTGGGACGAACGGAATTTCGACGATTGATGATTAATGTCACATTTTCCTGTTCCTCCAATAACTGCGACTTGCACTTCATACCATACATGTTACCGTCTGTAGGAAACGTTTTATGCTTTTGACTGATTGTTTTAAAGCTGTATTTTGCCATTTTGAAATGAGTTTAAGCTGCACCTATCATAACAATACAATACACGAACAAATAAGTATCTTTTGTTAGAATACACTAAATGGGAACTTCGAGCATATAAGTAATAGCGCACAAAACATTTTAACTAACTAAACTAAACTAACTTTTAATTTAACTACAAAAGATATAATAAAAGCACCAATGTCCAGTGTAAAAATCAATGCAAGTAAGTTGGACATCGATGTTTTTAGACAGCTTACATCGATGTTTTTTCTTAAATTACATCGGTTTTTAAAATATTTATATATTGCGCTGAATTTATTTCTACATTATTATGTGGATCGGCACTTTCTGGAGGGTAGATTTTTCTCATCATCAATGTAATTTTGGGCCAGAAAATGTTGTCAGACAATATTTCAAACTCTGAAATTTACCAGCGATGAATCGATATTTGGTTGAGAGTCCTGAGAGTCCTAGTCCTGTCCTTGTCTATTTCAAACATCAATTTTCAGCCTCCAACGGAAAGACTCTCTTCATGTTTAGCGCCAAATATCTGCTGTCTTCTGATGTCATTTTATTGAAGAAATATTGGACTACAAGAGAAGAAAGTTTCTCTCCTGGACTTAGCACTTCTTGCTTGCGCTGGTTTTTTTTTTGACAAATGTTCGCAAGGACTCGGATGACTGACTGGCCGGATAATTCTCCACTGAAGTAGTGGAAATTAGGTTGTAGATGATCCCGCTCCATTTTTCCATGAGCTGTATTTCAAATTTACAACAACAAAAACAACGAGGCGACGGCCAAAACATAACATAACGGATCTTTCGCTTGGGCTGCAATCGTTGGCAAAATCGATTCAATAGTATCGAAAGAATATTTGTATAAAATAAATAAATAATATACAAAGATTTATAATTATAATATAATATACTCTTAATTGTTAATAATGTTAATATTTCTGGAACAGTCGATAGTGTCGGGTCGTGTCGATATCCACTTTGACTTGGGCTGCAAAATTTCAAACAAGCCGCATAGCACGAAAATTGAGCTCGAGTTTTTTTTAAGCAAAGATCAAGGGAAAGGTGTACCTGCAAGTGTACTTATTATTATTTGTATTGTCTTCGGCGGCTTTGATATGCAGTTTAAAGAAAGGGGGTTTAAGTGGGCTAAGTTTGTGCTTCCATCGGTATATTTACGGTATATTTTGGTATATTTCTGAGGGCCCTTAAGAATTATTTATACATAAAATAAATCATGCGCAGAAGTAATATTTTTATCAGTATAAGTATATGTTGTTTCAAAACCACAAAGAGATTTACATTAAGAAAATGTAATAGTTTGAGCGTTGTATAGACTACAAAGTATTCTATTGCGGGCTTCAATTGGATATACGCTTATATTTGGTGCCACACAATGGACGTCCATCGGATTGAAGTTCCTTTGCGATCTGGAGGTGGAAAGAAAATGAAAAAACGAAGGGAGCTCGATGCCCTTATAGCACAGTCATCTTCGTCCAAAAGAAACACCCGTAGAACTGGAGGAGCGACGCACTCCCAGGACAAGTTACTCTCAGTTTCAACGGATGACCCAGAGGATTATGCATGGGTAAGAAGGGACCAAAAAATAATGAACCGAGACGTCAAGTACAAGGTTATTCTAATTGGTGAATACATATGTATCCATGTAAATATGTACGTGTAAATCGAGGAGGAGTTTTCCTCCCCTCGTTAACAACCTATATATATACATATCTACGATGTAATATGAAATTAGTTGTAACCTTGATCGATGTCATGGCCGAGTGGATAAAGCAAGTACATACCTACGTGATTATTTTGAACGCATGTAATAAATACCAGGAATACATTTACACCTACCTTTGGTTTATTTCCAGACAAATGTTGCTGGCGCTACCCGTCGTAGCCATCGGAAAATGGCATACTTTCGCATGTGTGGGCCCCTACTCTTAGGGATCATTGGCATTTTAATTGTTTCTATATTGTACTGGCTCTATTTCGATCTTCGCCAACAAATGTCTGATTACCGTCAGAAAATCGAAGAAGGTAAGGTCACAATTATCAATAAACCACCATGCATATGGGACATGTGTAGTAATTATGTAACTCTTATACGTGTGTTGTAGTATCTGCCATGAGCAAAAACTTCCCGGATACTCTGCAAAGGTGGCATGAGACATCGTCCTATCTGATGAAGAATCAAACGGCAGTTATTTACGAAATAAATGAATTGCAAAAAGCTGTAGAGGGCTTGCGCATGAACTTTAGCAGTCTGGAGGCAGCAGTGGCTGTTCAAAGGAATCACGGAAAGGATGAGAAGATGGTGGCCGACTTTGGAGCCAAGATAGAAGCAGTCGCTACAGACATTGAAGGTATAAAGGAGCATTACAACAAGTATATCGAGGTTCAGAAAAGTATTCAAGCGGAAACGGAAGCTTTGAAGGTATTTGTTCTGCAATCATAATAATACCGAAATTTAATGAGTGTCAAAACTTTTTCAGGCTAATTTGTCACAGTTGCCCATGCTGCATGCCAACGAGTTGCCCACAAATTTATCGGATGATATTGCAGATCTTAATCGAACCACACTTAACTCCTTGAAGATGCTGTCAAACGACTTGAAAGTCGTGAATAATACATTAAGCCAAACAACGAACATGCTGGGAGAGGAAATATCACTGCACAAAGTAACTAATTCGGCCCTCAATATTTGCTTTACTTTACCTTTGACCATTTTCAGACCAAAATAGATGATTTGATGGATCGTTCGGAAAATGTAACATCGCATGTGGCCACCATAAGCAATAGCTGGCCGGAATACAAGCAAAAAGTAACAAACTTTGATGAGGCCTTGGATAAAACTGAAAAAGAAGTAATATTTTGATCGAATATTTGCCTTGTGATTCCTTCCTAATTCTTCTTTCTCATTATCCTTTAAGATATCCCTCTTAACCAACAAGAATACAATGCTTTCTGCTGCTGTTGAGCAGTTGAAGAATTTTTGCATCCAGCGTATGGATACAAACGGCGAAGATGCATCAATTATTCCAAAGGTAAAGTCTATATGAGCAACCGAGCTTGTTGAAGTTTTCATTTTTACAAAAATTGGTTCGACAGCCCGACGTCAAAGCCTCTGGTCAGGAATTTATAAATCCGTCAGGAAATGCCACAGTCAAATTACAGGAAAGCCCCACACTGTAAGAAATGCAATACTGTACAAGTACATTGGTGGAATTTCGTCTAAGCTAACATTTATTCAATCCCCATAGCCCATAAGCCTTGGTGGGCTCTAAGTAGGAAAGTCACAGCCAACGATTGAAAAATATTACATTTAACACACGAAAACTGCAATGTACATATAGTTCGGAGAGCTATCTAATTTAATGACCAAAAATATGATGGGGGTTGTACGAGTACTCGTGTGATTTCAGTTAAGTTTACTTTTAAAGTCCGTCTTAGAAAAGGTAATTGTAAATAAAAGTTTGTAAGGCAATGCAATATATTTCTTTATAGGTACAATATGCATTTTATGTCCAAATAATAAACAATTCAAGCTCATAAGACATTGCAATTTTGATATTTTTTGTCAGACAAAGCAAGAGAGTCGAGTCAATGCTAGTTATTGTAATCACAATACATTTTATTTCAATACATAATAAACAAGAAACATTGAATTTAACATAATTTCGCCTCGGTGGGCTACGTACTAATCATCTTCAGAGTGTTCAGCGGAATCGTCCTCGTCTTCATCGTCATATTCTTCGATTGCTTCCCCAAGAGAAGCAGGCTTCTTTTGCTTGCTGAGGAGCCATTCGCGATAGGCAGCCTCCTCTTCAACAGTCGGATCACTGGCCTCGATGAAGTCTTCTGCCCCATGGGTATACTCTTCCTGCACCATGGGTAAGTGATTGAACGGCATGTTGCGCGCATAATACTTATGCCCCCAGCCCAGATATATAGATTCGCAAATGTGTTCAAATATGAATGTGTGAGCACCTGGCCACACATTCGATTGCATGATGAGGACACGTTCCTTCTGATTGGTGTACTTGCTGGTTTGGCGTATCAGCCACGGCACTGCAACTTCCGGGCTCATGTCGTTGGCGCACGAGGACAAAATACTGGGTCCTGTTTCCGGTTGATTAAAACCGTCAATCATGCCTTCTTCTTCGCCTTCTTCCTCATCCTCGACCTCTTCTTCCTCCTCCACCTCCTCTTCCATTTCTTCTAAAAGTCGCATTTTCAGGTAGAGAGCTAGGGCCTTCTCGCGTTCTTTTTGGGCTTTTTCCTCATCAAACCATACGACGCGGCCTTGGTTTAGTATATTCGATCGGACGTGGACCCATGCCACTGGAGTGGACAAGGATCCCAGCGGTTCAGTTTCATATTTTTCATTTTTTAGAAGCATAACGTCGTTATCTGTAAATTGATGTTTCCAACAGGATAATTGGAGAATGAAAATATGGGGCTTAAAACCCATTTGAATACTCGTTATTTACCTTCAATCTGGTCGTCTTCGCCTTCGTTTACGCTTTCATCTTCTTCCTCCTCCTCCTCTTCTTCGCCTTCATCGAGATCATTGCCCTCAAACATACGCTTCTCCTTTTTAGTCATACGCCTGTAATAGCCTATGGGGGCGATGTAAGTACCAGCAGTAATGCGGCCGATCAAGGCGCGCAGATAATGCTTTTCTTTTCCCGGAAAACATGGATACGATATAACATCCGATTCTAGATCGCCAGTGAGAAACTTCTTAATTTGCCGGGAGACGACCACCTGGCGGGGCGTCACAATGGGTAGCTCAATCCAATCATCGTATAAGGAATTCACCACAAAGTACGAATAGCGATTGCAACCAACTCCGATGTACTCTGGTGGTATATCGTAGAACTCAATTTCCTCAACCAGCGGGACATCTGGAGCTTTTGGCTTCATGATCTCTAGTTCTTCAATGGGGTAATTTTCCCAACCGTAGACTCCTGGAGTGAGCTCTGGACCAATGTGCGGCGGCAATGGTTTCTCCTCTCTGTCGTGCCGCATCTTGAGTGGCAGCTGCTTCTCCCGCAGCTCGTCCGCCATCATCGCCATACGCGATTGTATTTCCTCGCGAGTGAGCGTAGCCTCCACAATATAGTAGGAAGCCTTCAACCCATTAATGCAGCCCCAAAAGCGGCACTGCATTATGGAGGAATGTGTCTGCAATCGGTTCATGGCGCAAGCCAACTGGAAGATGTCATCATTGCTTATGCTGAAGCCGCACTGATTCCAGTAAAACTGCAGTTGCTGAACGCGTTCGTTGAATGTAACGAACAGACGCATGGAATCGTCGATGACGATCCTAAGCTCTTCGTCGTCGATTGCTTTTCCATCTTCGCCATATAAATCTTCTGCTCCTGCCAAGTCTTCGCCCTCAATGTTGTATGGGAGCTACCAGGACCATTAAGCATTAAAACATAGCCAACTTTGTGCTTAAATAAATCGTAAGTACCTGCATTGATTGGAGAATCTGCCTTGCGACCCTGAAGGTGCGAACTTCATCAAATATTCCATTGGGAGGAAAACGCTCGGGCAAATGAAATTTCTGTTCGCGTACATTTCTGCTGAATTCTTCAAAAAAATCAATCACATTCGGAGGGCGTTCATCGATAACCCGCTTGATAATGTCGCTCAAGTGATCAAATCTGTTTCAAAGATAAATAGGGATATAGAAAATACTTACAGTCACAATTAATACTCACAAGTTATCGCCACTTAATGTGCTGTACTGCTGCATTATAGCCTTGGCCACATTCAGTTCATAGTCAATATTTGGAGGCTCTTTAACTAGGGCTTTGTTGAAATGGCAATCGGAGTCGAATGCCCCCATCGATATGGTTGTCGAGGAGGACGATGATGTCGAGGTAATTACCTGCGAGCATTGTGGCGACGCTTCCTGCTCAACAATAATCTTATCTGGTTTTTTCTTCTTGGTAACACAAGGTGGTGGTAGCCCAAAATCAGAGCTGGATGTTGAGCCGAATGAAAAATTTTGGCAGGAATTGTTATCCATCGTAGAATTATTATTTTATTTGATACTTGTTATTCGTAGACTTGAAAAAACTGTGTGTTGTATGCCTTATGGGCGCTAGATATGTGAATCAGGAATTCAAAATAACAGCCAACATTGTTCATAATTTTCATTTGAATTTTTCAGTCGATTTTCACGCAGTCTATCGATATCAGCCAGTCGTTGCCTTTTAACAGAGTTATGGGAGCTGCTTGCAATGTGTTTGTGTGTTGTTACCTGTTGTTTACCTTACATCTGATTCTCTCCTCTCTGTTTGGTGTTTGGAAAAAAGAAAGTGCTTAAGAAAGTTTCGATGTGCTGATTGTAGTAGTACTTGCAGAAACATTTCAAATGTTTAGTAATTTAATTAGCATTTTGTAAATTAATTCCGCGAAGACCCTTTTCCCAAATTCTTAAGCAACTTTCTTTGACAGACTTCCCAATAAAGGTAGCAAATAGAACGGATCGATCGGTTGCTTTTCAGAACAGGGAGGGGCTGCGCAGGTGCTGCTGGTCGCCAGGTGAGCGGATCCATTATTCGGTTGAACGGATGTGCTTAAATTATATATTTTAATTACACAGCCTACAACATGTATTATCTTAACGAACCAACTCTTCCCTCGACGGAAAACTACGCCCAAAGAGAAGCACACGCATCCAACTTAGAGCTAAAGACTGTATCCATTAACCCCGATGGTACGTAACGAATCCCAACTAAACATTCAAGATAATTGAGATTTTGTTGGTTCTATCACATTACTAGATACCTACACGGTTCAGCAAGCTATTAATGCATTCGGATTTGGATGGTTTCATGTGAAGTTGTCCCTGTTAGTGGGGCTCTGCTGGATGGCGGACTCCATGGAGATGGCTATTCTGAGCATAATCGGTCCGGCATTGTTCTGCGAGTGGAACGTAACCAAGTTCCAGCAGGCTTCTGTGACAACAATTGTGTTTTTGGGAATGATGATCAGCTCTACTTTTTGGACCCAGCTGAGCAACAGATATGGCCGCAAATCGGTGAGATTCGACCTAGTCTTTAATAGTCTTAAATGAAATCAGTAAATATCTTTGCAGGCACTTACATTGTTTGGAGTATTATTAGTTTTATATAGCATTCTAAGCTCAGTTGCCCCCAGCTATGCTTGGCTTTTAACGCTGAGAGGGCTCGTTGGGTTCACCATCGGATGCGTACCGCAATCGTGAGTATAGCCTTGGCGTAAAAATTGAACTCTTCCATTCTCCAATAAATGTACTTTGTAGTGTGACGTTGTATGCAGAGTTTCTGCCCACCAAACACAAAGGGAAGTGCGTTGTCCTAATGGATGTAAGTGCTTCAGAGTTGGTTCTCTAACATTGGATATAGCTTAGTTTTATATTTACTAGTGCTTCTGGGCATTGGGAGCGTGCTTCGAGGTGGTCTTGGCCTTGGTTATATATCCCTACTTTGGATGGCGAGGACTTTTGGGATTGTCGGCGACCCCGCTATTAATTTTCACACTGCTCTCCCCGGTATTTAAATGGATTATCTATTAACATCAAAGAAATATATTAAAAACTTTTAGTGGCTTAGCGAATCAGCTCGATATCACTCAAATAATGGACGTAATGATAAAGCTCTAAAGGTTCTGGAGCAGGTAAGGATAAATTCATGCATATAGTCGTGTAAATCCTAATATATAATTTGATTTGCTTAGATAGCTCAGAATAATAAGCGTCATATGCTTATTGGTCGATTGATTGCCGATGAAGAGCCCAACTCCACCGAGAGCTTCAGGTCGCTTCTGAGTCCCAGCCTGTATCGGACCACTCTGTTGTTATGGTTTATATGGCTAGCTTCGGCATTCTGCTATTACGGATTGGTGCTGGTTACCACAGAGCTGCTGGTCGCCAGAAACAAGGAAAGATATCCCAATGAGTGCGTCACATTTATGACTTCAGATTTCATGGACTTACTCTGGATCACCCTGTCGGAGTTTCCCGGCATACTGTTGACAATTAAAGTGATTAAACTGTTCGGAAAGAGGAAAACAATTGTCTTACAATACTTAGTGCTTGTCTTCTGTACATTCGTGTTAACGACAGTCTCTAGGTAATGTAATGACATCTTATACTCGTACATATATAATATTAACTTGTTCGTCTTCCAGTCGATTCTCAACTTCAGTGACTCTCTTCATTGCCAGAGGAGCGATTTCCGGAATATTCCAAGCGATATATGTTTACACTCCGGAAATATATCCCGCTGCCCTCAGATCTATAGGTGTCTCTGGATGCTCTGTGCTGGCCCGACTCGGCGCCATGCTTACCCCATTCGTGGCCCAAGTGCTGATGGAGACCTCCAGAGTACAAGCCGTATCTATCTATGGATTCGTTGGATTCCTCGCAGCCATCGCCTGTGCTTTTCTGCCCCGTGAAAGTGTGGGATATCACTAGTTGTGTGGCGGAATGAAGGGAAAATTCATATTACACATCTTCCAAATGTAATGTCCGATGCCTACCCAAAACTATTTCCAACCAGATCTAAAGCATTTGCCTAGTTTTGGGCTTATGTGCTATAATGACTAGCAAAACTAGTTTCTTGGTTGTTGAAAAACTAAAATAAGTTTTCTTATTTTCAGTATTTTCAATACAGTAACGGAGCTTTAAAGTGCATTGCAACAAAACGATGATTATTTTCAAGAGAAATGTAGCTTTTTTCTTACATTCAGTTGTAAGATACTAGAAATCGCCCTTTACCACAAAGATTGAACGCATTTTTTTCAGTTGGTGTTCCTAGTCGGTGTGCTAGGATAGCTGGAAATTGGGGGATGAATCATCTAAAACTGAGAGAAAAAGCTCAAGAATTTCTCTATGAGATTTGATCAAATGATGATCTTGCTCAGGTTTGTAAGCTTTTGCAGTACCCCTTGGGACCAGATGGTTCTATATTCAGTATTGGGAATAATTAGACTCGGATGCTTAGCCCCCCCTTACACATCATGCCAATAGTCATCCAAACCACAATACACATATTTTATAATTCATCCTGTGTTTATTACAAAATGTAAACATAATATAAATCTTTAAATTATATGTTTATAAAACTGATTTCTATATGTGTATGTATGTATGTATATACAGTACGAGTGAGGTATGCGAGGGAAGGGTGGTGTTGCAATATACATGCATATGCACATATATTAATACATAGTAGCGTGTGACAGCTATAAACTTTTAGAACGTGTGTGTTTGTATTTAAGTAGATGAGAATCTAAGCACATATGTAGCTATGCATGCGAGGTGCATGTGCATTATTTTTAAATTCTGAAACGATTTTTTCGAGGAGAGCTTTTGTTGTGATCAGCAAATATCGATCAGTCGTACAGTTGTCGGGATGCAGTTAAAATCATTGGTATCTGCACGCGGCGGCTGGCTTTTGTCTCGCGACTACAGTCTATAGGGAAATCTAATATACTACGCTGCATGCCCATGCCCGCATCCGAACCGATCGAATATTGCGAACATATTATGACAAACGAATTCCGGTGCACACAGCCGAATATAAACAACCAACCGATCATCGATTTACGGGGCTAGAGCATGTCCAAAAACCCTGTGCAAATAAATCGAAACGAATTTTTGAGCTGCCTGCAGTAATAAGTTATGCAATACACATCCACATCCCCATCCACAGAAGTGCATACATTTATGTAGAGTGTGAAGTGAATCGAGTGATAGCCAGTCAATCAGATCCAAAACCATGGATAACGTAAGTCATGCGTGCCCGTAAACATACAACATAAATTCGTGCGAGATATGAACATGTGCCAAAAATTACTTATTAATACATTTGTGCAACGCAACCTACATACACACATATACAAATACATACACTGAGAGTATACACACATATGTATATAGAGCACTATTACTGTGAGACAATCGATAGGATTTGAATTCGAACGCGTTCTTTGGATTAAACTTGAGCTCTTTTCGAATAGATCATATGAAAATAAATCCCTATAAGTGCCCTTTATCTGATCGCTGAGAAAAGTTTCTTTTTCCAATGGTAAATATTTCAGTGATACATACACATATAATCAATAAACTGTTCCAAAAAGTGCATCCAGACTAGCAAAATTCACAAGTGTAATATTCGACTCCGGGAAACTCCGAGTTTATGTGCGAAAGGGTATCGAATCGATCGGAAACCCTACTAACGAGAGGACACTGTGCTGCCGTGCAATCAGCTGATGTCGATCGTATCAAGCTTTGCACTCAGTAAAATTGAAAAGCGGAATAAATAGACGAGCCATGCTCGCCTGTCTATGTCAACGCAAAATAGACTTTCAGCTAACGAGCTAATTTTTGCACAGAGGCACTTCTTTTCTCGTACACGCAGTAGTACATGTTATGAGGCCAGATCCGATAAATCTGAACAAACGGAAAGCTTTCCCGCTCTTCAATATAAAGATATACGCTGCGCGCAGTACTTATCGTAATCGTACATCGAAGCATTGTTTAACTCTCCGTTGTGGTTCTTCTTCTTGTACTTGAAGAATACTACACATAGTGTTTTTTGCATATTTATTGTACAAAATGTAATCAACTCAACAGGTTCCAGACATTGTGTTCGTGAGTCGGGATTATCAGGCTCAAACGTTGGCCGCTGACGAGATCAGTGTTTCCCGTGGAGACCTCGTCGAACTATTGAGTACAAAAGCCGCTGAAAAATCAAGGTACGTTGCACTAACCAAAGATTGATTAAAGATTGGAATGACAATCTCATTCAGAAGTTTTAAAAGCGATGGCGATTTGTTGTTGAGGCTTTTGTTTCCGCCTTTCAGATGCTTTGTGAGAATGTTCGATAGTGGCGATGCCCCCAAGGAAGGTTGGGTACCAATTGAAATACTAGAATTTAATCCAAACATGAACAACTCGAATGGTAAAGAAACCGGCGATGCGGAGTTTAAAAAGCAGTAAGCGTCAAGAGCTAAAGATCTACTGCTCTCTGGATCATTATTCTGGCTATTTGCAGGACCATCCTAAGGGAGTTGGTAGAAACCGAGGAAGAATTTTCCAGGGATCTGCTCCACGTAGTGGAAAAATACATTAAAGGCATTGATAAACCGGTAGTCCCCAGATCAGTGAGAGACAACAAGGATGTCATATTCTGCAACTTTCTACACATTGCGGAATTTCATAATAAGTATGTTTATCCAGGGTCGATTCGATCAGAGAAGAGTATCGTACATTTACCATTTCAGTGTACTCAAGGAAGGACTTAAGTGCTACAGTAATCAGCCGAATATGGTGGCCAAAACCTTTCTACGCCTGGAGAGGGACTTTGACAAGCATGTGGAGTACTGCCAGAACGAGCCATTGGCCCAGGAGTACCTGAGCTCCGACCCTGAAGCAAGCAAATACTTTCAAGTAAGTATCCTTAACACAAGCGATTCAAAATCGGCATCTACAGAGGCCCGGGTCTGATTTGGGGGTGTGCGCGGGTATATGTACATAGGTTCCGTGCCCCATAGATCATTTTCGGTGTCGATAATGCTCTCGTTTCATCTGTTCCGTTCCTGGCAAGCTTCTGGCCAAAACGAATATCTTTGACTTTTATTTCTGTAATTATTGGTTGAATTGAAGCTGCGCTGCCCCAAACGTGGGATCGTCTACACATATTATGCGTGTGGGTATGGTGTATGGTATGTGCGAGAATATCAGTTCGGTTTATTTTTAAAGGCAGACGCTTTCCATCCTAAAGCTTTCGCAGTTTTCAGTTGATTCTGAGTGGTGTTGGCGGTCGTGTCGTGCTAATTATTCCTATACGTAATCGTTTCGCTTTAGGTACTTGAAGTTATACTATTGTCATAAATGAGACCCACAAAGTTATTGCTATCGGCCTATATATCTTCAATTGAAACTCTTTAAATATATGTTGAAAAACTTTTACCCATCAAAAATCGATTTGAAATCGGCCAGCTTTCGATACAAGTGTGAAAAGTGGAAGGAAGGAAGGAAAAAAATATTTGAAATCAATTTGTTAATATTTGTGACGTTTTCCCGTTATGCAACATTATTTCCCCGACATTTTACTGTGCACGATAATACTTGTGTACATATATATTTAAAGATACATTAATACGTACATATATATTTATAAATATATATGTATGCACATATGCGAAGACTTTTTCCCAGCACACATATTTGACCTCACATCTAAAAGTATTCAAATATATACGGGACAAGCAAATATATTGTAACATTGACTTTAAAGAGATCGTGTCTACTCGTAATTGGTTCAGCAGTGAATATTCGTGGTCTTGTGAATATGAAGAGTGAATAAAAAACACCCAAGTCTATGACAGAGTGAAACTTTCTAAACATCATTCACATCTTTCGCGACTAGTATTCAGATATTGAGTATACATACATATTCATATTCGTATGGTACATACATCTGACTATGTCTTTCCAAACCGAAAATCATTCACGCACACATATTCATTTTTGCAACAAGTGATAAATTTTTAAACATCGTTCCAAAAATAACCCATGGCGAGAGAGATAGAGAACATTTTGTTTTAAATGTATAAGTGAATATTCAATGCTCACGGGGACGGTGACGGAGAGGGGGACGGGGACTGAGACTGGGACTGGCGCAAATCCAAACGGATGCAGAAAACTATCAAATCCGCAAATATCAACAAATATTATTATTCCATTTTTCCATTTTTCAATACACTCGATTTTTCATAGAGTACATATTGTACGAGTATCTATGAGTCTTTTACATCTCAAAATGTTCTAGAACATTATAATTCGAAGATTATCGCTAGAGGGTTTCATTTCATTAATGTATAACCTTTTCATGTCTTGCAGGAACTTTCAAAACAACTTGGGGACGATAAATCTCTTTCGGAACATCTTAAGCTCCCCATCCAACGGATAAACGACTATCAACTTCTGTTCAAGGTTTGGACATGCCCATACATACATATAGTACATATAATTTTTTAGTGGTACTCTGCAATCTTTTACTTTACTTTACCTTAAAATAATATGCAAGCAAATCTTAACTATTACCATTAATCATCATGCTTCATGCTAAGACTACTATAAATGTTTGTTTTCGCAGGACTTCATTAAATACTCACAAAGCTTGAAAGAGAATGTTAAAGATTTGGAGCGGGCCCTAGAGTTAATGCTTAGTGTGCCGGGTAGAGCATATGACAACAGATTTCTTTCTAGCATCGAGGGCTGTCGCGGCAACATCTACAAATTGGGGCGCCTGTTGCTGCATGAGTGGTGCACTTTGATTGATAAGGACGGCAAGGCGCACGAGCGCTACTGCTTTCTGTTCAAGTCAAGAATATTGGTAACCAAGGTGCGCAAAATATCAGAGAGCAGATCCGTATTTATTTTGCAAAACATCGTCAAGCTTCCTCTCTGTAATGTCGAGCACAAAGCCGACGAGAAGCAGATTCTTATAAGCCTGAAAGCCCCGGACGCAAACTCAATCTTTCCGATTAACATTAGGCCCCACGGCGAAGAGGCTACCCTGACCTGGTTCAAAGAGATTTCCTCGTACGTCAACCAAGACGTTACACTGCAAGAGCACAACGCAGATGATCTGAAAGTAGACTCCT